ATCTAAGGTCCGAATATAATGTATCCAATTAAAGCAAATTAATAGCTGAAATTATGTCGTATGAATTTATTATTATTATTATTGTTATTATTAAAGCTACATATTTATTCTTATTATTATTACTATTATACATATTATATTCGGGCCTTCGATACGGTCGATTTAAATAATTGACAATTATGTACCGATCAATTTATTATGCAGTCGATAATCTCCCGCATGATAGAAAGATTGACACAAGCATTAAAAATTCATCCTGTATAAAGGCAATGTATTAAAAAAAAAATTTATGCAAATTTGTTTAAATAGTATAATCAATACTGCAATCAAAATTATGAAGATACAATTTCTATGATAAGAGACATCTACAATAACATTTTTATGAAAAGAGGCACTACAATTCTTTGAAAATTTTTCTAAAAAAAAAAAAAAAAAAAGAAAAAAAGGAAATACACACGAGAGAACACCGTATATTTATATTAATATATCGCATGCAGCGCATATTCTATTTACAAAGATCGAATTATTCATTTAGAAGCACGCTTATTAATTTTCGATTAATTTTTTTTTTATGCTCATCTATTATATAAATACTATATTAATTATATGTTAATATTTTTTATATCTTTCTAATATCAATATTTCATTCTTTTTTTTGCAACTTCATTATAAAGTATTTCATACAATTTTAAGGATACATAATATGTACAATAAAGCATTGTGATTTTAAGGATACATAATATGTACAATAAAGCATTGTGATTTTAAGGATACATAATATGTACAATAAAGCATTATGATACATTTTATAATTCGTACTTCTTTTAAATAATTTCTCTCTTATATTTTATTTGTTTATTGATATTTATCTTTCTCTGTACAAAATTTTATGGAAATAGAATGATTGAATAATTTACAATTATCACGAATTACATCTGCATTATCTATGATTCGTCTTGTGTAGCTTCCCTTCGATGTATGACCAATAATAGTATTACAAATGCATCAATAAGCCGGAAGACAAAATCGTAGATAATTCACACAAAGAAAATACATAATTATTAAATTAATGAGAAAATTTGACAAAATAAAACGGCAACTTTTCAATAAAGATTTCGACACGCATTCAAAACACACAAAAAAATTCCAACATAATTTTGACATATATCGCATTGCATATACATTGCTAAATAATTTTAGTCATCGAATAAAAAAAGAGCAGAAATATATTATTTAAATTATTTTCGATTCCATCATGTTTATATATCTCATGTTTCGACTGTACAACATTATAATACATGTAAGTCTACTCCTTATAATCTTTTCTTTCTCGAAGAGGAGCAACTTTTCCAAGAAAAACACTATCTACCTCTACATTCTGTACATTCTCTCTGTAATTTGAAAAATATGTCTTCCCTAACAATATTTTATCAGGCAATACTTTTGCAAAATAATTGCTTATAATCGTTAGCATACAATTAAACGATTTCTGTCTGGAAAATACACACGACAGATCGTTCCATTATTAGTTAACTGCAGAAATAAGTCTTGGCAGTTGGCACTTGGCAAGAATGTCTTCAGAAGGCAAAAACGATGGCCGTTTGATTCCCGCTAGTCATTCATCACATGTGCACCACCTTCGGCGTGCTGAAATCACATTCTATGTAATTATATTGCGATATTTATTTATTTATAAAAAATAATAAATAATTGATTGATGAAATTAAAAACAAAGAGATACTAATGTTCTATAAAATATAATTAAAAATTTATAATTATTTAAAATCATGAGATTATATAATTATATAAAATATAATTAAAAAATATAATTTTAACTATAAAAGTAAAATAAAATATAATTTATAAATATAATTTAACTATAAAAATAAAATAAAATATAATAAATATAATAAAATATAATAAATATAATTTAACTATAAAAATAAAATAAAATATAATTTAAAAATATAATTTTAACTATAAAATATAATTAAAAATTTATAATTATTTATAAAATCATGAGATTGTTCCATCAATAAAATGCGTGGAATAAAACACCTGTAAAATCAACTAAAAATTTAAAATCATAAATCTAAAAATGAAATAATGAAACTTTAAACTGTCAATTTAAAAAGTTATATATAATTTATATGTAATAACAACACGACAACTAATAAAAATATTAAAATTTCTGTAAAATAATAGAATCAATAGATCACGATTTTATATAAAATTGATAAGCTGCAAAATAGAAAAACGTATTTACCTCTTGCCCCACAACCAATTCAAAAGCACACTCGACTGGCTCTGAACATCTCGAGCTGTGAACAAATATCGAATCATCCATTTGTCATTCGCACTGATGCGCAACTTTTTGTACACTCAATATTTACTGACTATTGCGTACTCATAAAGGAATACCTACAGAGGGTGTAATTAGCGTTGACCAGCCTCGCGGCTGCTTCAGGTGGCAATGTACTTAAAACATCTCTGTGCGCTAACAAAGACATTTGTTGCGTATGTCTCAGCTCCCGTTCGTCCTTTAATCGCACGTCCTTCGTGTGACTGACTGAATGCAACTGCGACAATCTAAAGGAAGAATCTAGCTTGTATCAAACTACGAGCAAGTTAGCAGGGTAAGCGAGGCATTTGGATATTCTATTGAAGAAGGAAAATATTTTCCACTCTTCAACATTACTTGAGGAGGGCATTACTTTTGCAGGATAAGCATTCTACGAAGATGCACTTCGATTTCTACTGGTCGACAAAATAATGAAATTTTTGTGACTTTACGAGATCACGGTGATCTTAATTTAAATTCGTAAGCTCTAAAGCGAAGTTGTCATCATTGTTCGCGCCAATGGAGTAACGAAGCAGCGAAGATACTAGGACGAAGAAAAATGTTATTAGTCCGAAAATCCTCGATTTTTCATTAAAACAAAAATTGTCGCGCGTGAAAATTTTAATTTTTCTTCCGAAAATACATATTTACAAGATCTACTTTCTCGTGTAAACATCTGGTATCAAATGTAAATATCAAATCATCAATCAAAGTGATAGCATTAAATTTTTTTTAGCAGACGAACCGAGTTACAGGAACTATACTGGGTGTTAAAAGTCTGGACACGGTCGAATATCTTGATAAGGAAGAGTTTTACTAGAAAGTGTTTGAGACAAAAGTTGTATGACTTGAAGGGGACCATGAGATGGTGGCAATTATTTAACCTTGAAAAGTCATTTGAAGATCACATGAAGGTTACCGTCAATTTCTTAAATGAAACCCCCCATTTTTTATTCCATATTCTTGTAGTTTATCTCGAGGGCTTTCCAAAACGCTATAATTAAGTTAGTTTTCCTTAAGTACTTTCCGAGTTATGAGGCTTGAAATAATTTCTTAATTTTACATAAACCGTAAAATATCTTGCAAAATATTCATTTGTCGATTATCTTATCTTACCTTAATATTTTTACCTTAACTTTATGTACAAAATAATGAGAGGAATCAATTGGTGTAGAAAACACACAGTTATTTTTAAGAAAAAATATGTAATTGTTAATTGCAAATTACATATTTTTTCTTCGATACAATTATGTGTTTTCTTTACACCAATTGATTCCTCTCATTATTTTGTACATAAAAGTATTAAGGTAAGATAATCGAAAAATGAATATTTTCCAAGATATTTTACGGTTTATGTAAAATTAAGAAATGATTTCAAGCCTCATAACTCGGAAAGCACTCAATAGAAAAATACTTTATTATAGTGTTTTGGAAAGCTCTCGAGATGAGCTACAAGAATATGTAAAAGCATATAGGGCGTCCCATTTAAAAAGTTGGAGGTGACCTTCACGTGACCTTCAGGTGACTCTTCACGATCAAAATAGTGACACCGTCTTATGTGTCCCTTGAAACCATACAACTTTTGTCTGAAACATTTTTTTCTACAATCAAAATTAAAAAAGTTATTCAGGGTGATCGATTAAAATAGGACCCTGATTTGTAATTTTTAATTAGGAAATTTTTCTTACTTCAATGCAAGAGCTTCTTTGTCCTCGATCGGGATATCAATGGCTTCTTTTGCGATCTCAACTGGTCCCTCGGACTTCGAAGGCGAAGGTTGTTCCACGATGGGTTCAATCACCGTTTGCGAGGCCGATGATAAGTCTTTTGTTGGGCTCCCTTCAACGTTACCCATCCTTCTCAATTCTTCATTCACTCGAATCGCATTAGACAGTCGCAGTTGTAGCGTATCTCGCTCTTCGAGCAATTGCATTAGTTCGTGAGTCAACTCCTCGCATCTGACATCTCTCTGATGAAGCATGTATAGCGCAAGATCCAACTCGCTGGAAGTGGTCTCCATGTTGTCGACTGTCTGAACGCTTTCCGAATCCTTGGACGCAATCTCGACGACGGACGCATCTTTCTTCAAGGCGTGTTGCATCAGTTCGTACTCGGATACCTTCTGCTCCAACAATTCCTTCAGCTGATTCATCTCTGTTTCCCTAGTCGCCAATATATACCTCAGCTCGTCCAGTTGTCTCTCCTCTTCCGTGGACAAGGCCAAGAGCTCCTCTATACGCGCCTCTTTCTCACGAATCTGCATCTTCAAGTCGTGAAGTTCGGCATTTTTGGTGATGCTCAGCTCGGCCAGTCTCCTCTCCTTCTCCGCCAGGTCGTCAGTTGCACGAATCAGTGCGCTTTCCTTCTGTTCCAGTTTATTGCTTCGATCATTCACAATTACCTGCAGTTCCTCCAACTGCATCTTCAGATTCGCGATATCCTTATCTTTCAGTTCAAGTTCCGCCAGCAACTTTTGATTTTCCTCTGATAGTCTCCTCTTGATCTCATCGATCTCAGATTCCTTCTTTCGCAACTCGTTGGTGAGGAACTCTTCAGCCTCGAGACGGATCTGCTCTTTTTCCGAAGTTAGCTTCTCGATGGCATTTTTACTCTCCTCGGAGAGCCTCTCCAAGTCTTTCAGATGCAAGATTCTCTCTTGTAGCTCCACGATAGTTGACTTTAACGTTTGCACCTCCTGTTCCTTGCCATAGATCTCTCCCGTCAATCGCTGCACGGCTTCGCGCAATTCGAACTCGTCCGATTGGGGCTCCATACTGGCTTGCAGACACAATTGCGAGTCCTTTTCAGCTATGACGTACTTTAATTCGTTAATTTCCTGCTCCCTCGCATGAAGCTCGTTCTGCAATCTGACGATTTCCTCTTGATCTTGCGCGGATCTTCGGTCCCTGGAGAGCGAATTGGACTCCTCCTTGGAAATATGCTCCTGATTCTGATCATGAATGCGTTGCAAAGCATTTACTTGCTCCTGCTTCTCCGTCAGGGTCTGCGAAGCTACTTGCAAGGAGGTTTCCAGGGTAGCTTTCTCATTGTACAGACAATTAATCCTATCTTGCATTTGCTGAATGATTGTGGGATACGTATTCTCGCTCAAGACATACTTGAGATGCTCCAACTCTTGCTGTTTAGCTTCCATCTGCGCCTTTAGCTCGTCTATGGTGCCTTGTAGCTCGGCATCGTCGTCATTTCCCGTCTTGAAGGCAAGACTATCAACCATCTGAGAATTCTGCAGCTGTTCATTGCACAATCTTTCTAAATCGCCTCGTTTTTCGTTTAATTCCTGACTCATGATCTCCAACAAAGAATCTTTGTCACTCATCATGGCCTTGATGCCTTCCAAATCATTCTCCTTGGCGCATAATTGGGTGCTTAGATAGTGCAATTGTTCAGTCTTCTCTCGCAGGTCTTGCTTCAAAGCGTCAACCTGCTGGTTATCTTTCTCCAGACGAGCTTGATACGCCTTCGTTTCTTGATCATACTGCAACAGGATCGACTCTTTCTCGGATTTTAGAGTCTGGATTTCTTGCTGCAAGGTATGAATGTGCGAGTTGCACTCTTGTAAATTAACCACGGTTGCTTCCGTGGCGTCCAACTGGTTCTTCAGATATTCGAGCTCCTCTAAGTATCCTTTTATTTTTGCCTCGAGATACGTCTTCTCCTCTTCGTATTGGATCAGCTCTTGTTGCTTCTCTCGCAATTTTTCGTTCAGCAAATTTGCATCAGCCTGAGTGGCTCCGATTATTGAATTTCGCTCTGTTAGATCTTCCTTCAGATACACGATTTGTTGTTGTTGCATTTCCAACTTGGCCGCGCTATCTTGCAACTTCAGGGTGTATTCGTCAATCGCAGCTTGTATTGTCGTTAACTTTTCCCTTAGATCGCGCAATTCTTGGTCTTTTTCTTCGACCTCTATCGCATGATTCTGGATTAATTCCTGGGTAGCTTCGCTGATGATGGCATTCACCGTTTCCACGCTCTTCTGCTGGATCTGCTCGTGTTCCTTGTTGGTGAATGCTTCCTTCAAGACTGTCAATTCTTGTTTCCTCTCGTCTAATTCTTTCGTTAAGGTTTGTAGGTCCGATTGTAGCGTTGCTTCGACCTTTCCCTTTCCACGTACTGAACTTGAAGCTCTTGCTTCAGATCAGCGACCTCTTGAACTCTGGCGTTGAGCAATTCCGTGACTTCCATTAAAGATGTATTAATGCTCGAGGATTTTTCCTCTAGATTCATCAGAGCGTTGAGCTTCTCTTCCAAGACCTCCTTCTCTTCTAGAGCTTTCTGTAAATTATTTATCTCCTTTTCTAATCTATCGATTTTCTCCAGAAATTCAGCTTTGAGGAAATCATTATTTTATCGCATCGCTGCCACTTGATCATTCGCGTCTATTAGACTCTGCTCGAACTGCTTCCTGAGCACGTCGTATTCTTCCTTGCCTTTGTTTAAAGCGCTTTCTAGGGCCGCATTTTGGTTATTCAACGTATCTAACTTTTCCACGAGTTCTCCAGAGTTGTCAGTAGCCTTCGCCTCCAAATTAGCCATCGTCGCCTTCTGTACTTCCAAGAAGCGTTGCAATTGTTCATTTTCCGCCGCAAGCGCCTCCAATTCGTCCTTCAAATCGTCTATTTCTTCTTTGTACTTCTTCGACGTCGCTTCAAAGTCGTCAGTAGATTCCACTGATCTTTTCTGGGGGTGATTTGGGTCGATCTGATCTTCTTGTTGCGAAAAAGAAGTGTCTTGCACGTCGGTTGCATTTTCCTGTAATCGCCACTCCAAGGATTGCACTTTATTGCCTAGTTCCTTGTTCTGAATACGCAATACTTCGACTTCCATGTCCTGTTTCTCCTTCATTTCCATGTACCTTTCATTGGCAGACACCAACATGTCGAGTCGCTTCAGTAAAGCCTCTTTTTCGGCAATAATATTTTTCTTCTCCTCTTTAATTTCCTTCAGATTTTTCTCCAAATTGACGATCTGCGTCTTCAGCTCCTCCTCGATCGCCGTGTCCAGGTCGAAGAAGCTGCCAGCCTGCTTCTGCGTCTTCAATTGTTGTTGCAAGCTCTCCATCTGCACTTTATACTCCTTCAATTTTTTCACCAATTTAGCGCTCTTTATCTGAGCCGCTTTACTCTCCTCGGTAATCTTGGCGTTTTGCTCTTCTAGATCTTTTATCTTGGCTTGCAAGTCTTCTATTCGCAGGTGTAATTGGGTTTCGACACTTAGAATTACCGACGTATTCTCCAAACCCCAACCCCAAGACCCTTCTAAGCAACAAACAATTATTTAGTTTATGAAGATGATTATTATTGTCATCATTGTGATAGTTTAATCTTTTACTTACCTTTCCATCGCTAGTCAGAGCGAGACCATGACACTGTCCGCATCTGATGTCCACAATAAGCTTGTCGCTTAAGACGGTGACTCGAATAAACGTGGATATATCACAAGTCTCACTAGTAATATTAAGTTTTTTCGCGAAATAGACCTTTTACAGATATAGATCTTTCAAAAATAGCACAGTAATACATTCTTTGATCTGATTTTCTGAATCACATTCAGAATATGTATAAAAACACTACTTGAAAAGACTTGACAAAAAATTCTGTTTCATATTATTTTATCCTAAGTACTTTTTAACATGTTAAATTTATATAAATTCATTGGTCATGTTGATACATGTAATAGAATTAAAAGTTTTCTCACAATTTTAAAATATTACGTAACTAAGTGTATGTGTATTGCTTTAATTTTTATAACCAGATTAAATGTACAGAATTCAAAATTAATTGCTGCAATATCTTGCTTTTCTATATCCATTAGAGATATATTCAAAATTATTTTCAAAATTTTTATCTTATTAAAAAAATAAAACTTACATCGTAACAATCTTTAACATAAATTTTTAAAAATATTTGCATATTGAAAAAAATATTATGGTCAAATAATTGTTCTTCTAAACAAAGCAATTTATTTATTTAATATATATTCTTAATTATAATTTATCTACTTATATTTTATTATGATTTCACACATGTGTATATATAATCATTTTCATTTTTACTTGTTCCCTAAGAAAAATTCATGCTTTAAGAATAATAAAAAACCTCCTAATATCAATTTTGTTAAATCAAGAAATATATAAATCTTTGATATATCTCTCCTTCTTCTGTAAGTACCAGGATGAAATACAAGCCGTGTGCAAAGATCTTTATATTTTTTCCACACAATTCTTCTTTTTTGTATGGAGGCCAGTATGTATGTGACGAATCGTTGAATAATCATCTCCATAATACTTTAAGCAGTAAACATTTTTGTCCTTTGTCACAATTATAGTTTTACTATCATGGTAACCTTCAAAATATTATAATATATAATATATATATATATATATATATATATATATATATACGAGTATAATGACGGGTAGCTTTAAAGTTATTCCTAATAACATCAAAGAATAAAATTTTAAATTTTGCAAATATATCTACACTAAGCTTAAGTTATTTTGAAGCTTTAATATTTTTCAATAATAAACGTATGCCAGAAGTTAACTAAATATAATTACACTAATTAATCGAATAAAATTATAACATATATGTGAACGTAATAATACTTTATTCTTTGTATTCTTATCTTCTTATTTAATTTATTCATTCTTTTCTTCTTGCCTTATACGATACAATTAATAATTAAGTAACGATTAATATATCTTTTAGATCGCCTATGCCATCACCATTAGAATCATAGAAACTTTTTATATAAATTTGATAGATGACAGTGTTGTTCCACCATGACTTATTGAAAATCTCAGCTGATGAACTGCTGACCAGCAGCAAAAACATGCATGTTGTTAGCGACATGATGCCGTTTGTATTTGTCGAATCTGAAATTTGCTTATATATACTTTAATGACTAAGGAAATTAGTTACTTCCTTATCGATCATGCCTACTGAATACAATATCTTTCGTTCGAAAAAATCAAATAATTGACAGGTACAAAACTAGTTTATTGCAGCTGAATTTTTTATGATTATCAATCAATCACTGCAATTAATGACTAACGTTTTATTAAGATATTGTACAATTAATGACAAAGTCTATATAAATGACAAAAGTCTATATAAATGACAGAAGTCTATATAAATGACAGAATCTTTATCAATAACATTACCCATATAATACATAATATTACCATAATCCACTAATGTTTTGTGTATTGTTTTAGATCAGGAAATAATACAAGGATTTAAGCACGACTTGGAAATCTTATTTCACTATAATTATGTATAACGGTAACATACAATGGCAATGTATCATACATACATATTATTCAAAAAAGATAAATTGCATTATTTCTTGCAATTTACAAACTAAACAAATTATTACAGTACTTGATAGTAAAGGAAAGTATATAATAATACCTGATAATAACAAAAATGTAATATAATGTACATCATATATAACCATACAATATAGTAAAATATTAAAATAATTTTTTTCGACAACTTTAATTTCTCGATCTTACAATTATTTCAAAATTGCAACGTGACAAAGTATTTTGAAACCTAAAATTATATATAACATAGACTCTCCTATTAAAAACGTGCAGATTATTTCAATTACTATAATTCTTATCTAAAAGAAAGTTTATTTACAAAAAATAATTAATGTAGAAGACATACAAAAAAATAGATGCAATATATTTTAATTGAAAAACGAATTCTCCGTTAGAGAATTGTTTAAAATATCAATGAGAAATTTTTAATTGAATGATCTAACAAAATGATATTATATATTTTGTAGTAAATAAATTTGTATCTCTAAAAAAAATTTCATTTTCTACATCATAAATAAATGTCCCACAAGATTCGTTTTTTCTTCAACTTTTTTCACTTCAAATTTGTCTTTCGATTATTTACTGTTTTTTACATAATACTTGTTCTGTGTAATTCTGTGTTGATTTGATATATTTTTTATTGTCTCTAAAAGCGACATTGCTGAAGCTCATACGAGATGACAAATTATCCAATGTCAGTATATTTTCTTCACATGCTCTAACAATAAGTGTTTATCTGTCATTTCTGTCCTGATACATGATATGACATTCAAACGCGATATTTTTAGAACGTTATCTAACAACAAGAAATCTCTATAAATTTACGAAAAAATACAATCCATCATATGTATATTTTCTCGCCAGAGATCTAACGACAATATTGTAAGAGCATATTAAAGAAATTTATAATAAAAAATTTATTCTTTAAATACATTTAAATATATTTTTCTCTATATATATTATTCAATTTTCTGGCTATTCTTTGCCCAAAAGCCAAGTAAGTTTTAATATAACTCGGCGTACAATTTTATAATCATCTCGAAGTGCTGCACATGCTTCTCCGAAGAAACTTGCTAGGACTGCTGTAAGAGTGCAATTTTGCCAATTCGTGTTTCAAAAGCTTGAGCATATACTTTTGAATCTTGAAAGTATAATTGTCAATTAATGTCAAATATGTTAAAGCATCAACAGCATTTGTTGTTAGATAACGTTTTTGATGGTAAAATATGGCGTTTGAATACCATGTCATGCATCCGGACGGAAAACTAATAATATATATATATATATATATATATATATATATATATATGGTGTATATATATATATATATATATATATATATATATATTATTATTATTATTATTATTTTTATTTTTTCATTTTTTTTATTATTATATTATTATTTTTATTTATTATTTATATTATTCATACAGGGTGCTTCTCAACATACAGATCGATAAGTCGGGTTGCCTATCTGACGATCGGTCTTCTTTTACATTATATAAAGAAGATCTTAAAAATAAAATTCGAAACGCGTGTGCGGAAATCACTCCTCCGATAATTCGGAGAGTAAGGAAAAATTTTATGCGAAGGATTGCTTTATGTTTAGAAGAGAATGGCGGTTACATTGAACATATATTGTGAACATTAGAAAATAGTTTTTTGTTTAAATTCATTATATTTTATCTGTGTTATTATATTTCAATTGTGTCATTTTATGTTATTAATGTTATTTAAGTTATTTATGTTATTAAATATAATGTTATTTATGTTATTAAATATTACAATTACACTATATCAATGTTAAAAGCTGATTTCACTTTCCTCATTCCCTACGGATTTGCATTCAAGGTATCAATCAAGGAATTTTTTCACTTTTCATTACATGATCGATCCTCTGATTTTAATATTTTTCAATTAATGCGGGGTCGGTAAAAGAAGACCGATCGTCAGATAGGCAACTCGACTTACCGATCTGTATGTTGCGGAAGCACCCTGTACATAAGAATAATAGAGATAAAATTTTTAAATACGCGACGATGTTTAATTAATAAATAGTTACCAATTATAAGTTTGCGGAAAAACTAACATAACTATCTTCATGATATTATTTTATTTTATATAATGCAACTTTTATAATATTACGACTTTTATTAGATTAGTTTTACAATACAGGTCGGCCAATTCCATAAGCTCTGTAACAAATTATTACGAACTCGGAAACTGAAACGGCTTTTTTACAGAGTTTATGGAATTGGCCGACCTGTATTGTAAAACTAATCTTATAAAAGTCGTAATATTATAAAAGATGCATTATATAAAATAAAATAATATCATGAAGATAGTTATGTTAGTTTTTCTGCAAACTTATAATTGGTAACTATTTATTAATAATTTATTAACTCAAATTATTACGAACTCGGAAACTGAAACGGCTTTGAGTTCACAACTTCAATTATCTAATACGTTCTCTAAAAGTAAATCAACTGTGCCAGTATAAAAGTATTTCAAAAAGGCTTTATAGATGTAAGAAAATTGATCATAATTTAACAAGGATATTTAAGGATATAAAACTTATGACCTAAGATAAGGAATTTCTAAATTTCATTACGATTACTTACACTTAGGCAACTTATTTGCCTGTTCACGCGAAAATTTTCTCTGTCGCCATCCGAATCAATTACCTTAAATCAATTACCGAATCAATTACCTTAAATCAATTACCTTAAATCAAAGATATGCGAATTAAGTAACAAATCCACATTTAAATTAAATACGATAAACGACTGATCATTTCTGTGATTAATATAGAAAATTGACTGATAAAGCTTTGTGAATTAGAATTTTTTGAAATTGCGAGAATTTTTTCTGTCGCCATTCAATTAAATCAATTATTTTAAATAAAAAATACACGAACTAAATAACGCTGACAAAAACTAAAATAGATCTGTAATTCCTTCTATCATTAATTACTGCTTAATTATAATTACATATTGCATGTAATAAGTGTTAAATTTATTATTCAACGATTAAATCAGTCTTCATTATCCAGTCTAAATCAGTTTTTGAAAACACTACAATATATATGTATAATTAAAGAAATATACTAAATTCTTTGAGAAAGAATAAAAATATTTTGCCACGAAAAAATTAGGATCATTTAGGATACAAAGCAAATGTCTCGTTGCCAGTTGTCAAACTCATTTATTTTATTTATAATCCAATTGGCGTTAAGCTAATTTGTTTATAAATAAAATAAAAACGCACTTATTATAATACAATGATTATAATAAAATAATTATTACATATTATATATTCGCTTTTAGAGAAAACAATAGTGCCAAAAAAAATCTTATAATATTAAATCAATTTTTTATGATAGCATCAAATTTATTATTTAAGAATTGACTCAATTTTGTAAATATTCCAATTCATAAATAAAATTAGATAAAATCATATATCATATATGTATATTATGTAATATTATCTTAAACTATAAAATGGTAACTGAAACAAAAATTATTGAACATATATAGCTTCAATGATTCATGTATAGGAATAAAAAAACGATCTGCGATTTAGCTCGAAATTTATGTCAAAAGAATCATATTTCGAAAGTATTTCCTTTAGCTGCTCTGCGTATAAAATTATCCTTTGTACTCGTGTCTAACTTAATATACTCTTCCGATAATACTACAGCTTTCATATGACTCAGAGCAAACTGGAAGCAGAATTCCTCGAGTTCCTGTAATTCATGATATACGATGATATATTGTATACACATAAATAAATACATTACAATTAATAAATTCCAACAGTATTAGTAATTAACTCCAAACTGTGATACTTACCTTAGCATTGCATTCGATAGCTTTATTGTAGAAGAAGGCTACATTTGACACAGTAATGACTTTCTTTATTATCTGACTGCAATCTCTTATAAGATTGGTTTCACAATACATATCGGCCAATTCCATAAGTTCTGTAAAAAAGTGTCGTTTCAGTTTCCGAATTGTAAGTATGTGATAATTTACATTTACAGTTTCAATTACCTAATGCATTCTCCGAAGGTAAATCGATTATGCCGGTATATAAATATTTTAAGAAGGCTTTATAAACGACGTAAGAAAATTTCTCTGATACCGTGTACACTGAATCCGATATGCTGTCAAAGAACAATGCTTGTCATTACGTAACCAAAGTTGAGAATTTCTGAATAAGAATACCAGTTTTTTTTCTAAGCTTACCTTTGAATATTTTCAGTCCAATCATGTTGAAACATATTTTTAAAATACTGACAACGAATCTTAAGAATAGCCTTGTGAACATAAATAGGTTGTCCTTCGACTAGTATGGTAAGATCATTTGACAACTGAAGAGCAAATTATTAAATAATTATATTATTATAAATATCAAAATTATCATAAAAATAGATAATTTTTCACTTTTAATGTTATAATTCAATATATAACTGGAGTGAGACTAAAAGTTTCAAAACAATTGTTAACACAATTGCAATTTATTTTTTCTAGTAGAAAAAAATTGACATAATTCTTTTTTACAAAATCTACAAATCCCTTATAAATCTCTATTCTTTATAACAACCAAATCAAATGAAAATATGTATATAGTTTTGCTATAAAATAAAAAAATGCATAAAGAATGATAATGAAACATACCTGATCATCAAATATTGCTTTTAGAGACTCCAATATATTCAATACATCTTCAATATACTTGAAAGTATTCGTAAACACAATCGATGAATTGTGCATGCTTCCCCACATACTGTGCGCAAACGCATCATGAATGTTCGAAAACTTCGTAGCAAACGGTGTAGTAATCCAAAAATCGTGATAAAAATGACCCCACACATAAATAATCCTATCACAGCCAACGGCAACGCTCGAGCTACGATAAGCAACGATATCCAAAACCTTTCCCATCTCGGGGATGTTCACCTGTCGATCATATCTTTCCTTATTATTTCGTTTCTTGTTTCACTCATCATGGCAATTATTAAAAAGTTTTTTATTAATAATTCATAAGTTACCACGATCGGTCCGGAGGGTTCCTGGTTGCTATTTACACCTAGTTCTCCATATGAGTTCGAGCCCCAGGCATAGATTTCGCCTTTACTTGTGAGCGCCAAGGTATGCTCATCTCCGCAGACCACCTTAACTAAAACGTCAATCTCTCATGAAGATGTTCGATACTGTAACATTCTTAGAAATCAAATCTCAGACATAAATTTTTAAAATATTTACTTATTTTGTCCGAGAGTGTGATAATTTTGCGTGGGTATTTGTAATAATACAGCTCGTCGTTTGAAATCTGGCGTCCCATGTTATTGCCCCAACCGTATAATTTATTTTTGTCAGTTACAACTATGTTGAAACTTGGGCCACACGCAATATGGACAACCTTTTTTTTCTCCAATTTATGTTTCACCTGCCTCACATCAAAATAAGTTGTGTTTTTATCAAATTGACTAACATTTTGCAAATAAATTTCATTCCAATCACTATCTTCCGAATCACTTTCATTTGAATCATATTCTTCCCAATTTTTTCCCCAAGCATACACCTAAGCAACAAATAATTGTTTAGTTTATGAGGATGATTATTATTGTTATCATTGTGATAGTTTAATCTTTTACTTACCTTTCCATCGCTAGTCAGAGCGAGACCATGACGCTGTCCGCAACCAATGTCCACAATAAGCTTGTCGCTTAAGCCGGCGACTCGAATAAATGTGGGTATGTCAAACCCCCAACTGATATTAATTTTTTTCGCGAAATAGACCTTTCAAAAATAGCACAGCTGTAATACATTCTTTGATCTGATTTTCTGAATCATATTCAGAATATTTAAGTATAAAAACACTACTTGAAAAGACTTGACAAAACATTCTGTTTGATATTATTTTATCCTAAGTACTTTTCAACATGATAAATTTATATAAATTCATTGGTCATGTTGTTACATGTAAAAGAATTAAAAGTTTTCTCACAATTTTAAAATATTACGTAACTAAGTGTATGTGTATTGCTTTAATTTTTATAACCAGATTGAATGTACAGAAATCAAAATTAATTGCTGCAATATCTTGCTTTTCTATATCCATTAGAAATATTTTCAAAATTATTTTCAAAATTTTTGTCTTATTAAGAAAATAAAACTTACATCGTAACAATCTTTAACATAAATTTTTAAAAATATTTGTATGTTGAAAAAAAAATTATGGTCAAATAATTGTTCTTCTAATCAAAGCAATTTATTTATTTAATATATATTCTTAATTATAATTTATCTACTTATATTTTATTATGATTTCACACATGTTTATATATAATTATTTTCATTTTTACTTGTTCCCTAAGAAAAATTCATGCTTTAAGAATAATAAAAAACCTAATATCAATTTTGTTAAATCAAGAAATATATAAATCTTTGATATACCTCTCCTTCTTCTGTAAGTGCCAAGATGAAATACAAGCTGTGTGCAAAAGTCTTCATATTTTTTCCACACAATTCTTCTATCTTTTTTGTATGGAGGCCAGTATGTATGTGATGAATCGTTGAATAATTATCTGCATAATTCTCTAAGTAGTAAACATTCTTGTCCTTCGTCACAATTATAGTTTTACTACCATGGCGACCTTCAAAATATTATAATATATAATATATATATATATATATATATATATATATATATATATATTTATATAAGTAATATTATATAGCCAAAAAAAAATTTAATGAAAAATGATAAATTTTATCATATATCGTAATATCATATACCATACACATGTGAATTTGTAGAATAAACTCTGACTTTAACATGTGAAAGAACGGACAATTTTTAAGATCCGTTGACGTTATCTTCTCCGCTAGAATGCACTGCAAGATTCTCTTCTCATATTCTTGCATCTCACTACAAATAATTTGATAACTTCAAATTTAGTTACCTGCTCATTCACATTAATTTGAATTAATTGTACTTTATGCCATCGCACGGTTCTTGTTTTCACCTATTATCTTACCATCTGCGATTATTTCAACATTACTATCGCCCAGCAGCAACTTGTATAGAAAGGAAGAGAAAAACAAGACCGTCGAACTTACCTTTTTTTAGTTGTTGTTTCTGAATTTCTCTCCTCTACATTGTTATTCGGAGAATAGGATGTCGACGTGGCAGTAACGTGATTTTGTATCAATTCTTTGTGTACAATCTCAGTCTTCGTATTCATATCTAATTTATTAATATAATCTTTCGATAATGTGTTAACTGTTATGTGGCGCAAAGCAAACTGGAAACAAAACTCCTGGAGGTCCTAAAATTAAATATTCACATGATATTCAAAGATATATTGTACACATAAATAAATACATTGCCATTAATGAGTTCCAACATTAATTGCGATGAACTCTGAATTGTAGTACTTACTTTAGCATTGTAATTGATCGCTTTATTGTAAAAGAATGCTACATTTGACACAGTGATGGCTTGCTTTATTATCTGAATGCAATCTTTCTTAAGATTGGTTTCACAATACATGTCGGCCAATTCCATAAGTTCTGTAATAAAGTGTCGTTTCAATTTCTGAATTATAAATTTGTGATAATTTATATTTACAGTTTCAACTACCTAATGCATTCTCCGAAGGTAAATCGATTATGCCAGTATATAAATATTCCAAGAAGGCTTTATAAACGACGTAAGAAAATTTCTCTGAGACCGTGTACATCGAATCCGTTATGCTGTCAAAAAACAATGTTTGTCATTACGTAACCAAAGTTGAGAATTTCTAAATGAGAGTACCAGTATATTTTTCTAAGTTTACCTTTGAATATTTTTAGTCCAATTATGTTGAAACATGTTTTTAAAATACTGACAACGAATCTTAAGGACAGCCTTGTGAACATAAATAGGTCGTCCTTCGACTCGTATGGTAAGATCGCTCGTAAACTGAAGGATAAAAATTGTCAAATATTAAATAATATTTAAATATTTAATAATATTAGGTTAATATAAAAATTATCATAAAAAATAGATAACATTTTACTTTCTACTTTTAATTCAATATGTAATACTTAATTCAATACACACACACACACACACACACACACATATATATAATTCAATATATGACTAGAATGAGACCTGAAGTCTTAATCAAAACAATCATTAACGATTGCAATTTATTTTTTTCTATATAGAAAAAATCGTCCAAATCTTTCTTAGAAAAAATTACAAATCTCTTACAAATCCCTATATTTTTTATACTCACCAAGCAAGCTAATATAAAAATATGTATTATATACAGGGTGACCCATTTTAACTTAGGCAGCCAAATAACTCGAAAAATAAGCACACTACGAAAAAATGGTTAGAATCAAAATTTCGTCATTTCGAGGGGGACGTACAATGACGTTAAAATCAGCCCCCCCGCCCCTCCCCCTGGGCGATGAGGGGGGGAAGTTTGAAATCTTAAATGGGAACCCCTATTTTTTATTGCATATTCCTGTAGCTTATCTCGAGAGCTTTCCAAAACACTATAATTAAGTACCTTTTTATTAAGTACTTTTTGAGTTATAAGGCTTGAAATAATTTCTTAATTTTACATAAACCATAAAATATCTAGTAAACCATTCATTTTTCGATTATCTTACCTTCATACTTTTATGTACAAAATAATGAGAGGAATCAATTGGTGTAAAGGAAACACATAGTTTCTAAGAAAAAATATGTAATTTGCAATTAACAATTCCATATTTTTTCTTAAAAACAACTGTATGTTTTCTTTACACCAATTGATTCCTCTCTTATTTTGTACATAAAAGTATGAAGGTAAGATAATCGAAAAATGAATGGTTTACTAGATATTTTATGGTTTATGTAAAATTAAGAAATTATTTCAAGCCTTATAACTCAAAAAGTACTTAATAGAAAGGTACTTAATTATAGTGTTTTGGAAAGCTCTCGAGATAAGCTACAGGAATATGCAATAAAAAATAGGGGTTCCCATTTAAGATTTCAAACTTCCCCCCCTCATCGCCCAGGGGGAGGGGCGGGGGGGCTGATTTTAACGTCATTGTACGTCCCCCTCGAAATGACGAAATTTTGATTCTAACCATTTTTTCGTAGTGTGCTTATTTTTCGAGTTATTTGGCTGCCTAAGTTAAAATGGGTCACCCTGTATACTTAATTTTACTATATATAATGCAAAAAGTACATACAAAATAATAATATGAAACATACCGAATCATCGAATGCTGCTCCTAGGGATTCTAATATTTTTAATACTTCTTCAGTCTTGTAATTGTAATTATTTGTAATTCTTACAGTGTGTAAAGAATCATGCACAATCAATGGATTGCACATAGTTTTATGCATACTGTACGCAAACACATCAAAAATCCTTAAAAATTTCGTGGGTAATGGTTTAATAAACATTTGATTGAAGTTATGACCCCATACATAGATGGTCCTATCATAGCCGACGGCAACGCTCGTAAAATCACTGGCCTCAACATTCAAAACCTTTCCCATTTGTGGCACGTTCACCTGTTGATTGTATCATTTTTTATCATAACATTTCTCGTTCCGTTCAGCGCGTGGCGATTACTAAATAGTACTTTCAATATTTATTTTTGAATTACCATGATTGGATCGGAGGAGTTGAAGTTGTTATATACGCCCAGTTGTCCATATTTGTTATTGCCCCAGGCATAGATCTCTCCTTTATTTGAGAGCGCCAACGTATGCAGTTCTCCAGAGACCATTTTAACTAAAATATCAACAATCTCTCATGAAGATAATCGATACTGTAATATTCTTAGAGATGAAATCTCAGACATAAATTTTTAAAAAATTTACCTATTTTATCCGAGAATGTGGTAATTTCGTGTGGATATGCGTATTGTTCTTGCGACTGTATGGTTGAAATCTGGCCTTGGTCGTTCATGCCCCAACCATATAGTTTGTTTTCGTCAGTTATAACCATATTGAATTTTTTACCACATGCGATATGAATTACATTCTTCTTCTTCAATCCATGTTTTACTTGGCTCACCTTACCATTAAAAATAACTGTGTTTTCACTACCATTCTCCATATAAATATTGTCTCCCCAAGCATACACCTAAATTACAAACATTGTTTTAGCTTAGAGAGAATGATTATTATCGTTATGCGATAGTTTAATCTTATGTTTATACCTTTCCATCGCTGGTCAAAACGAGAAAATGATGAAAGCGGCATGCAATGTCCACGATACGTTTCTTGTTAAAGCCGGAGACTTGAGTAAATGCGGACTTGATAGGCCATTTCTTAATAAATCTGTGTTTATCGAATTTCCAGATGTAAACCTTTTAGAAGTAGTATAGTTGTAATACATTTTCTGATTTTATGTATCTTATTTTATATTTGTGTGTGCGTGTGTGTGTGTGTGTGTGTTTTGTTTTAAATTTTACAAACACATTGAATGTAAAAAATTAAAAATGTGCTGCAATCTCTGTTATTCTTTGTGTGTGTTAATAAGATAGTTTCCCTTTATATTTTTTTTCTAATTAAAAAAAAAGTTACATCATTACAATCTTTCACATAATTTAATTTTAAATATCTTAATTTTAAAAATATTTTTATGTTGAAATAATTATTATAGCCAAATATCTGTACTTCTAAGCAATTTATTTATTTAATAAAAATTTTAATTAATTTATCTACTTATTTTTATATAATACACTTTATTATGGTTTCACACATATGTATATAAGTATAAATTTTCATTTCCATTTGTTTTGTCTGAGAAACGTTTACAATTCAGAAGGCTATAACATCTCATTCTATATCAATCTTATTTTTCAAGCAAGTTAAAATTTATTTATTCCTACAAACTCAAGTATGCCAAGGCACATTCAAAGAAGAATATGAACTCTTTGATATACCTCTCCCTCTTCTGTAAGTGCCAGGATGAAATACAAGCCGCAAGCAAAAGTCTTTATGTTTTTTCCACATAATTCTTTTACTTGATTTAAGTTGGGAGCAATAAGTATGCCACCAGTCTTTGAATCTTCATTATAACTTAAATCGTACACATTCTTGTCCTTCGTCAAGATTATAGCGTTTCTACCAGAGACACCTTCAAAATATTAAGATATATAATGTATATGTATATATATATATATATATATATATATATATATATATGGCAATTAACAATGGCATTTTTTTTAAAACAATTATGTATTTTCTTCACACCAATTGATTCTTTTCATTATTTTATACATAAAAGTATAAAGGTAATCGAAAAATGAATATTTTACAAGATATTTTACGGCATATGTTTTAAATTAAGAAATGATTACAGGCCTCATAACTCGGAAAGTACTTAATGAAAACTAACTTAATTATGGTGTTTTAGAAAGCACTCGAGATGAGCTACAAGAATATATATAAAAGCATAAAGTATTCCATTTAAAAGGTTGGAGGTGACCTTTAGGTGACTCTTCAAGGTCAAACTAACGTCACCATCTTATGTCCCCCTCGAAACCATACAACTTTTGTTTAAAACATTTTCACCAAAACCGCCATGGTTTCGAGATATTCAAGTATGAAAAATGGATATATATATATGGGTACCAAAATTTAGCTTGAAACATCTAGTTTTTTATGCCGTCTAGCAATTTTGAAAAATGTCAATTAAATAAAATAATTAAAAAAAATTAAATTTTGTTTTTCTCACTTCAGATTTGGATTCAGTGGATCAAATTACATTAAAAATGACTTTTGTACTTCAAAAAATAATAAAAATTTGAACACGAAAATAGGTACCATTTTTTATTTAACTGACAAAACCAAGGTCATTTGACATTTTTCAAAATCGCCAGACGGCATAAAAAACTAGATGTTTTAAGCTAAATTTTGGTACCTTAGAAGTTAAATTTACTTCAATACAATTTTGGACGGGGGGGGGGGGCGGCTGATTTGACGTGGAATGACCCATATATATATATATATATATATATATATATATATACATATATATACCTAATAAAAAATATAATGAACAATATAATAAAAAATGGTAAATTTTACCAAATACCATAACCATGTGAATTTGTCGGATGAATTCCGACTTTAGCATATGAAAGAACGCCCAATGTTTAAGATCCATTATCGTTATCTTCTCCGCTAGAACGCATTGCAAAATCCTCTTCTCATATTTCTGCATCTCACTACGAATAATTTAATAACTTTAACTTTAGTTACCTCATTCACTTTAATTTGAATTAATTGTATCTACTTCATGTCGTCGCACGGTTTTTATCTTCATCTATTATCTTGCCGACATCTGCGATTATTTCGACATCGCTATCGCCCATCAGTAACTTGTGAAAAGAAGAAGAAAAGCAAAGCTATACTTACTGTTTTTCGTTAGTTGTTATTTCTGAATTTCTCTTCTCTATATCTTCCGGGGAACAGAATTTTTTCGATAAAATCGACATGATAAAAACGCGACTTTGTGTCGGCATGGATTGAAAAATACGTTTTCTTCTCCTTTTTCTCTCAAACACAACTCATTCGAAACGCTCTTATTACTTCCTTCGCAGAAAGATCAAGTCGAAATGCACTTATACGATAATAAAAATAATTGAAAATGGATGAAAAACTATTCCTGTGCACCACGTGTTCTTCACAGTTCCTCTCTTGTCGAATGTTGCCACGTTAGTGAGATCACAATGTAACCACGTGGTATAAAAAATGCTAAGGCCCTTGGCTAGGCAACGGGCTAGGCAACGAGCAATAGGAATAGGGAATGAAAAGAGATCATTCACCAATAAACACACGGAATAGAAAATAATCACCAATAGGAGCAAAGAATAGATACTATTTCTTATTGCCTGTTGCCTAGCATTGTGCAAAGGTCTCTATTCTTCTGTATGTGGCAAGAGTAGAAGGGGATGTATACACTTATAATCGACGAGTTTTGCTTACTTCTTTGTAAGGATTAAGAATTTCGTCCAAGTGAATACTTTTATACGAATAACGAATAAAAATACACGTATAATACATGTAAAAAAATATGCAGAAATCAACAGAGAGATATGGGCCTGTTCTTTTTAGTTGCAATTAGTTAGAGTGAAAGAAAGTATGTTTATCTCTTTCTAACTTATTGCACTAGTGTAGCAGTGTAGCTAAAAAGAACAGACCCATTATTTCAACTTGAAAAACGCGCAGGCAGAAACGTGCGACGTACTTTGTATGTGATTTGTTGCACACTAAACTGGACAAATATATGTATATAATTTATATGTATATGTTCTAATTAGTATTTATTTATGAATTAAAACTTCTAATTTATTTTTGAAATTGCATATATAAATTGACAGAGATTTAAGTATATAAAGCTTATAATCGAAATGAAAGTATCCAAGGTTTATGGCGGTTATTTATGCTTATACAATTTTGCCTACTCACGCGAAAATTTTCTTTGTCGCCATCAGATTAAATGAATTACATTAAATGAAAAATATGCTAACTAGAACGACACTAAGAAGAACTAGAATGGATCTATAATTTCTTCTTTCGGTTACAACTAATCAATTCTTTAATTATAATTGCATGTATAGAAAAGATCTATATTATTGTATATAAGAAAAAAAGTATCAATATTGTAAATGATTTTCTGATTGAAATTTTTAATATTATTTTTCTTTGTTTTTTATAATCTCGATAGATTTTAATATGTTTTTAGTAATTCTTTCCCTTTTATACTCATTTTTTATAAAAGACACTAGTGAAAAAAAATTTTTTTTTGAGAAATAAAATTTCTTATTTCTTTTTATCAAATTTATTATTTAAGAATTGAATCAATTTTGTAAATATCCCAATTCATAAATAAAATTAGATAAAATCATATATTATATTAATGTACATTACGTAATATTACCTTAAACTATAAAATGGTAACTAGAAGAAGATTTATTGGACATATATAGCTTCAATGATTCATGTATATGAATAAAAAACGATCTGCGATTTGGTTCGAAACTTATGTCAAAAAAATCATATTTCGAGAGTATTTCCTTTAGCTGCTCTGTGCATAAAATTATCCTTTGTACTCGTGTCTAACTTAATATACTCTTCCGATAATACTACAGCTTTCATGTGACGCAGAGCAAACTGGAAGCAGAATTCTTTGAGTTCCTGTAATTCATGATATACGATGATATATTGTATACACATAAATAAATACATTACAATTAAGGGAGGACACCACTGTAAAATTTTCAAAAAATCGATTTTTGGAAACACTTTTAAAAAATTGTTTGAACCTTTAAACGTACTTCAAAAGTACGATGCATATTCGTTTATAGCTGAAAAAAAATTTTTTTAAATGGTTTTCGAGCTATTTTTGAGGAGCGTCTCTGAGCGCTAAAAAGCGCCTTCGGCAATGCGATGCAGATAGACGCAGTTCTCGACCCTTGTGAGTTTATTATTTTTGGGGAAAAAGTTGACCGACTGAAATAAGTTTTATTTTCTACCAATAAGTGACATTGCATTACGAAAAAAAAAATTTTCATCAGCTGTAGCGTTTATAAAACCGTTGACTAGACGCCGTTTGTTTTCACGTGTTTTCGGTGCGCAGCAGTTTCTCTCTACTTATTGTTTGTTTACGAGTTCTTGTGTGTATTTTCTGTATATTTTGGAGCAATGTCTACGCCGGGTAAACTGTATAGACCAAGTAAAGGCTTTAAGAAGCATTACGCGACTGCCCAGCCGGCTCAGAGTCATGGTGCTCTTGGCAACGTGCTAAAACTGCTAATGATTTAGCAAAATACAATCATAATCCGGCTATGTGTAATAAAGTATACGAGGCAATCAAGCTTATTTATGATGATTTAAGTAGAGACGAACTTCTTCAGCGCTGCTGAGGCGGATATACGCAAAATACGAACGAGTGCTTCAATAAAGTCGTGTGGACGATCGCTCCGAAAAATTATTCTGGTGGAAAATTATTGCTCGACGTTGCAGTTGATGTAGCCACATTGACATTTAACAATGATCTTATGTCTCTTGCCAAAGTTTTGGAAGTAATAGGCGTGAAAATCGGGCCCAACTGCTATAATTTCTGCATGAAAAGTGAAGCAATCCAAATCCGCCAAGGCAGAGCGATCGATGTCGGATCAGGCAAAAGATGCTGGAAGAGCTAATTTGGCAGCTCGGGGAGAAGAAAACGAGGCTGATCTCAACGTGGAAGGACAACTGTACGGAGCTGGAATCACTGATTAAAGGTACATAAAGAATTTCTTAAGTTATAAACAATTTATTGATACCGAAAACTTTAAACGCGTTTTTCTCAAAACCATGTTTTTGAAATCGGCACGCAGCAGAACTCAAACAATTTTCATCCGATCTATTTGAAATTTTAACTGTAGCTTCTTAGATCGATTTAACAGTCAAGTACCAGCGCTTTTTTCGATTAATTGAAAATTGTAAAAAATATATCACTTTTTATACGAAAATTATGGTCGAAAAATCGAACTTTTTATTCAAACTCGTCTCTATTTTTTTTTTAAATCTTTTTATTTCCTTCGTACTTGACTGCTAAAACTAATATAATTAACGAAAATATTTCACTTTTTGTTCCAGGATCAAATTTACGACAGTTCTACTGCGTGCCGCGGAGAGAGTTGGCTAAAAACTAGTAGTGATGTAGCGACTCGTGCGCCGCTATTCTGTGTTCTTTTAACAAAAAAAAAATTTTTTTACGTACTTCAATATATGTCTAATAAAGCCCAAAAGTTCTTTTGACCATATATTTTATTCCTTTCTCAAAAAAAAGTACCAAAGAAAGCTGTCGAAAATGGGCAGTTACAGTGGTGTCGTCCCTTAATAAATTCCAACAGTAATAGTAATTAACTCCAAACTGTGATACTTACCTTAGCATTGCATTCGATAGCTTTATTGTAGAAGAAGGCTACATTTGACACAGTAATGACTTTCTTTATTATCTGACTGCAATCTCTTATAAGATTGGTTTCACAATACATATCGGCCAATTCCATAAGTTCTGTAAAAAAGTGTCGTTTCAGTTTCCGAATTGTAAGTATGTGATAATTTACATTTACAGTTTCAATTACCTAATGCATTCTCCGAAGGTAAATCGATTATGCCGGTATATAAATATTTTAAGAAGGCTTTATAAACGACGTAAGAAAATTTCTCTGATACCGTGTACACTGAATCCGATATGCTGTCAAAGAACAATGCTTGTCATTACGTAACCAAAGTTGAGAATTTCTGAATAAGAATACCAGTTTTTTTTCTAAGCTTACCTTTGAATATTTTCAGTCCAATCATGTTGAAACATATTTTTAAAATACTGACAACGAATCTTAAGGATAGTGAACATAAATAGGTTGTCCTTTGACTAATATTATAAGATCATTCGACAACTGAAGTGCAAATTATTAAATAATAATATTAGATTGTAAAAATTACCATAAGAATATGTAATTTTTCACTTTTAATGTTATAATTCAATATATGACTGGAGTGAGACTAAAAGTTTCAAAATAACCGTTAACACAATTGTAATTTATTTTTTCTAGTAGAAAAAAACCTAATTCTTTTTTATAAAATCTACAATTCTCTTATAAATCTCCATTCTTTATAACAACCAAATCAAAATGAAAATATGTATCACATAGTTTTATGCAAAATAAAAAGATGCATAAAGAATAATAATAAAACATATCGGATCGTCGAATATTGCTCTTAGAGACTTTAATATATTTAATACTTCTTTCACATACTTGAAATTATTCATAAACACAATCGATGAATTGTGCACACTACTCCACACACTGTGCGCAAAATGCGCAAAACGCATCATGAATTTTCGAAACTTTGTGGGAAACGGTATAGTATTATGAAGATCAAAACAAAATTTACGTCACACATAGACAATCTTATCACAGCCAACGGCAACGTTCAAGTTACAATAAGCAGCAATATCCAAAATCTTTCCCATCTCGGGGATGTTTACCTGTCGATCATATCTTTCCTTATTATTTCGTTTCTTGTTTCACTCATCATGGCAATTATTAAAAAGTTTTTTATTAATAATTCATAAGTTACCACGATCGGTCCGGAAGGTTTCTGGTTGCTATTTACACCTACTTGTCGAAATAAGTTCGAGCCTCAGGCATAGATTTCTCCTTTATTTGCGAGCGCCAATGTATGCCCGTCTCCACAGACCACCTTAACTGAAACATCAATATCTCATGAAGATGTTCGATACTGTAACATTCTTAGAGATGAAATATCAGACATAAATTTGAAAAATAGTTACCTGTTTTATCCGAGATTCTGATAATTTCGCGTGGGTATTTATAATATTTTGCACGGTCGAATATAATCTGGATGCTCTTGTTATCGCGTCAACCGTATAGTTTACTTTCGTCAGTTACAACTATGTTAAAATTTGAATCACACGCGATACGGACAACTTTCCTTTTCTCCAATTCATGTTTCACCTGCCACGGTACACTAAAATTAGTTATGTTTTCGTTAACAACCTAACTATCATTTTCTTTCCAATCACTTTCTTCCGAATCATTTTCTTCCCAATTCTTTTTTCCCCAAGCATACACTTAAATAACAAACAATTGTTTACTTTATGATAATAATTATTATCGTTATCATTGTGGTAGCATAATCTTTTATTTACCTTTCCATCGCTAGTCCAGAGCGAGACCACGACACTGTTCGCATTCGATGTTTACGATACGCTTGTCGCTTAAGCTAGTGACTCGAATAAACGTGGATACAAAATTACATTACGTCAAAAATTACATTACTGAAATACAAATACTTCGCGATTTTGCAGAAATAAATCTTTTAAAAATAACATAGATGTAATACATTTTTTGATCTGAATTACATTTGGAATATTTAAGTGTGAAGACACTACTTGAAAAGACTTGAGAAAAAATTCAGTTTGATATTATTCCATCCTAAGTAATTTTCATGATAAATTTATATACCATTTTTAGCCTTGTTGATATGTGTAAAAGAATTGAAAGTTTTCTCACATTTTTAAAATGTTACGTAACTAAGTGTGACAGTGTTGTTCCATCATGATTTATTGAAAATCTCGGCTAATGAATTGTCAGCTAATTGTCACTAATTGTCAGCGACATGATGCCGTTTGTACTTTACGAATTTAAAAATTACTTATATGTACATTAATAGCTAAAAAAATCAGTTACTTTCTTATGAGTTGTTAATGTATGTTACAATATCTTTACGTTCGAAAAAATCAAATAATTGACAGGCACAAAATAAATGGTTTAATTACTATAACAATGTGAACGTTTTCATAGTCATCAATCAAGCACTGCGATAAATGACTTTTGTTAAAATATCGCGAAATTAGTCACAAAGTCTATATAAATGGCAGAATCTTTATCAATAATATTATGCATACACACAATACAGAACATTGCCATAATCAACTAATATTCTGTTCTATATTGTTTTAGACTAGATCAGGAAATGATACAAGGATTGCATTTAAGCGCGACTTGGAAATTTTATTTCACTATAATTATCGCGGTACGATAACACACTTGGCAATGTATCTCATACGTAGTATTTAAAAAAGCTAAATACATTATTTTCTGCAATTAGTTAAGTAAATTATTTATATCTGATAGTAGAAAAAGTACTTAATAATACCTGATAGAATGCGAAAACTGTAATAACTGTGAAATTTTTATAAAAAATTAAAATACGAAACACGAATTATTTATCTTCGTATGTTATTTATTATTTAATAAATTACTTACTTATTATTTAATAAATTACTATAAATTTATGAAAAAAATCTCAAATTTAAAAAAGAAATATTGAAATATGAAAATTTTACATTAATCTGCAATCTCTTGTGTATTGCTTTAGATTAAACTCGGAAATAACACAAGGATTACATTTAAGTATTATTCGTAAATCTTATATTTTTTAAATTATATAATATATATTGATAATATATCGATAAGATAATAGCAATATAATATATGTAACGATGCCATAAACAATGTCCAAAAAAAATCACATTATTTTCTACAATTAATAATCTAAATAATGTGTGCACATAATAATACCTGATAGTAAAAAAATATAATTATTACATAATTAACATAACTTTACAATATAATAAAATATGTTAATATAATTTTTTTCAACAACTTTAACTTTACAATCAGAATCTCTTACAATTCTTTTAAAATTACGACATAATAAAATACTATAATAGCTAAAATTACATTATAGAAAAGTGGAAAATTATTCTTTTCTCAAAAAAGAAATATATTTTTAAACTGTATAATAGATTAAGAATTCTTAAATTTAATGTATAAAATATAAAGAATGCATTCTGATTGTAAATACATATAAAATGAAACATAATATTTATAATTAATACAAAATTAATATATAAATATGTTTATTAATATATAAATATATAAATATGTTACCAAATGCGCATCCTTTTATTTAACATCTGTTCATATATTAAAGAATTGTTTATTCTCTTCATGTATACCTATAAGTAAATCATTAACAAATGATATGAATATATATTTGATGCTATAATTGAATCCATACATACCAACTGGTCAACACGTTAATTTATTATTATATATATTATTATATATATTATATATTATTTATTATTATATATTTTACATTTATTTTGATATACAAAACATAAAAATAATATAAAAAGTTATAATTGTTTCAATATAAATTTTCATAAAATATTTTAAATATTACGATCTACCTTAGTTCTTTTTTGAAGCAAGAACGAGAGCAGCTTTAGCAGGCAAGTTTATTTCTTTTGTGTTCACCGTCGTTCTGAAATATATGTATCAATAATCAATACAAAATTCTTAAATATGTTTAAAATACGTTTAAAATACTTAAATATGTTTAAAATACTTTTTTTTTATTTGTTAAAAGTTTGCTTTTTTATATGGAATTAATAAAATATTGGATTAATATAATATTCATACACACTCTCTAAAAATGAATCAGTATATTATCACTGAAAACAGTAAACAGAGTCACTGATATAGCAGTTATAAGTTATTATAGCACTGTAAATCAATAATATTTCACTGAAAGAATTAGTAATATTGACTGCTTTAATCAGTTAATTTATTTATTTCGTATAAAATTAAAAATTTTATTTATATTTATATGCATATTAGAACATGAATGTTAAATAAATGATGATTTATTTTACATCTTTAATATGTAATGAACAGATTCATCATTTTCGTTTATTCGCCGGACATTTATTTATCCGAGTTATAAAATCGATTTAATATCTAAAGTTCCTCTATTGTCAATTACAGTCAATATTACTAATTCTTTTAGTGAAATATTATTGATTTACAGTGCTATAATAACTTATAACTGCTGTATCAGTGACTCTGTTTACTGTTTTCAATGATAATACATTGATTCATTTTTAGAGAGTGTGTATGAATGTATTATTTTATTAATTTTATTAAATTATTAATTATAAATTTATTAATTCCATTAAACAATTCCAAAAAACAAACATTTGACGAATAAAAGGAAAAAACGTATTTTAAACATTTTTCAAATGGAATTTTTATCAGAAGAGAAATGTATCACTTAACGTTCTTCAAGTGGACATTTTATTCGATCAGAAACGTTTTCAAGAGTCAGTTATGAAACGTTTTAAAGAAACATTTGTGACACGTTTTTGAAACGAATATATGCTACCTAGGACGCTACTAGGTAACGTCACGATTGTGTAGGTAAAAACTGTTAATAAGTTAGAAAAAAATATTTATGCACTTGACGTCGCGACAATAATATAGTATATATATATATATATATATATATATATATATATATATATTATTTGTACTAATATTTACATAATATAAATTATTTTAATTTATATTACTCTCGTTTATCTCTTTAAAACATTTAAAGTTACTTTTAAACATTTAAAGTAATTAATAAAAAATAAAAAGAATTAAAATAATAATAAATAATTATGTAAACCCTTTTATATGAAACTATTCATATTGTTATTAAAACTAATGTAAAACAAAAAATTACTATTTATGTAAATTAAGTAATTATGTAATGATAAAATATTATTAAAATAATATTATTTAAATGTAATATATATTAAAATATATAATAAAATAATAATAAAATACAACCTAACAATATAATATTTAAATATTAATAAAATGTTATTTTATATATATTTACCCTTTTTTAATTGGAGAACCGATAGTGACAACTTCAACAACAAGTTTGTTTGCAAGTCCTTGGCTCGTTAAATCGACTATTTGGGCGATTTTGTCATTGAAATTGATAAGAAGTATTATGCTTTGCTCATTATACTGCCGAATTACAATCAAGACTTGGTCATTACTCTGTACCAACGTCGTAAGATTTCCCTGTTGTAGCGCTGCTTCGCGTTGACGCATCTTAATTAAAGAAGTATAGATCTTGTAATGTGACTCGTTGGCGATTTTTTGCTTTGCTAAATTCAATTCGATATAGTTTTCATGTACAGGAAGCCATGTGTGATTAGCTTTACTGAAACCTTCAAAATAAATAAAAAATAAACATTTAGATCACCATTTCTTTTTTATGTTTAAATTATTCATCTGAATATTTTATTTTCTAATTTAAGAAAATGAAAATAGCTGATTAATATGTGCTTTCAATCATTTTTGTCTATAATAATTCTTTCAACTAATATTCTAAAAAATTATTTATATAAATAATTTACCAGCATTCTTTGTGGCGTCCCACTGAAATGGCGTGCGATTGCGGTCGCGCGATAGATTCTGATATTTATCCTTTCCAGCATTACAAGCTTGAGGATCCTGCGTGTCCTCCCAAGATATATCCCGTTTATCAAGCATGCCGATTTCTTCGCCATTGTAAGTAACTGCGATACCAGGTAAGATCATCTCTAACATTATCATTTGATCTCCTCTTCCAGGATAACGAGATGCAGTTCTACTTTTATCATGATTTCCCATCTATAAAATTATCATATTATTATATAATTTTTATTATATTAGAATTTCCAAAAATATTATTTTAAAAACTATAGGAACTATAGAACTATATAAAATATCTTTTTAATATCTTTGTATTTATTATGCAATTTATAGTATTATACAAAACAGTCACATTTTTATTAATTCATTTAAATATTGAATTGCAATCATTAATTTATATCTTATCTTAAAAATAAATGCATATGTGAATTTTACTTACCACCCAATTTGGACTCTCATCATTCGGCGTTTGAAACATCCAGTCATCGATAATGCGTTTAAAATCCGCAGCTTTAGAAACATTATTCACATCCGAAATAAATTTGAAGTTAAAAGGCACATGTGAGCCAAATTTATAATACTTCGTAGTATTCTCCAAACTCGTATAAGCTTCAGTCATTATCACCTAAATCAAAATATCTATTCATTTATAAACATCTATTAATTAATCTTCTATTAATCATCTATTAATTAATATTCATAAAATATCGAATAATCAGTATATAAGAAATTTAATGAAATAGAAATCTATATATAATGAATACGATGAAAATATAAAATATTTGTTTGGGTCTCGTGAATTTATTTGTGTTTTTTCACCTCAAGAAAGCTAATGTTTTTTTTTTACTTATCATATATGTATATGTATATTGTTACGCCCGCGGCGAGGACTTCGATAAATATCGAAGTCGCGCACGAAAAGATCGGCCGCTCGCGAGTCGCGCGAAATAAAGAGACACTTTTAAAAGTAACTAAGAGCTTTAATGCACAACACAGGGCAACACAAACGATAACACAAAACGATTCAACACAAAATTAGCGGCTCAATGCAAATTCGCGTCCGCGTAGCCAGACAGCTGGAACCGAACTCAGCTGACAGTCGTTGTTTGTAAATAATCTTCTTGCCGACGGGATCCGGACAACGGCAGGGCCGTGACGACTCGGGCGCGCGCGTAACAATATAATAATTATATCGCAACTTATCTAATTTTTATATAATATAGTAATACATAAAACAAAGTAAATTAAAGAAATGCACTTGCTTTTTCATCCTCGTTATGATAATCCGCGTAATCGTCCAAAACTTTTCGCCAACTTGCTACCAGATCGTACGTGCGTGGATCGTCTTTAGTGTAAATATGCTCTAAATACGAATAATCACGTTCAGTAGCTCCCGGCGCGTAACTTCTGGGTTCATTCGGAAAATTTGCATCTTCGAACAAATGCGGAATAGCATCCACACGGAATCCGTCGATGCCTTTTCGTAGCCAGAATCTAATCACATCCTATAAATTGTTAATGCTTAATTGAAAATGTTAAATAGTTAAACGAAATTTCTAGGATTATTTCGGTGATATAGCATGTATATATATATATATATATATATATATATATATATATATATACAGGGTGTCCAAAACTCATAATCAAACTTTCAAAAACAGATTCCTGGGATCATTTGGAGACGATTTTTCCTCAGCAAAAATGTCGATGAAGGCTATCATTTTTTATGTGTTCCCGATTTTTGTCATCATATATCTTTGCAATTAAGCCTTAAATTAAAACTCAACTAAAGTAAACTCTATTTAAAATTAATCGAAGAATGTGGTTTTGTCAATATTTTATTTCTACAAAGCTTTAGTTTACGAAAAACCCCTTATTTCCAATCACTTATAATTCGAAAATTATTAATGCCTTGACATTTTCGTTAAGCAAAAATCATCTTCAGATGATCCTAGGAATCTGTCTTTGAAAGATTGATTATGAGTTTCGGGACACCCTGTATATATTATTATTATTATTATTATTATTATTATTATTATTATTATTATTATTATTATTATTATTAATATATGTATATTTATATTTTTCTATATTTATTTGTATAATACTTATATTGCATTCATTTGACTTTTTAAAATTAAATTGTAAATTAAGTGCTTTTATATTTTAATTTATCATTTATTTTTTTTTTTTTGGTGGCAAGTAATATTACGTAATATAATAAACGAAATATTCGTACTAATTAAATTCATTTCAATATTTAAATTCATACTAATAATTTTCTTATTTACAAATAATTTTTTGATTCATCAAAATATATTTTATTTTTATTCTTTTATAAAAAAAATTATTACTTTTGTAATAAATTATAAATTAAATTAATTTATATAACCGTTTATTTTTATATAACCGTTTAAATTATTTATTTATTGTTATTATTATTATTATCATTATTATTATTTTCATTATTATTATTATTATCATCATCATTATTACTATTATCATTATTATTATTATTATCATTATTATTATTATTATTATTATCATTATTATTATTATCATTATTATTATTATTAAAATTATTATTATGTGTAAATTCTTTTAGTATAACAACTAATGTTATTATATACTTATATAAACACGGTAAAAAACATTTTGTATTTCTTTTAAAATTTTCTCGTGTAAAAATTTTTGTATTAAATTTTTAACATACTCTTATATTAATGTAACATATTATCGTTGCGTTATTTTGACATTTCTGCATTGAGCTAATATTCATCGTTTTTAAAAGTTAAACAACAACACAATTAATATGTAAATGCACGAATTTTTGATGAAATATGTTATATGTTAAAATAAACAGATAAGTTGTGTTATTTTTCTTTCTATAACACTTTTCATATGTTAGATCGAGATATCTCTTCTGTTATTTATCATAAAAATGTAAGAATAACATTTTTTTTTAAATTAAATTTAACATTATAAATATGTTAATTTAATATATTTATTTCCAGATAAAATTTAAGTGTTACACTTTTGTGTTAATTTTTAAACATATTACTTGTGTTATTTATTTACACACTTGCCTTCTGTTAAATTAACATTAAAATTAGAATGGATAAATTAGGACATGTGAAATATGTTAAATTTGACACAAAATTTTTTACTGTATATTACTTACTTCCATTTCATCTCGCACCTCGGGGTTACTATAATTCAGATCAGGTTGCCTATATTCAAATTGATGAAAATACCATTGATTACGATTCGTATCAAAGCTCCAAGCTGGGCCACTAAATACGCTGATCCAATTATTGGGCGGTGATTGATTATTATTATTGCCAGTTTTCCATATATAATAATCTTTGTATTTGCCTTCTCCAATAAGACTCTTTCTAAACCACTCATGCTTATCAGAAGTGTGATTTGGAACTAGATCCAAAATCACCTACCAGAAAGAATATTTCGATTTTCGATTTATTAAGAAAGAGAAAAATAAGAAAAAAGAAACAAAGCAAATAAATTTCACATGTTTACCTTTATACCGAGTTTTTTCGCTTGAGCAATTAACTTCTCTATATCTCCTATTGTACCAAAAGTCGGATCGATATCTTTGAAATCGGAAATATCATATCCGGAATCAACCATCGGACTTGTGTAAATCGGCGATAGCCAAATGCCAGTGATTCCGGAGTCTACGAAATGCTGTAGTTTCGATAATATTCCTGTACTCAGAATATATAAATAAGAACAAAATAAATATTCTTTCTTTAATTATATTCTATAATTTTCTATAATTTATATAAATTATTCAGTCAATATAAATTATTCTTATCGACTTTATATTATTTTATTTATTTGATGGCTATAAGAAATTAAAAAAGAAAGGCTTCGGGCCGTAGGGTGGTGGTACCAAATAACCATAAAAAGTTAAAACTGTAAAAACAGACCACTAAGGTTGAAAAGTAAAGCTTTTTATGGCTTTTTATTCAATTTTTGCATTTTCTACTATGTGTATTTCCGACCATTTCTTTATGCGTTTAAATTTGTAACCGTTATTAAGGTCCTCATGACTTTCTTTGTTTCATGCTTAGCGTTTATTTTTATAATTTTGTATGACATTGAAAAGGATCTGTAGAAGATCGAAACGTGCGTTGTCTCTTAGAATGTATTTAATAATTTTGTGCTCTGACAGATTTTCCTATTAAATTTACTTTTCAACCTTAGTGGTCTGTCTTTACAGTTTTAACTTTTTATAGTTATTTCGTACCACCACCCTACGTCACGGCCCGAATCCTTTCTTTTTTAAATTTTGTATTATTATTATTAACGGACCGTTAACACCTCTAATTTTTTTAGTTTTTATAAGAAATTAATGTTATATGACTTTTCTCTCACCGTTTAAATCACCTACACCATCGTTATTCGAATCCATGAAACTTCGCGGATAAACCTGATAGAATACTGCATTTTTCCACCATCCTTTATTATATATCTTAGCAAATGTGTTACTTGCAAGAAGCAAAATAACGATCAGACATATTGCTCGCGACATTTTGACAATAATTCCTGATCAATGTACAAAATCACTGAGATATTTTATTAAAAATACGCAATAAACTATCTTAATAGTACTTGAAATAAAATAAATCAATAAACATATTTAGAATAACTTTAAAATTTCTCCACCAAGATAACTACTGTACTGATTGACTTTTCGGAGTCACAAAACATTATATATGCCCAACATCATAAATAAGACCTTAATGATTAAAGATTGATGACGTCGCGTCGTATGTTCATGATAAAGAATTGATATGAATATGAGAATTTTGTTTAAATATAGCTGTTCCGCGGAATCATCATTTCGAAGAATCAATTAATTCTATGTAAAAACTTATGGAGATTCATTAATAACTTCATATGAATATTTTTCTGAATAGATAAATCATTTCTTATTTAATAAATATTATTTGAATAAAGATAGTAATTTTCTTAAACATATTATTATCATTCTCAATACATTATTTAAAATAATTATCTGCCTTTTCTTATTAATCTTATAATATAAGACATTAATAAAATAAAATATATTAACTTATCATATTACTAGTGACCAGAGAGAAAAGATAATTTTATTTAAAACATAAAATTGCATAAAGAAAGAAGAATTAATTAGAATCAACGTATGAATTGAATGTTCAAATACTTACTGCAATTAAAAATTTCTCTTAATAATTTTTTCATCAATAGCATTTATTCGAAATCTACCATCAAATTCACGTAACCAGTAACTAAAAATTATTGATTCAATAGTATATTTATTATAATATTTATTGTACACTATCGCTCAAAAGTATTTGGCCACCCTTAATTTAAGAGAAAACTCGAAAACGAAATTGTGTCTATTGCCTTTCATCGATGTTTATTGTTTATGCGCTAACGGAAAGTCGTTCTCAATAGCTATATTATAAATATCACTTCATGTTTACTAACAGATAGCTACAAAGCTAAATAAGGTATTTATGACTCTTGTCCTAGAATAAATACTTTTAAGTTTTTACTATAAAGGCGCGTGTTTCATCTAAAGAAATTTTAGAAAAATTAATAAGAAGATTGCCGAGATTTTGTAAAGCTGTCATAAAAAATAAAGGAGGATGTATGGATGAATCAAAAATTTAAAATTTTTGTATATTTTAATATTAAATATATAGATTAATATAAATAAATGATTTTATTCATAGTCATTTAAACACAATGTACCTAGGTGGCCAAATACTTTTGAGCGGTAGTGTATATATAAAACTAATATAGTATTTATTATATATATATATATATATATATATATATATAATATAATATAATATAATATATATAAAGCACTGTGTGTTTTTAGTAATATTTATATTGCATAAAGCTTAAATAAATCTAGTTATAAATATTATTTTAAACAAATTATGTTTGGATTTTATTGTTCACATTTTTTATTTCTATTCAAAATCCTATTTTCCATGGAAATTTAAATGGAAATTTATGTCCAAACTATAACCATAGCAATTCTTTATATCAGATGAAAATGCTGTTTTTATTTTAATAGAATATTTTATTTTGTTTTTTAACAATTTTCGAGGAGTTGTCATACATCAAAATTATGTTTTCAAAATAAACAACATAAGTATACTTTTACTAATATTTTTAAAAATATACTTTAATAATTATTATGTATAATTTACATATCGTTAACTATCACATTATTATTTAAAATAAAATTACCAGAGAAAAAATTTCTGCAATCAATAATCTGCAGTTGATATGTATCTAAATGTATAATTATAGTATAAAACCGAGAAAGATTCTTAGTAAAAAACAAGAATTTTAATTAAATTTAATTAGTCATTTTATCTTTGATTTCTGATACGGATTTCTTATTAAATGAAAATTTAAACAAAAATTATCACAATAATAATTGTCACAGTATGTAAGATATTAATAAACATTTATAAGATATCAAGCGCAAAAATGCAATGAATGCAATAATAAAACTGTTATTATTAAATTAAAAAGCATCGTTAAGAAATAAGTAACGAAGAAAAATCCGTCATTTATGACAATTGATCACGTTGCAATATATTTCAAATGAAAAGGTTTATATCTCACAACATGTATAAACAGATAATAATATCAACGAACGCATGACGTGTATCTAATTACGTGTGATATAAGTTTGTTATATATCTCAAAAATTTTTCCAGAAAAATAATAAGACTGTGACTATATGAAGACTTCATTAAATTTTCAAAGATGTTTTTAATAAGTAATTTACTCATTTAAGCATTTTCTTTAAAATATCGAGCAAAACATTTCTCGCATTATTGGCAACAGCTATCAGTGATTATTAATTTTTTAATCATTAAATATATAATTAAAAATTTATTTATCTTAATAGCAACTTTAAAAAGGTAAAGCATTTATATAGATAATTTATTTTATTTAATATTATATTTTTTTTATTTCGGGAAGAGCCGCTGATGCTAGTAAATAAAATAGCAAACATATATCTATCTCCTAAAAATTATTCTGTAAATATTCCGGGCGGATCGTCTCAAGTTGAGGTAACAATGAAATAAAACAATAAAGAAGTGAAAATAAAATAATAATAAAAACGAATATAACAAAAACAAATCATTTTCGATACTTTTTCGATAAATTAAAATCAAGAGACACGGTGTCTCGCCGGTGAGAGCCAAGTTTTTTTAATGTACAAATTTTTATTCTTAGTTGGCGCCATTTTTTTATATCTTTTTTTATATCACTATTTTTGTAGACAATATGACAGTTGGATACAATTAGTGCATAAACTTGACGTCCTCTTTTTACCTTTTTTTAAAAAGGTAAGTTTTTGGGGATTAAATATACTTGAAAGGGAGGTTATCGAAAAATTCAAGCAAAAAATTTAATAATAGGTTCAAAAATTCAATAACAGATATAAATTTAAGAGCAAATTTTAAAAATATTATATTATCGATTTTAAGGGCGTTTATATTATAATTTTAATTTTTAACGGTTTTAATTTCTTCACCTACAATATTATAAAATAACATTATTAAATCAATATATACACAAAACAGGCATGTTAGGCAGATTTAGAGAGTCTAGCAATATTTGTATGTATACAATCATATCATACATCAGTCTTTACCCGACCTTTCCTTCTTTCTTATAGACACCAGTTTCTGTATTCTTCGTACTTTTCCTTAAATTCTCATTTTGTATTCAGTAATACACGAACTGTGATACATAGCGGATATCATGTCGACAGTACAGGGACCGTCAAGAAGATACTCCAAATATTGGGTATGGGATTATTTTTCGATAAAAGATAATATAAGTACGTCGGTATGCGATATTTGTGATACAAAAAAGGGCCATAAAAAGAATGATAATGATATAAAAGAAATGACTAAACATTTATCTGATATGCATCCGCGAAATTATGGCATAATTGCAAAGAAAAAAAACAAAGATTGGGAATCGCTCTTTGAAAGGAAGGAATGCTCAACTGATACTGCAACAAGCATTAATATACAGTGCAAACTATGTGATCCAAATAGTAATCCATATAATATGAAGCTTGGAATATACGTGACTCGCCATATGGAAACACATTTAGAAAACGAACATAACGTTACGGAAAGTGAATGGGAAATTCTTCGAAACTGGCGAGACACGAACCTCGAGGATTATTATGACCTGACTGAGGAACAAGGATCGATAAAAAGAACAAAATCGTGTAAAAAATGTGAAGATCATGAGTTTCAACGTAGTAATCTGTGCATCATGCTAAAACATTTGATCCAATATCATGATTCCGAGATTACCTTCGGATTACTTCCGGATAAAATACGTTTACCTTTGGATATACTACCAAAAGGGTAAGAAAAACGGCAAAACTCAAATTTTATTAATTTACCGATTTTGAATCATTTATATATACTATTATGTATACTCTTTTATATATACTCATTTATATATACATTTTATATATTTATACATTTTATATATTTATATATTTATATATTTATATACATTTATATTCATTTATATATTTATATATTTATATACATTTATATACATTTATATACATTTTATATATTTATATATTTATATACTCTTTTGTTATTATCATGCAATAGTATATATATTATATATACTATTGCATGATAATAACAAAAGAAAATCATGGATATAAAACTATAAAATTCATATATTTAGCACATATAGTATGTATTTACGATAAATATTTGGTACATATAGTTGGTATATATATTTGAGTCAATTTAACTTATTGTTAGGTGTTACCGCATAAAAATATTTATATATTACATATATAAATAAATATAAAATTTATTAGTTTAGTATTTCGATAATTGAGAGAGAGAGAGAGAGAGAATTTGTAAAACTTTATGTAAATATAAATTGAATATAAGTATAAAGAATTTCTTTTTAAATAATCGACCGAAAATTTTGATTTTTTGATATAAAATTTTTAAGAATACTCAAGTTTTTGATAATATTTTAATAATAAAAGTATTTTTTGACATTAAAAAATAATAGTTGAATAATTTGATGATATATATTGTATTATGCATATAATTGAAGCTATATTTTATGTATTAATTAATACAATTATTTTTTATGTTCTAACAGATTCAACAGAAATCCATCGAATGATCCTGTAGATCCTGTAGATCCTGTAGATCTTGTCGATCTTGTAGATCCTGTAGATCCTGAAGATCCTGTAGATCCTGTAGATCCTGATGTTGCATCGAGCAGCAATCCAGAGCCATCAGTAAAACGAAGAAGACCAGTTTTCAAAAGTTGGATGTGGGATTATTTTTCGATAAAAAATGACGCTATAAGTATGTCGGTATGTGATATTTGTGGTACAGAAAGGGGCCATGAAAAGAATAAACTCGATTTAGACAATATGTCTGAACATTTATCTACTAATCATCAGGACAATTATAAAATATTTATAATGAAACAAAAGAAAGATTGGGAATCGTTCTTTGGAAGGGTGAAATGCTCAACTCATAGTACAATAAGCATTAATATAAAGTGTAAACTATGTAATTCATATAAAAAAGAGCTTCGAATATATATAAAATCCGAAAATATGGAAACACATTTAGAAGACGAACATAACGTTACGGAAAGTGAATGGGAACGTCTTCGAAACTGGCGAGACACGAACCTAAACGAAAAGTATTATATCCTGACTGAGGAAAAGGGAGAATTGATCAAAAGAACAGAAATGTGTAAGAAATGTAGACATAAGTTTGAACGTAGTAATCTATGCATTATGCTAAATCATATTATCCAAGTTCATCAATCCGACATTGCCTCCGGATCCGATTCACCTTCGGATGAAGATAAACTACGTTTACCTTTGAATATACTACCAAAAGGGTAAGAAAAACGGCAAAACTCAAATTTTATTAATTTACCTATTTTGAATCATTTATATATACTATTGCATGATAATAAGAAGAGAGAATCATGGATATAAAATTATAAAATTCAAATATTTAGCACGTATAGTATGTATTTACGACAAATATTTGGTATATATATTTAAGTCAATTTAGCTTATTGTTAGGTGTTACTGCATAAAAATATTCATTACATATATATATATATATATAAATTTAAAATTATAATATTTATTAGACATATATATATAAATTTAAAATTATAATATTTATTAGTTTATTTTGATAATTGAGAGAGAGAGAGAGAGAGAGAATTTGTGAAACTTTATGTAAATATAAATAGCGAATATAAGTATAAAGAATTTCTTTTTAAATAATCGACCGAAAATTTTGGTTTTTTGATATAATATTTTTAAGAATACTCAAGTTTTTGATAATATTTTTAATAATTTTTATTTTTAATAATAAAAGTATTTTTTGACATTAAAAAATAATAGTTGAAAAATTTGATGATATATATTGTATTATGCATATAATTGAAGCTATATTTTATGTATTAATTAATACAATTATTTTTTATGTTCTAACAGATTCAACAGAAATCCATCGAATGATCCTGTAGATCCTGTAGATCCTGTAGATCCTGCAAATCCTGTAGATCCTGTAGATCCTGTAAATCCTGTAGATCCTGATGTTGTATCGAGCAGCAATCCAAAGCCATCGAGCAGCCATCGAGGGCCATCATCATCTGGCCAATCTAATCCCTGCAAAATGAGGCAAGAAACTGACAGTTCCATGAATATTTGGCAAATAAAAGATGCTGCAACGACCGTGAATCCACATTCACCAACATCTGACCTTTCTGATAGCAGCCTTCGAGAACGTGCCAGTAAACGCAGTAAAGTCAGTCATAATACAAGCAGTGACGAAGATGATAAGTGATATTGCACGAAGCAACACCATAACATCGCTTCAACGTCTACACACACAAGTTCGGTCTCTAGATTTGATTTCTGATACTTTGTATCATTACATTGTAATCGACATACTCGATGTTCTCCTGTTTATATCATTGAAAGTATTGATAAAAACAATGAAAACAATGAAAAAAATTTTAACTAATAATTAAAACCATTGATATCTGAATAGATAGACGGAGCATTAGCTATCGATTAAGACGAGAAGAGCTTTGATAATCGCGGTAAACGCGGGGAACTCTATGAACTTCGGTTGAATTAGGTTATTCCCGATAATGATCAGTTAATAATTCGACTCCAACTTCTTTCATTAATATATATCAAATAAACAAAATAAATAACATCACAAATTATAACTTATTATTACACTCTTCCACTTAAACTTTAAATAAATAATTTACACTCATTAAACTAACAATCTTTTTCATATATTTTTTTCTACCTACTTAGTATAAATTAAATAAATAAATATATTTATATACCTTATACTCAATAATAATATACCCCTAAAATTAAAATCTATCAATCCCCTCATTTCATCATTATATTATATATAATATATTATATTATATAATATATATATATATATATATATTAATATCAGAAAATTAATATTTTTCATTAATAAATTTACAATTTATTACTTTTATCAGACATAATACTCTTACATTTTAATTAAATACCTGCCCCCCCTCATTAACATCAAAGTTCAGCTCACATGCATTGTGCGAAGTTGTGTTGTAACTAATGTTATATTATTTTTATATTTATTATATTATTTTTAAATTTATATATTATTTATATAATTTATATTATTTATAATATATTATTTAATATATAAACATATATATTAAATAATATTAATAAATAATATAATAATATTAATATATATATATATATTTATATTATATTATATATTAAATAATATATATAAGTTATATATATATATTACATACATATATATATGTGTGTATATATGTATATATGTATATTTTATATATTATTTAATATTATTATTGTCATATATTATTTTTATATTTAATGGGCATTAGCGATTTTCTCCAAATAAACACTCTTTAAACATTTCTGAAAATCTAGTTGAGAATCGATATCAATGGAACTCGTTATGATAATGTCATAATGTCCGGAATAGTCGAACGCTGACGGAATTAACCGAAGTTCATGCACTCCACCTTTACTGCAATTATCAGTTACTCCTATCAAAAGATTCCGTCTATCTATTCAGATGAAAAGATTCCGTCTATCTATTCAGATGTCAATGATTCAAACGGACTTATAAATCTCGAAGGAGATGATCAATATCGTAATATCGCTACACATCAATTAACCATCAGCAGTTAATTTAAGTAAAATTCTGATTTTGATTAGATCATTGTTTTTGATAGCTTTCATGAATTTGACGATTTTGTGCCATTATTTTATCTTTTAAATATAACATATTCATAATTGCATCCATTGTTTTTGACGAATATATAATGTATTAATTATCTATTTATCAAGCAAAGATTTCAAGTTTTTATATTGTTTTATATCGTTTATATCATTTATATTTATAATTTATTAGATATAGATACAAACACAAACACAAACACACACCACACACACACACACACACACACACGCATACGCACACACACGCAAGCACGCACGCACGCATATATACACACGCGCGTGCGCGCTATACACATCATCATATATTATTATATGACCTATTATTATTTCTAGAAGAATAATTTTTTAAACGTATTGCATGAACAAATATATTTATAAACCAGTAGATTTTTCTATTCAATTCGTAGAAAATTGTATCAAAAGTGTAGTGAAAATAATGTAAAATTGATGTAAATATTTAAATTAAATGGCATTTTTGATAAGCATAACATTGTATCTTTTTAATTTATAATTATACGCACTTAAAAGTTTATTATATATGTATAATATTCGATTAATATTTATCTCTTCTTATCAATATAATGTTTTATGCTTTGATCGAACTAATTTCGCTAATTTCAAAATATTTTGCGGTTTTTAGTCATGTTTATTGTAATACTTGCGATTGTGAAAATTTTTATGTAATATTTTTTTAATTGATGATTATTATCGGCACAAAATTAGTAAGCTAATAAGTTTAGTACCTAATTATAAAAATTAAGATACATTAGACAGATTTAGATAGAAGATTTAATGCTAAACTATGCGTATCCATATTTACATTTATATACAAAATTATTCACTTTTAATCTTTTTCTTTTTTTCTTTTATTATCTTCTATCATCTTCGTTATAAGTTCTAATATTTATATAAAACACTTTCCTTCGAAAGAAGTATATATTCAAAAAATACATAAAAACTCATCATATGTTATACTTATGGTAGTAATATCTCACAATAGAAAATTAAATATAACAATATGAGATAACATTAAATAATAATATTAAGATAATGCACTTTTGGTGATAAAATATTTACAATGACATTATATATTTCATAGATATATTTTAGAGAAAAAGAAAGAGACAGAATCTCTCCAAGATGTGCTCTTTTCCTTTCGTAATCACGACAAACAAATTTGTAATGCCCGGCGGATAGTGTCGAGTGTACTCGTACATTGAATACAAACGACCGGTGGCGATTATTATCGAGCTCGTTGGACGAGTAAGAGTGTCGCAACGTTTCCTCGCTTGCATGCCATGGTGCACTTTAATGAGCAATGAGGAGAATTTATTATTACTACTGCTTGATAATATTTTTGTTTTGTGTACTGGAAAAGCAAGATCATTATAAAAAAGAATTAAGAGCAAAGTGTAATCATAAACATCATGAGACATCAGAGGTATACATAAGATAATTGAAATCTATGAAATGTATGAGATGGAAATAGACGATTCTTGATGATTCTCATCTTCTTAACATTTGTCTCTCAAATATTAAAAGAAAGAAAATATATTTATAATTTCTAACAATCTTTGGTATTTTACACGAGAAATACTTTCTAGAAACAGCTTAGTAAATTCCTTCTCTTTCTCTCTCTTTTTTGCAGTTGACATGAAGTGGTAAAAGTTGATTCTGATACAGCAATATTGCAAGAGCTATTATTTAAAATTCTGATAACATGCAATGTCTTTAATCTTACGCTTCGCACTTCGATACTATTGCTTTCTCCTTTGGTTGACCGGAGATTCGCAAGAATCATACATTCGACAAGATCAATTTAACATACATAATCAATAGCCGTTCACTATAATTTAAATTTAATTTATCTGGATTTCAATCTTTATATTTAATCGTTTATAGAATTGTATGTGAACTCATGAGAATTTACGTAGATTATCTCGATTATCATTACAATTCATCGTGATGATTGTAATGCACGCTGTGTAAAAGACTCAATTATTATTATTATATATATATATATATATATATATATATATATATATATATATATGAAGGATGTTTGAAATAAAATAATACACCTATAAACTTATAAACTCATAAATATGTAGCTGCTCGTTGCAAATATTTTTTTCTTAAAAACAATTATGTTTTCTTTACACTAATTGATATCTCTCATGATTTTGTGTCAAAAGTATTCAAATAAAATAATCAAAAGATGAATATTTTATGAGAATATTTCAGAAAGTGTTTATATAAAATTATGTCAAATTAAAATAACACATATGTCAAAAAATCTCGTAAACTATTCCATTTTTGGCCATCCTACTCTTATAATTTTTTACGCTGAATATTACGAGGAATCGATTTAGATAAAAAAATTAGGAGTTCCGTTTAAAAAACTGACGGATAAGATATAAAGTGGAGTAATGATGACATCATTCCAATTTGCTTCCTTTATACAACTTTTCATCGAGCAATTATTGCGTAACACCTGTTTACAAGTTATTCATATTCAGGTATTATTTTAACCCCAAAAACTTACCTTTTTAAAAAAAGGTAAAAAAAGGGCGCCAAGTTCATGCACTAATTGTATCCAACTGTCATATTGTCTACAAAAATAGTGATATAAAAAAATTGCGCCAACTAAGAATAAAAATTTGTACAAGATAAATAGTAAAAAAAATTTTAATTAAAAAAACTTGGCGCTGCCAATTTTATTAATATATTGTTCAACTTAAAAGTCTAAATTTTCAAATCCAGAAGATCTTAAGAGAATTAATAATAAATGTCCAGCAATTATATTTGCTGTTAAACATATATTTAATTGGAATATATGCCAATTTTATTGGCAGCGCCAAGTTTTTTTAATTAAAATTTTTTTTACTATTTATCTTGTACAAATTTTTATTCTTAGTTGGCACAATTTTTTTATATCACTATTTTTGTAGACAAAATGACAGTTGGATACAATTAGTGCATGAACTTGGCGCCTTTTTTTTACCTTTTTTTAAAAATATTATCAGACGTCGACTAAATATTCAAGTAAAATTCGAAATTCGTTGATTCAAAAAATAATAAAGATAAGTAAAATTGAAAATTTTATATAAGACAAAATATTTGCAATATTAACATAAAAATATGTAACCTTAAAATATATATAAATATATTTTAAGAAAACATAAAATGTTATTTTTTTTGAGTTGTCAAGATAAATTACATTTTAAACCCATCAAATTTTAAAACATTATAAAATCCATTTATTAACACTTGAATTTTCAGACAATTGTTTTCAATAACTTACCTTCAACACCTCCGCTGCTGGATCTCATCAATAATCATAAATAAATAAATAAATAAATAAATAAATAAATAAATATATATATATATATATATATATATATATATATATATTTGAAGGAGATTACCGACTGCATAATAAATTAATTGGTACATAAATGTCAATTATTTGGATCGATCGTATCTAAGGTCCGAATATAATGTATCCAATTAAAGCAAATTAATAGCTGAAATTATGTCGTATGAATTTATTATTATTATTATTATTATTGTTATTATTAAAGCTACATATTTATTCTTATTATTATTACTATTATACATATTATATTCGGGCCTTCGATACGGTCGATTCAAATAATTGACATTTATGTACCGATCTATTTATTATGCAGTCGATAATCTCCCGCATGATAAAAAGATTGACACAAGCATTAAAATTCACCCTGTATAAAGGCAATGTATTAAAAAAAAAATTTATGCAAATTTGTTTAAATAGTATAATCAAAACTGCAATCAAAATTATGGAGATACAATTTCTATGATAAGAGACATCTACAATAACATTTTTATGAAAAGAGGCACTACAATTCTTTGAAAATTCTTCTAAAAAAAAAAAAAAAAAAAAAAAGGAAATACACACGAGAGAACACCGTATATTTATATTAATATATCGCATGCAGCGCATATTCTATTTACAAAGATCGAATTATTCATTTAGAAGCACGCTTATTAATTTTCGATTAATTTTTTTTTATGCTCATCTATTATATAAATACTATATTAATTATATGTTAATATTTTTTATATCTTTCTAATATCAATATTTCATTCTTTTTTTTGCAACTTCATTATAAAGTATTTCATACAATTTTAAGGATACATAATATGTACAATAAAGCATTATGATACATTTTATAATTCGTACTTCTTTTAAATAATTTCTCTCTTATATTTTATTTGTTTATTGATATTTATCTTTCTCTGTACAAAATTTTATGGAAATAGAATGATTGAATAATTTACAATTATCACGAATTACATCTGCATTATCTATGATTCGTCTTGTGTAGCTTCCCTTCGATGTATGACCAATAATAGTATTACAAATGCATCAATAAGCCGGAAGACAAAATCGTAGATAATTCACACAAAGAAAATACATAATTATTAAATTAATGAGAAAATTTGACAAAATAAAACGGCAACTTTTCAATAAAGATTTCGACACGCATTCAAAACACAAAAAAAAATTCCAACATAATTTTGACATATATCGCATTGCATATACATTGCTAAATAATTTTAGTCATCGAATAAAAAAAGAGCAGAAATATATTATTTAAATTATTTTCGATTCCATCATGTTTATATATCTCATGTTTCGACTGTACAACATTATAATACATGTAAGTCTACTCCTTATAATCTTTTCTTTCTCGAAGAGGAGCAACTTTTCCAAGAAAAACACTATCTACCTCTACATTCTGTACATTCTCTCTGTAATTTGAAAAATATGTCTTCCCTAACAATATTTTATCAGGCAATACTTTTGCAAAATAATTGCTTATAATCGTTAGCATACAATTAAACGATTTCTGTCTGGAAAATACACACGACAGATCGTTCCATTATTAGTTAACTGCAGAAATAAGTCTTGGCAGTTGGCACTTGGCAGGAATGTCTTCAGAAGGCAAAAACGATGGCCGTTTGATTCCCGCTAGTCATTCATCACATGTGCACCACCTTCGGCGTGCTGAAATCACATTCTATGTAATTATATTGCGATATTTATTTATTTACAAAAAATAATAAATAATTGATTGATGAAATTAAAAACAAAGAGATACTAATGTTCTATAAAATATAATTAAAAATTTATAATTATTTAAAATCATGAGATTATATAATTATATAAAATATAATTAAAAAATATAATTTTAACTATAAAAGTAAAATAAAATATAATTTATAAATATAATTTAACTATAAAAATAAAATAAAATATAATAAATATAATAAAATATAATAAATATAATTTAACTATAAAAATAAAATAAAATATAATTTAAAAATATAATTTTAACTATAAAATATAATTAAAAATTTATAATTATTTATAAAATCATGAGATTGTTCCATCAATAAAATGCGTGGAATAAAACACCTGTAAAATCAACTAAAAATTTAAAATCATAAATCTAAAAATGAAATAATGAAACTTTAAACTGTCAATTTAAAAAGTTATATATAATTTATATGTAATAACAACACGACAATTAATAAAAATATTAAAATTTCTGTAAAATAATAGAATCAATAGATCACGATTTTATATAAAATTGATAAGCTGCAAAATAGAAAAACGTATTTACCTCTTGCCCCACAACCAATTCAAAAGCACACTCGACTGGCTCTGAACATCTCGAGCTGTGAACAAATATCGAATCATCCATTTGTCATTCGCACTGATGCGCAACTTTTTGTACACTCAATATTTACTGACTATTGCGTACTCATAAAGGAATACCTACAGAGGGTGTAATTAGCGTTGACCAGCCTCGCGGCTGCTTCAGGTGGCAATGTACTTAAAACATCTCTGTGCGCTAACAAAGACATTTGTTGCGTATGTCTCAGCTCCCGTTCGTCCTTTAATCGCACGTCCTTCGTGTGACTGACTGAATGCAACTGCGACAATCTAAAGGAAGAATCTAGCTTGTATCAAACTACGAGCAAGTTAGCAGGGTAAGCGAGGCATTTGGATATTCTATTGAAGAAAGAAAATATTTTCCACTCTTCAATATTACTTGAGGAGGGCATTACTTTTGCAGGATAAGCATTCTACGAAGATGCACTTCGATTTCTACTGGTCGACAAAATAATGAAATTTTTGTGACTTTACGAGATCACGGTGATCTTAATTTAAATTCGTAAGCTCTAAAGCGAAGTTGTCATCATTGTTCGCGCCAATGGAGTAACGAAGCAGCGAAGATACTAGGACGAAGAAAAATGTTATTAGTCCGAAAATCCTCGATTTTTCATTAAAACAAAAATTGTCGCGCGTGAAAATTTTAATTTTTCTTCCGAAAATACATATTTACAAGATCTACTTTCTCGTGTAAACATCTGGTATCAAATGTAAATATCAAATCATCAATCAAAGTGATAGCATTAAATTTTTTTTAGCAGACGAACCGAGTTACAGGAACTATACTGGGTGTTAAAAGTCTGGACACGGTCGAATATCTTGATAAGGAAGAGTTTTACTAGAAAGTGTTTGAGACAAAAGTTGTATGACTTGAAGGGGACCATGAGATGGTGGCAATTATTTAACCTTGAAAAGTCATTTGAAGATCACATAAAGGTTACCGTCAATTTCTTAAATGAAACCCCCCATTTTTTATTCCATATTCTTGTAGTTTATCTCGAGGGCTTTCCAAAACGCTATAATTAAGTTAGTTTTCCTTAAGTACTTTCCGAGTTATAAGGCTTGAAATCATTTCTTAATTTTACATAAACCGTAAAATATCTTGCAAAATATTCATTTGTCGATTATCTTATCTTACCTTTATATTTTTACCTTAATACTTTATGTACAAAATAATGAGAGGAATCAATTGGTGTAGAAAACACACAGTTATTTTTAAGAAAAAATATGTAATTGTTAATTGCAAATTACATATTTTTTCTTCGATACAATTATGTGTTTTCTTTACACCAATTGATTCCTCTCATTATTTTGTACATAAAAGTATTAAGGTAAGATAATCGAAAAATGAATATTTTCCAAGATATTTTACGGTTTATGTAAAATTAAGAAATGATTTCAAGCCTCATAACTCGGAAAGCGCTCAATAGAAAAATACTTTATTATAGTGTTTTGGAAAGCTCTCGAGATGAGCTACAAGAATATGTAAAAGCATATAGGGCGTCCCATTTAAAAAGTTGGAGGTGACCTTCACGTGACCTTCAGGTGACTCTTCAAGATCAAAATAGTGACACCGTCTTATGTGTCCCTTGAAACCATACAACTTTTGTCTGAAACATTTTTTTCTACAATCAAAATTAAAAAAGTTATTCAGGGTGATCGATTAAAATAGGACCCTGATTTGTAATTTTTAATTAGGAAATTTTTCTTACTTCAATGCAAGAGCTTCTTTGTCCTCGATCGGGATATCAATGGCTTCTTTTGCGATCTCAACTGGTCCCTCGGACTTCGAAGGCGAAGGTTGTTCCACGATGGGTTCAATCACCGTTTGCGAGGCCGATGATAAGTCTTTTGTTGGGCTCCCTTCAACGTTACCCATCCTTCTCAATTCTTCATTCACTCGAATCGCATTAGACAGTCGCAGTTGTAGCGTATCTCGCTCTTCGAGCAATTGCATTAGTTCGTGAGTCAACTCCTCGCATCTGACATCTCTCTGATGAAGCATGTATAGCGCAAGATCCAACTCGCTGGAAGTGGTCTCCATGTTGTCGACTGTCTGAACGCTTTCCGAATCCTTGGACGCAATCTCGACGACGGACGCATCTTTCTTCAAGGCGTGTTGCATCAGTTCGTACTCGGATACCTTCTGCTCCAACAATTCCTTCAGCTGATTCATCTCTGTTTCCCTAGTCGCCAATATATACCTCAGCTCGTCCAGTTGTCTCTCCTCTTCCGTGGACAAGGCCAAGAGCTCCTCTATACGCGCCTCTTTCTCACGAATCTGCATCTTCAAGTCGTGAAGTTCGGCATCTTTGGTGATGCTCAGCTCGGCCAGTCTCCTCTCCTTCTCCGCCAGGTCGTCGGTTGCACGAATCAGTGCGTTTTCCTTCTGTTCCAGTTTATTGCTTCGATCATTCACAATTACCTGCACTTCCTCCAACTGCATCTTCAGATTCGCGATATCCTTATCTTTCAGTTCAAGTTCCGCCAGCAACTTATGATTTTCCTCTGATAGTCTCCTCTTGATCTCATCGATCTCGGATTCCTTCTTTCGCAACTCGTTGGTGAGGAACTCTTCAGCCTCGAGACGGATCTGCTCTTTTTCCGAAGTTAGCTTCTCGATGGCATTTTTACTCTCCTCGGAGAGCCTCTCCAAGTCTTTCAGATGCAAGATTCTCTCTTGTAGCTCCACGATAGTTGACTTTAACGTTTGCACCTCCTGTTCCTTGCCATAGATCTCTCCCGTCAATCGCTGCACGGCTTCGCGCAATTCGAACTCGTCCGATTGGGGCTCCATACTGGCTTGCAGACACAATTGCGAGTCCTTTTCAGCTATGACGTACTTTAATTCGTTAATTTCCTGCTCCCTCGCATGAAGCTCGTTCTGCAATCTGACGATTTCCTCTTGATCTTGCGCGGATCTTCGGTCCCTGGAGAGCGAATTGGACTCCTCCTTGGAAATATGCTCCTGGTTCTGATCATGAATGCGTTGCAAAGCATTTACTTGCTCCTGCTTCTCCGTCAGGGTCTGCGAAGCTACTTGCAAGGAGGTTTCCAGGGTAGCTTTCTCATTGTACAGACAATTAATCCTATCTTGCATTTGCTGAATGATTGTGGGATACGTATTCTCGCTCAAGACATACTTGAGATGCTCCAACTCTTGCTGTTTAGCTTCCATCTGCGCCTTTAGCTCGTCTATGGTGCCTTGCAGCTCGGCATCGTCGTCATTTCCCGTCTTGAAGGCAAGACTATCAACCATCTGAGAATTCTGCAGCTGTTCATTGCACAATCTTTCTAAATCGCCTCGTTTTTCGTTTAATTCCTGACTCATGATCTCCAACAAAGAATCTTTGTCACTCATCATGGCCTTGATGCCTTCCAAATCATTCTCCTTGGCGCATAATTGGGTGCTTAGGTAGTGCAATTGTTCAGTCTTCTCTCGCAGGTCTTGCTTCAAAGCGTCAACCTGCTGGTTATCTTTCTCCAGACGAGCTTGATACGCCTTCGTTTCTTGATCATACTGCAACAGGATCGACTCTTTCTCGGATTTTAGAGCCTGGATTTCTTGCTGCAAGGTATGAATGTGCGAGTTGCACTCTTGTAAATTAACCACGGTTGCTTCCCTGGCGTCCAACTGGTTCTTCAGATATTCGAGCTCCTCTAAGTATCCTTTTATTTTTGCCTCAAGATACGTCTTCTCCTCTTCGTATTGGATCAGCTCTTGTTGCTTCTCTCGCAATTTTTCGTTCAGCAAATTTGCATCAGCCTGAGTGGCTCCGATTATTGAATTTCGCTCTGTTAGATCTTCCTTCAGATACACGATTTGTTGTTGTTGCATTTCCAACTTGGCCGCGCTATCTTGCAACTTCAGGGTGTATTCGTCAATCGCAGCTTGCATTGTCGTTAACTTTTCCCTTAGATCGCGCAATTCTTGGTCTTTTTCTTCGACCTCTATCGCATGCTTCTGGATTAATTCCTGGGTAGCTTCGCTGATGATGGCATTCACCGTTTCCACGCTCTTCTGCTGGATCAGCTCGTGTTCCTTGTTGGTGAATGCTTCCTTCAAGACTGTCAATTCTTGTTTCCTCTCGTCTAATTCTTTCGTCAAGGTTTGTAGGTCCGATTGTAGCGTCGCTTCGACTCTTTCCCTTTCCACGTACTGAACTTGAAGCTCTTGCTTCAGATCAGCGACCTCTTGAACTCTGGCGTTGAGCAATTCCGTGACTTCCATTAAAGATGTATTAATGGTCGAGGATTTTTCCTCGAGATTCATCAGAGCGTTGAGCTTCTCTTCCAAGACCTCCTTCTCTTCTAGAGCTTTCTGTAAATTATTTATCTCCGTTTCTAATCTATCGATTTTCTCCAGAAATTCAGCTTTGAGGAAATCATTATTTTGTCGCATCGCTGCCACTTGATCATTCGCGTCTATTAGACTCTGCTCGAACTGCTTCCTGAGCACGTCGTATTCTTCCTTGCCTTTATTTAAAGCGCTTTCTAGGGCCGCATTTTGGTTATTCAACGTATCTAACTTTTCCACGAGTTCTCCAGAGTTGTCAGTAGCCTTCGCCTCCAAATTAGCCATCGTCGCCTTCTGTACTTCCAAGAAGCGTTGCAATTGTTCATTTTCCGCCGCAAGCGCCTCCAATTCGTCCTTCAGATCGTCTATTTCCTCTTTGTACTTCTTCGACGTCGCTTCAAAGTCATCAGTAGATTCCACTGATCTTTTCTGGGGGTGATTTGGGTCGATCTGATCTTCTTGTTGCGAAAAAGAAGTGTCTTGCACGTCGGTTGCATTTTCCTGTAATCGCCACTCCAAGGATTGCACTTTATTGCCTAGTTCCTTGTTCTGAATACGCAATACTTCGACTTCCATGTCCTGTTTCTCCTTCATTTCCATGTACCTTTCATTGGCAGACACCAACATGTCGAGTCGCTTCAGTAAAGCCTCTTTTTCGGCAATAATATTTTTCTTCTCCTCTTTAATTTCCTTCAGAGCTTTCTCCAAATTGACGATCTGCGTCTTCAGCTCCTCCTCGATCGCCGTGTCCAGGTCGAAGAAGCTGCCAGCCTGCTTCTGCGTCTTCAATTGTTGTTGCAAGCTCTCCATCTGCACTTTATACTCCTTCAATTTTTTCACCAATTTAGCGCTCTTTATCTGAGCCGCTTTACTCTCCTCGGTAATCTTGGCGTTTTGCTCTTCTAGATCTTTTATCTTGGCTTGCAAGTCTTCTATTCGCAGGTGTAATTGGGTTTCGACACTTAGAATTACCGACGTATCCTCCAAACCCCAACCCCAAGACTCTTCCCCGGGCTCAGAATCCCAGCCAATATTTAACTGAACATCTGGTTGGGTTTCTTTTTCAATGGGAGGTTGTATAGGTTCTTGATTAATCGGTTGTTCGAGAGCTGTAAGGACTTGTGCTGATTCTTGTGAAATCGTTTTTTCCATAGAAGGAAGCTCCTTCAAACTGTCTTTGTCTATTCCCGATACTTGCGCCTGATCCCTCTCTTGTAAAGCTTTCTCTAAGTCAATCTGCAGATTACCTTGACTTGTCTCTTGTATTGAATCATTAGCATTGACTTTCCTGGCTTCTGCCGTCAGATTATCAATCTGAAGCTTGTACAATTCTAAAGCTTGATTTTGCTGATCTCTTTCCGCTATTAATATCTGTGTAGTCTCTCTTGTGGAAGACAGTTCTGTTCTTATCGCAGTGATTTCATTGTCTTTAAGCGAGATCTCTGTTCGCAGACTGGTCTCCAAATCCGCATATTGTTGGGACTGTAAAGTCACTTGTTGATTAACAGCATTCAATTCTGTAGTCAACGAATCTACCTGTACATTTCTCTCGACCACAACTTGACGTAATCTTTCCAATTCTGCTTTAACGATATCATGCTGTTCCTGCGACGCTTTGAGTTCGTTCAATTGAGAAGTCACTTTCTCCAATTCCCAATTTAATGATTCAAGCTGTGCGTTTTTCTCGGAAAGAAGCTGATGTACCTTCTTCAACTCACTTTGCGAATCCTCCAATTGATTCTGTAAGTCTCCATGCGATCTTTCTTCTTCTACATTTTGAAGTAAAAGCTCCATTTCTCTCTTATGTTGAGAACATTGATTCTGTTTCTCACTTAGCAAGCTCTGTAATCGCTCTATTTCCTTCTTATCATCATCCAAGGCATCATCAAGCTTCTGTTGGTGCTGACTCTCAGTGACAGAAGTCTCAACAGTTCCTGGAACTTCAATTTCCTCGCTCTTACCTTTATATCTTTCCAATTTAGATTCCAATTCCGACACTTTCCGCTCACTCATGGATTTTTCGCTTCTCAAGGCCTCGATCTCCTGCTGCAACGTATTCGTTTGATCCATGAGCGACCGATTAAAACGTTCCTGAGCAGTCTGCATCATCATATCGTTGTACCTCTGGGACTCATCGTGAAGTAACACGATATTGCCGTATGAATTAGCTAGCTCGTTGTTCAGATTCTCAATCTCCGCCTGACGCTCCTGTAGACGAGCCTCCAAGGCTTGTATCAAATTCTGACACTGCTCCGAATGGCAATGTTGCGACATCTTCTCCACGTCGTCCTCCCTTGCATCCTGTTCCGAGGCTTGGGCAGTCATAGACGCAATCTCCTTCTGTAGCTTCTCGATCAGCACCCGACGATCTTCCGATTCCTTCTCGGCGTTCTCCAGTTTCTCATCGATCTGGGCTTGCTTAGAAGACAAGAGGCCGTTCTCCGTCTGCAAATTCCTTATCGTGGCCAGTTGGCCCACGTACTCGGTCTCCATCACTTGCATACGCACGCTCAGTTCCCGGGCCTCCTCTTTGATGTCGTCCAAGATTGCCTGTTTTTTTTCAGCTTCCTTGCTCGTGGTTTCTTTGTAGAGGTCATATTCCCCAATGATATTGTCCCTCGCTGTTTTCTCCGTCGCCAGTTCAAGAGAGATACGCTCTATCTCTGCACGTTGCCTCTCAATCTCCTCGCCCATCTCCGTGTTGTGTTCCATCAGCACTGCCATCTTCTCCTTCAAACTGGAAGATTCCTTCGCGAACTTCTCGGAGCTGGCGAGAGCCTCCGTAGCTTCGTTCTTCAGCTGCGTCAGTTTCTCTTCCAAGCCGACGAGCTTGTTGTCCTTTTCTCGCATGGAAATCTCCACCTCCTGGACTTGTTTGTTTTTAACTTCCTTCTCGTCTTTTTCCGTCGACCATTTTTCTTCCAATTCGGCGACGCGAGCTTCGAGCTCCTGGCACGCTAGCTTCTTCTTGTTGAAAGTCGCCACGATCTTCTTCATTTTTTCAGATTGCAAATGAAGCTTCTTATCCGAGTCTGAAAGCCTCTGTTCCACTTCCACGACTTTGCTCTCCAAGTTGGTCTTTATCTCTTCTAGGTCTTGCTTCTCTTCTAGCTTAGCTTTCATAGCATCGTTTTCCTGCATCTTCTCGACTAGTTCTTCAATGACATTTTCTAGTCTTGCGTTCAGCATTGCCATTTCCTCCGTGTGATTAATTTTAAGTCGTTCCATCTGCTTGTATTCATTTGTCAATTCCGATTGCATATTTTCAGCGTACGTGGTTTGGGTCTCCAAGATCTTTTGCAATTCCCAAAGTCGTTTTTCAGCTTCAATTTTATTGTTTTTTATTTCTTCAATTTGTACATCCAATTCCTTTTTATCAGCAAGCAAACTGTTGATTTCCTGTTCCTTGTTTATTAATTCATTTTTAATACATTCATTATCTTTTGATATATCTTCAATCTTCTGCAACAGCTCACTGTTTTCCCGTAAGACGTCTTCGTGCTTCTCCTGTAATTCCATGTAACTTGTTTCTTTGTTTCGCAAACTTTCTGATATTTCATTAAATTCCTCTAAAGACTTGGACAATTCTAATGCTTCAGTAATTTTGCTAATATTGTTTTTCAGGGTATGAATATCCTCCTCTCTCTCCCTTATCGTGCCATTAAGCCTCGCAATCTCTCCTGATGATGAGGATAGGGCGGCCTCATTTTCTTTAAGCTTGATTGAATAGTTGTACAACTCGTCTTGCAAATTATCTATGGTAATCATTCCATTTTGCAATTGCGCATATTTAGTATGCAATTCTTCATCTTTCTTTTCAATCTCTACCTTCAAGAGCGTGATTTCATGTTCCTTCGCTGTCACTTCGTCTTGTAATCTCGTTTCGAGCGAGCTTATAGTGAATTCAAACTGATGTTGTAGAGAAGAAGTTGCCGCATCTTTCTCCTTTATCACTTCCAGCAATTCTTTATTACCATTTTCCAGTGTCTTCAAGGCTTCCTCTATCGAGATCTTTCCCTGCTCCATCATTTGCATCTTTACTTGCATATCATCATATTTGAATTTCCACTCCTCTGCAGTATTAAACATGTCGTTCAATTCTTGCTGCAAACTCTCCACCTTTGTATTCGACGTCTCATACTCTAGCAATTGTTTAGCTTTTATTTGCAATTCTGCCTCCATGCTTTGCAGCTTCATGTTCATCTCTTCCACCTGGTTTTTATATTCCGCGATTAATACCCTGTTATTTTCAAGTTCTTTTTCCAGGGATGCCATAATCTCAATTTGGGACTCCTGGCAGGCAGCTTCCTCCGCCTTTCGCATCTCTGATATCTCGTCAGATGATTTCTGTAAAAGCGAGCTAATTTGTTCATGCAACTCTTGCCTCTCGTGAACTACGCTCTCCTTCTCGCGATTCAACTTCTCTAATTTATCGATGAGGTCCAATCTTTCTCTGGAGAAATCATCATAGGCCGTGTGTTCCAACTTTAGATTCAACTCTTCTTTCTCTTGAGTAATTTTACTCAATTCTTCTCTTTGATTGTTGATGTGTTCCTCGAGCTGTGTAATAGTTAAAATCATTTGCGCATTTTCCTTCTCTAAAGACACAACTTTAGACTTGGCATCATCAGTCTCGCATGATGTTATGTTGACAGACTGCTCTACTGAAGCTTCTCGCAATTGTGTCAGCTCTTTTTCAAGGATCTGTTGCCTGTCCATTAGAATTTTAATTTGATCGGTATATTCTATTATTTGAACTGACATTTGGGAGGACAATTGCGCCTCGAGATGTTCCTCTAACTTTGTGCGATTTATAACTAATTCAGTATTCTCTGTGGTTAACGTTTCTATGCGATCCTGCAATCTGTTATTTTCTTCCAGCAGATCTCCTACTTGCATCTTGAGCTTAGCAATCTCTGCCATTAAATTATCCTGTTCCTGGGTGAGTGTCTCGACTTGCAATCGCAAGCTACTATCATCTTTAAGTGTCTCTAAACTATTATCAATCTTAAAGACATTTAACTGAGCGTTATTGGACTCTATTTGATTCAAGTGTTCTTCCAGTTTTGTAAGCTTAATAACGAGCTCACTATTCTCTTGAGTAAGTAGTTCAATCTTTGTCAAGCTATCGTTATGCTCTGGAATACGCTCAAAAGATTCCGTGGAACCCGTATCGGAAGATCCTTTCTCTTCAATTCTGCTCAACTTGATAGTTAAATCGCTATTTTCCTGAGTCAACTGTTCAATTTTCTTCAATAGTTCACTGCGATCTGTATCGTTTATGGTTTCGAAGGACTCCGTCGAGCCAGCATGCGAGCCATCCTTCTCCTCCAGCTTCGTTAACTTAAGTGTCAACTCATTATTCTTCTGTTCCAAGTCTTCAATCTTTTTCAAGAGATCATTTCTGTCGTGAATGGTTTCGAAAGATTCTGTCGAACCAGCATCTGAAGCGCCCTTTTCTTCTATTTTGTTTAATTTACTGTATAATTCTGAATTTTCCTGGGTCAAAATATCGAGCTTCTTCAGAAGCTCAGTGGACTCAGATTCGGATAGAGACTGGAGCTTATTTTCGCCTTGTTCTTTATGCACAGCTTCCAATTGTTCCTCCAGCTCGACAATCTTCATCTCTGCAGTCACTCTGAGATTTTCAGACTCTGCGTTTTCAGCTTCTAATGCCAAAACTTCTTGCTTCACCGTGTGAAGTTCTGAAAGAAAATATGTAACTTTCTGTTAAGGTATAAATATGCTAATTCTTAAATTTAATCGATAATATTATTACATGTACAAAATTTTAGAAATATACAGGGTGTTTCAGACCACCCGTACCACCCATTTAAAAACTAGAGAAGTAATTATTTCAAAAAAGTAAAAACATTTTCTTTATAAATCAGGTGCGCTCTATCGAATGGTGATATTTTCAACTTATGGTTCCCCGGCCGGAAATAGGCGATTTAGACCGAAAGTGCATTTTTTGAAATGAAACTCCCTATTTTTCATTGCATATTCTTGTAGCTTATCTCGAGAGCTTTCCAAAACACTATAATAAATTATTTTTCCATGAAGTACTTTTCGAGTTATGAGGCTGGAAATCATTTCTTAATTTTACATAAACCGTAAAATATCTTGTAAAATAATCATTTTTCGATTATCTTATTAATACTTTTATGTACAAAATAATGAGAGGAATCAATTGATGTAAAGAAAACATACAGTTGTTTTTAAGAAAAAATATGGAATTGTTAATTGCAAATTACATATTTTTTCTTAGAAACAACTGTGTGTTTTCTTTACACCAATTGATACTTCTCATTATTTTGTACATAAAAGTATTAAAATAACATAATCAAAAAATGAATATTTTACAAAATATTTTATGGTTTATGTAAAATTAAGAAATTATTTCAAGCCTCATAACTCGAAAAGTACTTCATGGAAAAATAATTTATTATAGTGTTTTGGAAAGCTCTCAATGTAAGCTACAAGAATATGCAATGAAAAATAGGAGGTTCCATTAAAAAAAAAATACACTTACGGTCTGAATCGCCTATTTCCGGCCGGAATCAGAAGTAGAAAATATCACCATTCGATAGAGTGCACCCGATTTATAAAGAAAATGTTTTTACTTTTTTGAAATAACCACTTCTCTAGTTTTTAAATGGGTGATACGGTTGATCTCAAACACCTTATACAATTATTAATATTGTTACAAAAAGAAAGAGAGAGAAAGGGGAAGGGGAAGAGAGAAAGAGAAAGAAGAGAGAGAAAAACTGACATATCAAAAAAGCAGAATAGTTTATAATCTACTTTTATCAAATTAAACAAAAAGTAACACAATTCAACATCTAAAAAAATATTTAATCTATTTAATCTGTATATAAATTGTATATTATTCTGTCTAGATTATTTGATATGAAGAATTACCTTGCATTAGATCTAGCTTTTGATTCTCTAAGGTGGCGATTGCATCAATATGCATCTGTATTTCTTTTGTCTGAGATGAAACCTTATTTTCCAGGTCAGCAACACGTTCTTGCCAATCTCCTGCCGAGGCTGTGCAAATCGTAATTTGTCGATAATGTATAATTTCGTACAGTTTCGTTCATAGAAAGCTTAAAGCAAGCAGTTACTAAATGCTCACAATAAATTTTTCAAAAATTTTTTATGCAATCTATTAATTATTCCCTTATACAAATTGTTTCAAAAAATTGAAACAAAAGAAAAGAACAAACCAGCAACAGACTTTTGAAGCGCAATATATATCATTTACACTTAAACATATACACGTCTCTAGCTAATTTTAGAAATTGCAAAAATATTTAATAGCTTTTTAAGAAATTATTTTTTATTGGAAAAAGCGAAAAACTTAACTAATATTTTTTATACTCTCATACATATATACTGCATATAGGCATACAAAAATATTACACAATTATACAGGGTGTTTCAGACCACCCGTACCATCCATTTAAAAACTAGAAAAGTGGTTATTTCCAAAAAGTAAAAACATTTTCTTTATAAATCGGATGCGCTCTATCAAATGGTGATATTTTCAACTTATAATTCCGACCGGAAATAGGCGATTCAGACCGGAAGTGCATTTTTTAAAAATGGAACCCTCTATTTTTCATTGCATATTCTTGTAGGTTACCTCGAGAGCTTTCCAAAACACTATAATAAATTATTTTTCCATGAAGTACTTTTCGAGTCATGAGGCTTGAAATAATTTCTTAATTTTACATAAATCATAAAATATTTTGTAAAATATTCATTTTTCGATTATCTTATCTTAATACTTTTATGTACAAAATAATGAGAAGAATCAATTGGTGTAAAGAAAACACATAGTTGTTTCTAAGAAAAAATATGTAATTTGCAATTAACAATTCCATATTTTTTCTTAAAAACAACTGTATGTTTTCTTTAACTATACACCAATTGATTCCTCTCATTATTTTGTACATAAAAGTATTAAGGTAAGATAATCGAAAAATGAATATTTTACAAAATATTTTATGGTTTATGTAGAATTAAGAAATGATTTCAAGCCTCATAACTCGAAAAGTACTTCATGGAAAAATAATTTATTATAGTGTTTTGGAAAGCTCTCGAGATAAGCTACAAGAATATGCAATGAAAAATAGGAGGTTCCATTTCAAAAAATGCACTTCCGGTCTAAATCGCCTATTTCTGGCCGGAACCAGAAGTTGAAAATATCACCATTCGATAGAGCGCACCCGATTTATAAAGAAAATATTTTTACTTTTTTGAAATAACCACTTCTCTAGTTTTTAAATGGGTGATACGGATGGTCTGAAACACCCTGTATACACTTTGTCAAAAAAATATATTTTTTATACTTCTTCAAAATCATAAATCTGTTAATGATATATCCTTTTCTGGAACATTTCCTTCTATTTAAAAAAAAAACCTTTCCTTCTTTCATTCCTTTGTTCATTTAAAGCTTCAAGCACTTTATAAAAGCCAAGATTTATTTAATTTACTTTAGTATATTTATTGTTAGCATCATATATATCGAAAATTAATCACACGCGAAAAGTGTTTTCAATTTTTGTCTATTTCATTAAAAGCAGTTATTTCAATTGCTACAAGCTGAAGAAAGAAACTCTGTATAGCAGTTATTGCAATCCATGAAAATTAATCGATTATTCATAAGAATAATAACCAAATGTATAGATATGTAGATACTAAGAATAAATCTACTTCTATGGATAAATATGCAAACTTTGACAAGTAAAGTAGGTACCATGTTATACTTAATTATCAAGAAAATTTCATTGATTAGTATTCTCCGTGAACGTTTCAATAATTGCAACGTACAAAACTAATAATAGCCGAGAGAAAAGATTCCATCACCAGAAATCAGCCTTAGAGAAGATATTTTTCAAGTTTTCCAAGTTCTGTTTTTTTTTTTTTCAAGTACTTGCAAGTAAAATTTGTGCAATGTGACATTTCATATTTCTATTCGCGATCACGTTCATAACAAAATTGATATAAATTCTTACTAGCTTATTTGCATCACTTTGTTGCAAAAGATATGTACACGTAATTACAGTGATTAGGATAAATGCTTCTCATAAAGGAAACAGGGCTGTGGAAAACAGGCTGTCTCGATAAAAAATATTAACATAAATCATATTGGAAATTCAGTAATATAGCTAGAATAACGGAAACGTCGACGATAGAACATTTGTCCTGGTTCCTACCTTTAAGCTCGTCAAAGTCTACCAGACTCAGCTGAAGGTTACCTTTCTCCTCCTCTAATAATGCCACTTGATTGCCCAATCTAACGAGTTCCGCATTCGTATCGGATACCTATACATAACGCACATATTCTTATTTTTATAAATATAAAAGTTTGCGGACATCTATATATCTTAATTGATTAATATAGTCCCAACAATACAAAGAAAACTGAATAATTTCTATTAAATATTCAATGAAGCTATTCTATTGAAAATGCATATACAGGGTGGCCCCGAACGTTCCAGCCAGACTTTGAGATCTTATAGGAAATTTAATTCTGAACAAAAAATTTATGAACATGGGTCAAAAAATGCTTCCTTAAGAAGTTATTGCTCAAACCTTTGATGAAGGAAGAGCAAAAGGTGAAAATAAAATGAAACTAAATAAATTTCTTGAAAAAAAACGATAAAAATAAAAATCTTTTTCTCTTATGAAAATAAAATAATTTTTTTTTAAACTAACTTTTATTTTATTTTCATAAAAGAAAAAGACTTTTATTTTTTATTTTTATCGTTTTTTTCAAGAAATTTATTTAGTTTCATTTTCTTTTTATTTCATTTTCTTTTCACCTTTTGCTCTTCCTTCATCAGAGGTTTTTGAGCGATAACTTCTTAAAGCATTTTTCGATCCATGTTTATAAGAAATTTTTTGTTCAGAATTAAATTTCCTATAAGATCTCAAAGTGTGGCTGGAACGTTCGGGGCCACCCTGTACAAAGTGAAAAAATATATAAAAATTTATGTTATTTCTTAATAATTATAAATTTTAATTTTAATAATTATATTAATTATAATTTTTCATAATCACAATTTGTTTCTTATCTTGACCATTATACAAAATCTAGAAATGGTAATGTTGTTTAATAAACTCTCACCATTTTGAAATCCTCCAGTTGTTTTTGCAGATTTTTCACTTTACTTCTATGCTGAGCCTTTAATTTAATCATGCCTTTATTTAAATCCTCCAATTCCTTTTTCAACTTTATCACCATATCATCTTCCTTAGGTACCGTCCTCTCGGTTGATAATCTTGCTGTCATGTCGTTCTTTTCCGCTTCCAGTTTATGCACTTGCTTCTCGAGGTCGGTAATCTTGTTGAAATATTCTTCGTTTTTAGATGACAATTCAGTCACTTGTTTCTGCAGCTCGGTCTTCGATTCTTCTTTCAGCAACTCGTTCGATTGTTTAAATTCTTCTATCAAATTTTCAAGCTCTGCTATTCTATTATCTTTTTCAATAATTGCATCGTTACTTTGAGTCGACTTGCTAGCAATAATCTTATCCTGCAAGTCGGCGACATTTTTTTGCAATTGGTACTTTTCATCCAGAAGCTGTCGATTATTCTGTGTCAATTTTTCTATTTTAAATTGTAAATCCTCGACTGCCGGTGTTGTCACTATACCGGCGTCTGATTCTAATTGAAAAATTCTTTCTTTAGATTCTGCCAATTTTACTTCATACTCCTCCAATTGCTGAAGAAGATTATCGTTCTTCAACTTCAACGAGGATTCAATGAGAACGAAATTTTCCTGCATTGACTTCATCGCATCTTTAGTTTCCGCTAAAGTGTCCATAGTGGAACGCGAGAAATCCGCACTTGCTGATTCAGCTATTTTTTGTTCTTTCAACTGCTCTTCAAATCTACATAGTATAAAAAATAAATAATTCGAAAAATCTAAAATATCTCAAGACAGTTTTAAATGGAAGAAAATATTAAGATAAAAGATAATATTATTTAATATTTTATAATATCTCAATACAAGTCAATAATCAAAGTGTATTAGCTAATAAGAAATTATGCAATATTTTGTTTAGTAGAAAATCATTTAAATTTCTATTATTCAATCATCAAAATTATTTCTTCATTTAATTTGAAATAAATATTTATTTAATTACTTAATTTCAAGAAATGCATAATGTATTGAAATATATTACCTATTGATTGTATGCTCCAATTCCGATATTTTGTTATCTCGTTCTTGCAATTGTTTCAACAGACTGATATTTTTATCTTTCAAAGAAGTTTCTATCAAGATAAAATTCTCCTGCATTGTTCGCATTTCGTCTTTCGTATCTTCGAGAGTATCCAATGTCGTTTTACCCTTCCTAGAGAGATCCGCCGACATGAGAGTCACCGCTTTCGTTTTAGAATCAATTACAGAATCCTTCTCCTTTAAATTTTCCTGAAGGTCTAGGATGATAGCTTCCAACTCGACAATTTTACTATTCAGATCTACAATCTTTTTCTCCTTTTCTTGAATATCCTGAATTTGAACTGGTGTCATTACCTTAAATGAAAATGTGTATAAATTTTATCATACTTTTATTACATTGTTCTACTTTTCCAAATAATGATAAAAATAATTCTTTTTTTTATCATACATATATTAATAATTTTAGAATGATAAATTATTTAGACAAATATATGTTAAATGATTATTGTAAAACTTACATCTGAAGTGACCACAAGAGGCCTAATTGGTGTGACAACCAATTGATCCTTGCATATTTCTGTCCCTGAATATGTTTCATCCAACTGTTGCCTAATAGCTTCCACTTTTTCCTCCATTACTCGTTTCGTTTCTGTCAATTCCTTATTACGTTGCTCAAATACTCTCCTATTTTCCGCTAATTTTTTTTGAAGTAGAAAAGATTTTGCCTGTGGGGTATTTGCTTGACTTTTGTCATCGATTGAATCATCTGTTGTATCTTTTGCTACAGATTCAGTCTTATGTGTATGTACTGTGTCTTTAGATGAATTCCCTTCTTTACTACGACGTGACAATTTGGCTCTGGATTTGATTTTTGATAATCTTCGTGCATATTCCTTTTAGAAACAAAAATAAGAGAAATATATACAATCGAGAGAAAATATTTTTTCTTGCTAAATTTTTTGCAAATTTATAATGTTTCAAAAGGTGATATTTCTAAAGCGCATTAGTTTTATAATTTATTACCTGGACCTCCTCCTCTTTCTTTTTTAAACTTTGTTGATTTTTCATCATAATTTCCTTGAGAGATTCCAATTGATTCTTATTCTGTTCACATGTTTCCTTTGTGTGTACTGCAGCCTCAGGAAGGCTGCCTTCCATTGCATCCGATGCTTCCTCAGATGCACCTGACATTATACACTGTGCAAATAGAAACAACACAAACCAATGCATTATTTATTTGTTTTCTATGCAAAATTAATTGTAAATGGACTTTGACAACGGATAAGTGTTAAAGTCAATGGCAGTGAAAGCTTTTTTTTAATGTGGCAGAGTATCACCCACTGTTCTCATTTTCCATATCTAATTGGATAGGATCTAGACTGGGGTAAACTAATTGCATTAGGTCTCGACGCAGACTACACTTTCCACATTCCTCATCATTTCTATATAAACACTCGGTACAAGCAACACCAAGTACTATGCATCTTTTCTCAATTTTTTTCTAAGAAAATCAACAATAAAAGTGTCAGTAGTATCAACAAATAAGAAAAATGTAAGTGTTGTTAATATTATTAAAAATCTTGCATCCCACTTTTTGCAACCTAAATATTATTGATTCATTCATTATATACTAGGTATCTCTACAAATAATCAAGCCCTTTTATTTTTCTTATTTGTTATGTCACTATTAAATAAATTCACAAAAAATTCTTGTTAAATAAATTCATTATTTAATCATCAAAAAAACTCATTATTTAAAAATATTCATGTTTCGAACTAATTCTAATGCTTTTTATCCTTTTTTAATTATTTATTTTTATTAGCTATTAATTATATCACCGAAAAAGTTGGACACAAATGATAGAATTCTGTAAAAAAAAATTCTGTACATTGATAGATAAAATTTCAATAGCTGACAAATACGTAAAGTTTGAAACTTGTGGAAATTGATGAAACTTGTATTTCATGAATAAGTTTCATTAAATCATATCTTGTTAACTGAAACTCCATAATTTTTATTGTAACAATATATCTATCATTACTAATAAAAAAAATGATAGTGTTTATATCCATTCGAATAATTTGGACAGCTTTTATAACACGCTATGCTCATAATTTGTTTTAATATAATTTGAATTTCTATCTGATTTGTTACAATTTATATTTTTTTCCAATTTAGTAAATAATTTAATAAAGAATTGGCTTATACCAGGGAACATTTTATATATAAATTAAAGAAATTATTTCTTTTAATTATCAGTATATAATTAATAAATAAGAGATATTAAATCTTTAATCAAATGAACACATACATATGCAATTATTATTTTTAGTAATAAACATATATTAATAATTCCTATAAATATGAAAAAAATGATATGAAAGTGATAAAAAATAATATCTTGATATGTATATGTATATATATATATATATATATATATATATATATATATATTTGCACAATTATTTTAATTTTCTTAAAAGAAAAGCCAGATAATACATAGATACATAGAAAAAATGAAAAAATATTATAAAATCATAATATTTAATATCTAAATTGCTAATATATAAATAATATATAAATGATAAATAATATATAAATTATTAATATATAACTTGTAAATATACATATCAATATTATTAAATTCAAATAATTAGATACCTAACAATCTAAATCTAAAAGACTAAGCTCTTAAGATCATCATCGTAGGTCATTGTCAAATTATATCATTATTAAATATAAGACGCAGTCACAGGTTTTGCGATCGTACCAGCTGAAAACAAAAGTACGTAAAATACGTAAAGTTTCCAAAAATTTTCATAATCAGAAATGGACAACTGCAAGTACATAGAGAAAAATGTATACTGTATTCAAGTAAATATTATTTATTTTAAGTATATCATAAGTTTGTATATCCGCAAATATATTATAAGTTCACCACAAACATTAAATTTAATTGAATATATTCTGAATTTTACTAAGTGCAGTATTCTAGTCAAGAATATTAAATTAAAACATTAATTTGGTTTGCTTACTACATGAATTGGCATAAAGTAAGTTTGATTTTTCTTTGATATAACTTTACAATATTCTTCAAGAGGAAATAATTTCTTCTTTTGAGTACATGATAATGAGATTTTCTAACACTTGTGAGTATATTTTAAGTCTATTATCAAGAATATATTCTTTATTGAAGAAAACTATTACTTAAAAAAAAATAAATAAATAAACCGAGTAATTGTTTTTCTTGGCAGTAGAATGATATTTTTCTCTGTGTACATCTCAACAGATATCCTCAATTTCGTTGAACACGTAGCAAAGTGACGTAATCCACGCGATGTGGGACGCACGTGAGGAAAACGCGAGCGAAATATTCGAGGGACTCGAAATTTGACAGATAGGCCTCGCGATCAGCTGATCGATCGGGAAGCGAGGACGCGGGCGAGGACGCGCGCGAGGACGCGGACGAGGACGCGTCTGACAGCGAGGTGACGTGTGCTACCTTTTATTTCGCATCGTACCTTTTATCTGGCGTTGCTCGAAGGGTCAGGAAGGCGATACGTCGCTGCTCATATTTAGGTCGCTCCGTCACCGATTGCGGTCCTTCCAACGCTGCGAATGACGCGCGTCAAACGCACATGCTCCGCCCAGACGATGCTGTGGGTGCCCGACAACGATCCCGGGCAAAATTTCACGTAAATCCGCGACGAGAGATCGACTTCGTGTTATTATCGCCGTGCCATATTTTTACAGCCGGAAATAGTTGGAGGTGCCCCCTCAAGCGCCACGTCGCGGACGAACCCATCATCTTTTACGGAAAACGAGATCACGGTGAATTAACGATAGTAGATAAAAAAATTTAAATATTTAAATATTTTAAGTATTTTAAAGATTTTTAAATTTAAATATTTAAATATTTTTAATATTTTTAATATTTTTAATATTTTTAAATTTAAATATTTAAATATTTTAGATATTTTTAATATTTTAAAATTTAAATATTTTAAAATTTTTAATATGGCAGAAAAAGTGCAATGGATTAAAATTCTATATATAAAGAATTATTTTTTTTTCTTTTATTAAAAATTAACACTTGATTAATTTCTTTACAAAATGCAAATGCGAATAAGTGTATAGGTCATCAATAATATTGAAAATATATGAATATTCAGATTTTATAGATATTGAATATTTGATTTTTATATAATTCCTTCCAATGATTTAAAATTAAATAAATTTTTCGACTCTTAGATACTGATAAAATCGATGTATTCTTCCATTTAACTTCCCTATTCGAATTCTTACTTCATTGATGTAATTTATTCATGAAATTCCCTTTTTAGGTATTAAAATAGATTCAACTCCAGGACGATTAAATCAATTTATACTATATATAAATCGTCCTTGATTATTTTTTGGTCAATGTTTAGAAATTTATAGCATAAATCATTCATACCATATTTATATCAATTTGTCTAGAATCTACTAATTTCTTTAATTTAAAAAATTGACTATTTAATATAAATTCATTAAATTAAAATAAATTTTATTCTTCATTAAATAACTGATTTTATGGTGGATAAATTACAGGACAGGAATCTTCTTTATCATCCGAATAATTGGCGGACTTCTTTTCGCGCATGCGCATTGAATGTGATGTCAATAAAATTGTCTGAAATTAATCTTTATAGTTTTTCCGTTTAATCATTTTTAAAAATTATTTAATAATTGAATTTCGAAAATTAATTGAAGATAAAAATAAAATAAAAACAATGTGCATCAATTATATTAATTAATTGATTTATTCACTAAAACTGAAATGTATCGCATACATGTAACCACGAGCGTCATCGTTACGTCATCGTTACGTCACATGTGCACGAAAACGGGAATCTGTCTAATAATAAGTAACTGCGCGAGGATTCAAAATCGTTGGAAATTAGGCGAATATGTACGTTAAACATGATACAAAGCATTGAGAATATCTTCTTTTGAAAATAAGACACTCGACAATTTAATTCACGCGCAACGGGATTTTTGACAGGTATCAGCTGTTTTCGGTTCGCGCTAATCGTACGTCCTTATGTCGCGATTGCCGTGTGTCTCTCTAGCACGAGAGCAATTTAAAGGTGTCATGATTCATCGATGTGTCATATATGCACTGAACGATGCACAAAAATATGGATATTCCATTCACGATAATCCCAGGACGAGGGATGCTCGGTGACAGGTTGAGAGAGTTTCTTCCTGAGAATTTCTAACCTGTTGCGCGCTTATCTCGTTATCGGTAAGTCTCGACTACCAAGCATACAAGTACAAAGATATTTCTCTTTACTTATGCGTTTCTCTCATTTTGATTTCCAGCTTCCAGGTCGAATGAAAGAAAGCATTCTTGTGACTTTTTTCCTTCATTTTTTTTATTCGTATATAATGTGCGCTGTTGACATCGTAAACGGAAACCATAGGATGTTCTCAATATTTATATACTATATCTCGTCTCGCGACAATATATGAATTATTCTATTCAATTTTATCTGAGTGTCTTCTTCAACTAAAACTTCGTATTCTTTTGGAGGAAACACTGAGAAAAAGCATAGGCTTGGATATGAAAATAATATTTTACTAAATGTTACAACTGATTGTGTCACATGTAATAATGAAACATAAAAGCATAATAAATAATCATTTTTTTCAATCTTGCTATTTTTATAAATTAAAAATGATTATTTATTATAACGTTTATATATTATTAATTATAATTATATATATGTATATATATATATATATATATATATATATAATATATAATTGTTTTTATAAATTTTGCTAAGTTATTTAAAATAAGGGAATTTAAATTATCTATATAGTTTTTAGAAATTAAATCATATATCTATATAGTTATTTATATTAGTATTATATCATATATATCATATATACAGTTATTTAAAAATTAAAGAAATTATATCATAAGTGTCTTAGAAATTAAATCATATATACATATATGATTTAATTTAAATTATTTATATAGTTTTTAGAAATTAAATCATATATATATATATATATATATATATATATATATGATTTAATTTCTAGAAACTATATAAATAATTTAAATTAAATCATATATGTATATATGATTTAATTTCTAAGATACTTACAATATAATTTTTTTAATTTCTAAATAACTATATATATAAAATTTAAATTCTTTTATTTTCAATAATTTAGCAAAATTTATAAAAGCAATTATATATATATATATATATATATATATATATATATATATTTGTTTTATTATTGTTATATATCGAATATATCAATTTTTTTTGTACATTAGGAAAGAGGGGGAAAGACACACACTATGCACTCGGCGTCGACGCCATGGAATGCAACGGCGCACTCGGCATCTGGTTCGCGTCATCGCCGTCGTCATCGTCGTCGCCGTAGGTGCTATCGACCATCCGCGCGCGTCTCGTCGCGCCTGCCCCACGTCGTCGAGCGCCGCGCAGTTTTCCAGTTTGACGCACCGCCGTCGTGTGTGCGACGATGGAGGTACAGCGGCAATATAAAGGTAGAAAAATCAGCCGAGAAACGCATGCAATGTCCGCTCGCCATCCGTCGTGCTCCTCGCTGCTCGCATTCCTTGCATCGATGATACGACTATTGATCAACGGCCGACAAAAGGAAGTCGATATTACGTGGATATTGTGTTTACACTCGAGGACATTCGTCCGCTTATCGCGGAGGTCTCTAAGAGGATGTCGATAAGAAAAATTGTATTATTTCCTGCGCCAATTGTGCGAGAAAAAGAGCGTCTTCCTGTCGGATCCAGCCTTTGCTAATCTCCGATTTTCGCTGACGAAGGAAATTCTGGCAACGCGAAGACTCGAAAACAGACGTCTTCGCAAACGAGCCATTTTGAGCGTTTCATGGATGCATGGATGCGATTGCAGTTGTATTTTTTTCAAAGACGAGGATCAGAATTCTTCAGATTGGCGAGCTAAAGCGCGAACTTTTTTCCCCGCATCGAATGTTTCCCGTGCAAAATTCACCTGGCGCAAAATTCTCGTTTTGTCAAAAAATTTTAGGACCAAGCTTTGCGCGCGTAAAAGTGTTTCTGCGTTGAATTTCTATCGCGAAAACTGAAAAATCGAAAGATATGAGAAAAAAGGAGCAATTTTCCGCAAAGAGGTCTTGATTTATTTTGCGTCGAATAATTTTTGTTTGCGTTCATGAGGAAGAGCATTTCTCTAAAAGTGTGGAAAACGGAACGTCCACAGCGATACGCACGATATGCATTTGATCAATAACGAAATTTCTGTTTTCATCAGAGAGATTGACCCGGTTTCTATCCTTCCGGTGAAGTGGAATGTCGCGATTATATCAAAATATCGATATTTCACAGATATTTCTGGACGTTTATTTTACAGGAATAAATTTAATTAACTTTTTATTTCACGGGGAAAGGAATTTTATCAACGATAAATGTGCAATATTATTTGACTATATTTTTAAACAATGTTTTTACGAAAAAGAATTTAATGTTAGTTTGCAATTTTGTTTTATCGAAAATTAAATTAATTACGGCTTTATTCGAGCTCGAGTTCTTGATATACTGAAAAGCTGTTTATATTACATCAGCTTATACCTATAATTTAATCGATTTTATCTCTTTCAATACTACACGTTGTATCACACACATACACTGCTTAGGTATTAATTAAATGTAGAATCATGTATATGTTGTTTACATCGGAAGCGCGCTAATCTATAAGACTTAAGCTGCTTATATAAAAACAAATCTTATAAGTCAAACTAACTTGCGATATTTTTGTAGTAAAATTGTTTCTCGTACTTTTCTACATGTTTGAATGCAAATAATATAATAATTATTTAACAAATAAAATTGCAGTACTTGAGCAAATTATTTTATTATATTAAAATTTCTCAATTATTTGTCTAAAGCTCTATATTTTTTATAAAATTTTATATTCAGTTTTGTGTGTGAAATAACGATTTCAATGAAACGTTAATTTAAACTGACGTTATATGTTGATTTTGGCAATATACATACAGAGTGACATTTGAGAAAGAAAGAGAGAGAGAGACACATTTGAATTTTATAATTTAAATTATTCCCAAAATTATCTTCACAATAAATGTGACATGTCATTATAAATATATAGTATTATTAAATTAGAATATTATCATATCTTAAGCACACATATATTTTTATCTTTTTCTTTTTCAATAATTGATATGTTAATATTATATCTCGAAAAGTTTTATCTTCTTATTGTTTAATAATTGACATGATGTATCGATTAATATATTTAATATTTAACATATTATCATGTTTTACACTAACAAATAATTTTATGTTTTTAAGTTAAAGATAGAATGATGATATATGAACGTATTGAATTAATCAATTTTACATTACAATTTTTTATTATAATTTTTATCACTTGAATAAACAATATCTCATTACTATCAACGTAATATGTTGACAGTTTATCGCACAATTAATCACACAATTTGTATTTTAAAATTATTTTAGCATTTTTCAACATTTTTATTTCATTTAATTACAGTCTTATTCATATATATATATATATATATATATATATATATATATATATATATATATTTTTTTTTTTTTTTTTTTTTTTTTTTTTTTAAATTATAGATAACATAACATAATATTATTTTATACTTAACATTTACAATTATATAATTATAATAAACGCATCTTTTTTTAAATGAAAAATATATTTTTATTTAGATGTGAAATTTTATAATATTGTAATGATATATTTTCTATAATATCGTGATGATATATTCTATTTAAATATACAACATTTGAAAAGTAAATATCAGCTGCATTAAAAATTACGAAAATATCTCATATAATTTATCTCAATGCTCAATGAAATTTGATAAAATTTAAGTTTCTATAATTTTCAATCAAAATAAATTTATAAAAATTAAAGTTATACTCTATAAATTTGCCTATAAATATTATTGCTATCAGTTTATTGCACATTTATGTATTAGATAAAAGAATTGTAGGAAAAACATCGACGAACAAAACTATTCCGATTGACTATAGGATAAACTCTGATACAAAACATGACAATTACGATTAAACTCCTCTGTTTACGTGATATAATAGGACGTAAACAGCAATATAATCGAATAGTTATAAGAGATAAAATATGTCCCTAATGAACGTTCTCCTCTTCTAAAGTATAAATATTGCATAGAATAGCTTTAATATGAGCTTAGGCACTTTTTTCTTAGCAAAACATTCAGAAAAAAAATCAGAACTGTAATCACAACATCAATACGTCATACATGAGAGTTACTTAATGGATTGCATTCGTCACTGTGTTAGAAACAACTTGTCAGAAAGAAATACAATGGAGAAAAAATAGGCCTCTCATTTAGGACATTTATTTTTTAATATAATATTAATATTATTATTTTATATATATAATATATATAATAAGATATATATAAAATATATATAATATTAACTTATATAATATTTTATATTATATTATATAATAATTTTTTATATATTATATATTATATTACAATTATATATTATATATTATATTACAATTTATTATATAATTTATTATAATTTATTATTATAATAATTTATTATATAATAATTATGTATAATAATTTATTATATAATAATTTTTTATATTATATATAATATTATATATGATATGATATTATTAAATAAATAGATGAGAAAGAAAGAGAGAACGTTTTATGAGATAATCGTCTATTTCTTCGCTTTGTTCATTTTATCTATAAATTTAGATATAATAGTAACTTGCACATGTGTATTTCTCTTACTTTTTGATTCGACTGCTTACAATTTCTGCCAAACACATGTGCAGCGAGTGGGCGGGAAAACGAACTCACTGATATCGAGGATGTCATTTGTCTATAGGAAAATCAACAAATCTATTATTGTATGCTACCTACGCAGATTATATCGCGTATTTTATATTACAATATGCCAACTCGCGAATATACCGCTGGAATAGCGATAGAAATTGATAATGCATATTCCACTTTGAGATAAGAGACAAGGCGAAGGTGATGATTCACAACCGCCAACCAACAATACATTTATTCGAATGCGTCGCATTTATCGCATATATTGTCACGTGCAATTGCAATATTGTGTCACATCGGGATACGTCAATTAACTCTTCTAAATCACCGATATTTCACCGATATTTTTCAGCAAACGCCAAATAACAGTTATATAACTTGGATAACAGTTATATAACTGTTATATAACTTGGTTAACAGTTATATAACAGTTATATAACTTGGTGTTTACTTGGTTGTTTCAAAATAATATTTCATTTATAAACGCATTGTTATTGGCAACCTGTTTGAATTTAGAAAAAGCACCGATTTCGCGATGTCCCTTAACAAAAATTTTCTTGAAAAATTTAGATAAATTTAAAAATTTACCTGAAAAATTTTTCATTCGACAAATTAATATATTTTCTCTTTTTCTCTCTTTTTCTCCTCTTTAATGTGGAGCATTACGTATATGAATATTACTCGATATATATTTTGTACTATTCCAGGCAGCACAAAAAGGTCAAAAGATGTCTTAAAGACGTCTAAAGGACTTTAAGATCGTCTTTAAGTCGTCTTTTAGATGTCTTTTGGACGTGTGTGCGGGGATTTTTGATAACGAAAAAAAATTCGGTCAAATCATTATCTTGTATCAACGTAATATGTTCTATTTTTTTACTATTCATGTACATAGAAGATAGGAGCGACTTTATTTAATGACCGAAATTATCTTTGCTATGCATACAACGTTATCGAGAAATGTTTCCAATAAAAATGCTATAAAAAAATCCGTTACATTCAGCATAATCTTCTAAAACTATAAAATTATGAAACTTTTATTGAAAACATTTTTCGGTATCTGCATGCATAATACAGGTAATTTAGGTCATAAAGTTAGGTATCCCCCTCCACTGTGTCTTTATGTATATATCCTGCTTTCTATAATATCAAGAGAAAGTGTTATTTAAATATTTTTTTGAAAATATTTGCACCTGAATATTTATACTTAATAATAAAAATATTTAATAAATATTTAAAAATAATTAATAAATAAAAATATTTAATAAATATTTAATAAATATTTAATAAATATTTAATTGAAAGCAAAATATCAGTTGCTAATGAAAATAATCGAGTCTATGAAACCTACTCAAGGTTCATTATTGTTTTCTGAAAATATATAAAGTGCATATTGATAATAAAAATACATATCTAAGTTCATTTATATATTTACATATTTTATGCTTTCTCTAATATCAAGAGAAAAAGCTATTTAAATATTTTTTGAAAATATTTGCACCTGAATATTTATACCTAATAATAAAAATATTTAAAAATAATTAATAAATACAAATATTTAATAAATATTTAATAAATATTTAATTGAAAGCAAAATATCAGTTGCATCCGTTGCTAATGAAAATAACCGAGTTTATGAAACCTACTCAAGGTTCATTATTGCTTTCTGAAAATATATAAAGTGCATATTGATATTAAAAATACATATCTAAGTTCATTTATATCCTGGATACTTAGCATAAAATAAGTGATTTTCAGATAAGATATGCCAGTTCTGACAGAAATAGACCTCAGAATTAGAAACATTTCAAGCCTGTTGAATAAGAACGTGCTCTCCCGGTGTCTGTAGCAAGGTGCCGTTACTTCAATAAACGACGAAGATGAAGAGGATGCTGAAAAAGTATTCAATTAATATACTATGGATGCATAGAAAAATAACGGTGCCGAAAAAGTGGACGTCGAGAGCAAAGCATCAGCCTAGATACATAGTATCTCCAGGCATCCCTACTCTACTCTTGCAACGTAAACAAAGGAAACTGGAGGCGCCGGGGCGACGGGGACGGACGCGTCCGTCGTCCGCGGGCCTTTACTAGCGAGTCGTGAAACGTCCGCTGGTCAGTACTGGTCAGATACAGTAGTCAGTAGCAGCGAATGATCGACTAAGGCACCAACGTTTTATCCCGAGCCGGAAGTGCCACGATAGTAACCTGGGGAACTAGTTTCGCCAACGTCGTCTAAAACAATGTTTGCAAGGTTGCGAAAAGCCGTACGAGCTTCGCAAAAGTCGGAATGCAACGCGAAAAGTGAGTGCTAACGTTGTCGATGCCCGATATAATTAGCGGCGGTTTAAAAGGCGCATCTCGTTGACGGATGCGGATGAATTGTCTGGAGCTGACGATGCTTCCTTAAAAAGTCCCAGCTAATGTCTCATCGAAGATGCCGAATACTACTTCGCTCTCGAATGTTTGAATCTGAATGTGCTTCGATAATCTAGATTTAAAGGTCCCTTATGTCGTCCTCAGACGGGATCAAACACACGTATTCTCCGTTTCGACTATTTTTGAGTTTTTTATTAAAAGGACTCCGAGGACGATTTCTGATTTTTTTCTTCATTGTTTAGTTTTTTTGTTTCTCATTTTCATCCACGATTTAATACCTTTTACAAATTGTTTAGTATTAACTACATACAAGATTGATATTAACAATATGAGCAATATTTCATTCTGTGTCAGAAAATCAAATGGGTCTAAATCAATTAAAATCAAAATTTTCTTGAAAAATTTATAAAATCAATTAAAATGTAGGATCTCCATCAAGTATATAGAAAACACGAAATAACTATATTATAATTTACATCATTTATTTATATCAAAAAATGTATTGAAAATCGTATAAATATCACGTGAAAAATTATTTTTTTTAATATAATATATGTTTTTAATACATAATTTTTTTATATATAATTTCTGACTTTTTTATTAATGGATTCAAATTTTTAAATATGCTAAATGCCAGGTAGTTTGATCATTAATAAAACTCTTTACGTAATATAATGTAACACACACAATTTTTTGCGCACTCGTGCAAAGTGCGATGTAAAAAAATAAATAATTCATTTTTTAATACAATAATTAGAGTCAATTTTTTTAAATTTATGTAATGGAAATATTTATCCGTAAATATATAATAATCGATAATATTAAATATGTTAGACACATAATATTTCACACTGAAAGAAGTTTCATTAATTTGAGTCATTTACAAGGTATATAAAAAGGCAATATTATTTTTAAAAAGAATAATCTCTCTCTCTTTCCTTCTTCCCTCTTTCTTTCTTTCTTCCTCTTTCCTCCTTCTTTTTCCTCGTTATAATTTACTTATCAATCGCCTTCCTATGAAACTTTAGTGTCTTCGTTCGTATTCACAGAATCGATTTTTACATAAAAATTTAACAAGTTTTTCATCGCACACACGCGATTTTTCTATTTCTAATATCAGATAACCCTTGACAATTCTTAAATTAATTTCCATTAAAATAAAGTCAATTAAAAATCAATTCAGCATAAGTTATCAATTTACGCTTATATTTCACTTTTCAAAAGCATTTCGTCGTCAATATTAAACATACTTCAATTCTTTACTTCGTTTTCATAAAAAAAAATAGATCTTGTAATTGCAATTGAACTATTAAATTGAACTATTAAAATAATAAAATATTTAAATATTAAAATAATAAAAGATTTATTAATTTTAATAAGAGAGAATAATGACGACGAAACGTTGCCTTAAAATTTTGACTCATACGTGACTATGCAGAGAGATTGTATTGTATTTTATATTGTGTGCATGTAAATAACTAACACAAAGTATATTAAAATATGAATAATACGAAAAGTGCTCCTGTACTCAAAGAGATCATTGACGTAAGTCGAATATAACGATATCAGTGTCATGTTATCATAAAAACTTTTTTCGAACCATCAATACTTTGAAGTAACTGTTTATTGATAAATTATATCAATAATTAATTACTTTATATTTATACTTCATATTGTTCTTTCTTTTCTAGTTTATAATTTATACATATTAAATATAACTAAATATATCATTAGAGATAGAGCCTAATTACATACAGTATTTCGCAAGATAGAGCCGAATTACATAACTGGTAACATAAATGGACGAATTAAAGAAAGTGCGCAGCAAAAGAGCGCAGTCAGAATCATTCAAGCCTTGTACGATAATTTATCAAAACGAAATCGCATCGGTCTGTTTACAAAATCGCAGTTTGCCAACTATCTTATTATCTATACGATAAATTTTCCGATATATTCAAATCATGATGCGCAAAAATTTTCATACATTATCGCGGAATTAATTGATCAAAAAATAAAATAATCGCAACTCTACTGACAATGAGTGGAATTTTTTTTTCAATACAATATATTATAATAGATACAATTAGATACAATACTAGAATTACGCACAATAATTAGTTTAAATTAGTCAATGTTATGTCATCGGTAACAAAAGTGTTCTTGTTTGTCGTTTTACTTTTTATATAAAATCTAGAAAGAGATTTATCTATAAAAAAGAAGAAAGAATGTTTTAAAATTGCCATCATTATTTCTACAATTTTTTAATATCGATTTTTAATGAAGATTTAAAATAAAGCAGTTCATAAATTTTTCATTAAACTTTTAATTTTTAAATATTCTTGGGATAAAATTTAATTTGCTAAAAATCTCTTAATTTTTTATTGCATATGTAACTTCTGATACTTTGAAGAGAGTAATATTAATTGACGAGTAAAAAAACCTCCACACTTTTGTATATCAATTTTAATTTATTATACGCAAATTATACCGAAAATATAACAGGCTCGAAATAACTTGATAATCTGGCTGATGAACAGGGCTCGAAAATTGAATCGCTTTTGCGTCGTTGTTAAACATCTGACAAGATATTAAACGGATTTTATGGCGAATATGAAGTTGCGATTGAAAATTTCCGGTTTTGCTTTACACCTGGCTGCCAAGTCGGGAATTTATCGGGCACACTGTCGATAGAATACTGATTTGTCTTGTGTAATGGAACGACCATTAAATGATCTTTTCGCAATACCGTCATTTTCAGTGCGTTACTACGAGTCTAATAAAATATTGTGATAAACGAGCGATCTGTGAGGAAGAAAATAATTTATTAAATTCGTAAGCAAATCTTTAAATTAAAAATTCCAAAAATTTATCTTTTCTGCGACATAAAAATCCAACTCGTTCGTTTAACTTAGTTTCATCCTTTTCTTTCCTTTTACATAAAATGTTTGGCAAAGATGTTGATATCATTGTGTATCATTTACGTTATACAGAATGGCCCCGAACGTTCCAGCTAGATTTTGAGATCTTATAGGAAATTTAATTCTGAACAAAGAATTTCCTATAAACATAAGTCGAAAAATGCTTCCTTAAGAAGTTATCGCTCAAAAACTTCTGATGAAGGAAGAACAAAAGATGAAAAGAAAATAAAATAAAAAGAAAATGAAACTAAATAAATTTCTTGAAAAAAACGATAAAAATAAAAAATAAAAATTTTCTTTTTCTCTTATGAAAATAAAATAATTTTTTTTTTAACTAACTTCCATTTTATTTTCATAAAAGAAAAAGATTTTTATTTTTTATTTTTATTGTTTTTTCAAGAAATTTATTTAGTTTCATTTTCTTTTTATTTCATTTTCTTTTCACCTTTTGTTCTTACTTCATCAAAGGTTTTTGAGCGATAACTTCTTAAGAAAGCATTTTTCGACCCATGTTTATAGGAAATTTTTTTGTTCAGAATTAAATTTCCTATAAGATCTCAAAGTCTGGTTGGAACGTTCGGGGCCACCCTGTATATGAGAGCAGTGATAAAAAAACGATAATAGCAAAACATATTTGCAGATAGATTACGGATAAATTTGCGTCAATTGATTTTGACATAACTTTTGTATTTTTTGTTATTTTTACATGTCTTATCGCTTTATAATAGCGTCAATGATAAAAATAATTATTTTAACTATGATTAATTCATTTTTTACAGCAACTTCCGCTATCGGCGATGCCTCGAAAAATCAAACCCCACCGACGCTTCTTTCGAGTTTGAGAAGCGTTCTCTTTGTTATCGGAACTGTAGTGGTCGGATTCGCTGCCTTTTGCAATTCTCTGACATGGTAATGTATAAATACAATTGTAAACTAGTAGAAATTGCATTGCCATCATGTTCGTTTTACTTTAGGAATTTTTTTAGGAATAAACAAAATTTGTTTCTATCAAACTTTCATTTTTTAATTTTTTAATTTTTTTAATTTAGTTAAATTTTTATATTTTTCCTTTTTTAACCCATTATTTTTTATTTTTAATTAATAAAATTCATTAAATTAGATTTCTTTCTTTTCTTGAACACTTGCTTGCTGCTCTTTCACTTCATGTGTCCATTTTTGATCGCTCATATGTAGAAAAAAAATGACAAATATGATAATGATATTGATAATGATATTGATAATGATATGGATAAATATGATATTTTATTACAATTTTGAAAATCATCGCACATTCGCGCAATCTGATTAAAGAGACTGCAAAATAATAAATTAACTTGTTGTGTTTATCGATAATCTAATAAAATATAATCCAATAAAACATATCGAAGAAAAAATAAAAAGTTTACTTTTTTTGGTTTGTCTGATAAAGTATTATTTATAATTTTATGATTCAAAAAAGAAATTCATCTAAAAAACTTATCTCTCTCACAGAATTAAATAAATTCTCGATTATACTATTTCCAATTCATAATTTATATTTAATTTCTTCAAATTTTGTTAACTGAAAAAAATTTTAGGCATTTGCAAAGATTCTGGGGTGCATCCGGCGACTTCTGGCAAGCCCAATGGGACAAAATTTTGGATAAATTTGGAGATGATCCTGTGACACTATGGGTTTACGGTAAGTTAAAAAAGCTATAAAAGGCTCTTCAGAAATTCAAAAGTAGTAATAAATCTATGTTACATTTTTTATACAATCATACAAAATATATAAATAAATAATTTACAACAGAATATATCGTTAATCTTAATAACAGGTTTCGATTAATTTTTGTCATTTTCTAAGAACTGAAAGCAATAGCGATTTTTGTCATTAATGTCACTATTAAATTTTTTAATAACATAATCCCATACATAATATATTTGCTACATCTTCTATCTTGATTGCATCATCTGTTTATCATAATTATAACATATGATTGATTAATTTATTTACAAACATTACGTGAACGTCAAATTAATTTTTTTATTACTTTTTTGTAGGATCCTTGTCTTTGATGATCGTGGTTTACTGGGTGATCGGAGGAATTTACACGATCCTAGATATCACTAATCGACCAGCAGCGCTGCGTAGATACAAAATACAGCCCGGCACGAATGAGCCAGTGGATAAGAGGGAGTTATGCAAAGTGATTGCTCAAGTACTGTTCAATCAGATCGTCGTCGGCTTTCCTATTATGTATCTCGGCTATTATTTCATGGAATGGCGCGGTTATCCCCCGGTGCGCGAGCTGCCGACTTTCCACTGGGTACTCACCGAGATCGCGATTCACATTTTATGCGAAGAGATTGGATTTTATTATTCGCACAGGTACTTTTTTTATCTAAAAATCAAAGAAATTATATAATATTGATTTCCATAAATAATATGATAATTTACTCTCGGAATGGCCGTCAATTTTGTCGACTATTGAAAGTAATGTCCGGCTGAAGCATGTAAAGAAAAATCAAAATAGGTAGTATCAAGTATAGAAATCAGAAACTTGAAAGGCAAACGTCATCCATGTCAATTAATGTCGACATTGACCTGAATTATCATATCTGAAAAAAGTTTATACATTTGCATAAAATTAAATAGAGGTGCAGACGTGCTAAGTAGATAAAAAACGTATACATTATGCCATTATCTACCAGTAAAAGATTATCTTTAGTTATAAAAAAGTGATGCGCATAATTATATAAGCACGTTAAATAAATAAATATTTCCACAAAATATACATATACATGTAGATGAAAATTAACAGGAAATTGTTATGTAATATTTTGATATAATAACATAGTTCAAAAAAACATAGTTTTTTTTAATAAAAAAATATGTAATTTGCAATTAACAATTACATATTTTTTCTTAAAAATAACTATGTGTTTTTTTTACACAAATTGGTTTCTCTCATTATTTTGTACATAAAAGTATTAAGGTAAGATAATCGAAAAATGAATATTTTACTAGATATTTTATGGTTTATGCAAAATTAAGAAATGATTTCAAGCTTCATAACTCGAAAAGCACTTCATGGAAAAATAATTTATTATAGTGTTTTGGAAAGCTCTCGAGGTAAGCTACACAAATATGTAATAAAAAATAGAGGATTTTATTTAAGAAATTGACGGTGATCTTCGGTGACTTTCAAATGACTCTCCCATGTCAAATCATTGCCACTATCTGATGGCCCCCTTCAAGCCATACAACTTTTGTCTGAAACATTTCTTTCTAAAGTGCATAGTTTATGAAATATTCGATCGGTCCGGAACTTTTGGGATACTGTATATTTTGGCTTTTGTACTTAAATTGTTCTAGACAGAAAAATGAATGATTGAAATAATATTTATCGATATAAGCAATACGTGTGGACTAAGTATGTAATAGGATCTTTTAGTATGACATAGACATTATTTATATCCTCAAGTATTTCCAGTTATTGAATTATATTTTGCAGATTTCTCCACAAGCGCTCTTTGTACAAATATATACATAAGCAGCATCACGAATGGACTGCGCCCATAGCCGTCACCGCTATGTATTGTCATCCTTTAGAAAATATTGGTTCGAATCTACTTCCGCCTTTCTTGGGAGTATTCATCATGGGCTCTCACGTGGCTACCGCCTGGATTTGGTTCTCTCTCGCGATCCTTTCGACTTTGAACGCGCACTCTGGTTATCACTTACCGTTCTTCCCCTCGCCGGAGGCGCACGATTTCCATCACTTAAAGTAATGTGGATTTCATCAAAATTCTTGTAACTTTAATTCACATTAAAACAATCTGGATTTTATTTACTATAATAGAAGTCCTTGATAAAATTGATTTATTTTGTAACATAAAAATATACACAAAATAATTTTGAACGATACTTTTATAAGATTTTACGATAAGATAATATAGAAAAATAATATTAAATAATATAGATAAATAATTTAAATAATATTAGCCTTTTTAATTTCGCAAAACCACTTCAAGATTCGATATCAACGTTTAACATACATTTGTTATATGTGTGTACGTGTATCTTTATAAGCAAACGCAGTAAGCCTAAAATTCTATCTCTCTTATAAATAAAATTACTTTTAATCTTTAATCTATTTCTATCAAAATTCTATATCGTATCGCATATCATAATGTTCTCACTTTTAAATGAAGAATCAAACTTTATAATTTCTGTGGAAATGAATGCTTTCAGGTTCAATCAATGCTATGGTGTACTCGGCGTTTTGGATCGCATTCATGGCACTGACACGCAATTTCGCAATTCACGAAATTACATGCGTCACATAATGATGCTTAGTCTCGTACCGCCTAGGGAAGCATTCCCGGATGAGGCAAAGTACAAATCAAAGTAGAAGAATTTTTCGGCGACTCTGAAAGTTATATAAATAATTTCCAAAAAGAGAAACTTTTCACGTTGGGTGAATATTTTCGCAACGGTAACTGGGTTCGGGAACGACAAATTGTGACTATAATCAATTCAGTTAATAGCACTAGTAAACGTCTACTATAAAATTAATTTCAACAAATGGACAATCTCGACTTTAATTGATATTCTTAATTTTTTATTGAAATTATTTATTATTGATATTAATTTTTTATTGATTATCCTTTTCTATGGAAAGAATTCATAATATTCGAATTTACATATTTAATCATAATTATATTTTGGTAAATTTTATTAAAAATAGAAAAGTGCCACATCTTTTAATATTAAATATCTAGAGGTCATTTCTTTTCAATTATTTCCTTTTATTATTTCTTTCTTCAATTTATTCATTTTTATGTTAAAATTCCTTTATCTTTTCAGATTTAGAATTTATTCAATGTTTTATACAGGGTGTCCCATCTAGAAGTGGCCACCCCCTTTTATCTTTTAAACTAAAAGAGATAGACCATAACAAATATATATGAAATTAAATGGCTTTAACTGAACTTTATTGTGAATATAGTGGTTGATTACAAAATTTATCTGTATTAAAGAACGGAGAGATATGTAAAATTTTTTAATGATAATGTAGATATTTTGATATAATAAAAGTTATAGCGCGGTTTGGAACGAATATAACGATGTATGATTTAATGTAAATATTTTACATATTATACGAGATTTTCCGGCTTGAAATATCGCGGGCGACATCCACCATTTCATTTTCGGCCCTGCGATATAGCCAACTTCTGACTGAGTATTATGATTAAATGACAACATGACATATGTCAACCTCTAATGCACGAGTAATACACTCTAATATACTCACAATAAAGTTCAGTTAAAGCCATTTAATTTCATATATATTTATTATGGTCTATCTCTTTTAGTTTAAAAGATAAAAGGGGGTGGCCACTTTTAGGTGGGACACCTTGTATAGTACTTCTTATTGAACTGTCGCAAGTAACTCGGCTATCCGCTGATTTGTATAGCGATAATGATTGTATATATAAATGTCAAGATTGAACTGAATAGAGAAAATAGTGACAAGATTCATAAAAATTTAAGGCAAGAAAAATGTACATCTTTAAAATATCGATAAAAAAATTGATAATTCAAAAGCGCTTCTAATTTACATTGGCAGCAACAACATGCAATTTCTATTATCTGAATATTTATTAGACTGAATTTTAATACATTACATTCTTTTTTTAGAAAATCTTTTAATTTTCGAAAAAGAGAGAATTTATATAATTTATTTATAAAAAATTTGTACCATGAATTTAATAATTATATTCTTAAAATTATATACGCGTGTGACATATATAATTCTTCAATAATTATTAGTCAAATTTTTCTTTCAGTTCAATCTAGGCGTACATTCGTACATCTTTTCTATAATATTTTTAGCATTAATGTTAAAAAAGATGTGTATTTAAGCTGTACATTCATGCACAAGTATATACATTCTTATATTATATCTAGTAGCGTGATATTTTAGTGAATGATATAATGAAGTGATAAATTAGGTGCACATATGTATACCTTTAAAACTTCTTCAATGATCCTAATCGGAGATAGAGAATTTACTTTTTTAATAATAAAAGAAATAAAAATATGAAAACAAAATATCTGTATCATTGTTTTATATGAAAGTATTACTTTTAAATTCCTATTTCAATTAATATTTGAAATCAATAATATTTCTAGTACAAAACATATTGGCATTGCAGTGCAAATTTCAGAATGAGTGATATTTCGAACATAATTGCTATTTTTATATTTAATTTCATAATGTAACCATTAGTCAGACTTTGATTTAAATTTTAAGATAAGCAATTGTACTTCTTTAGGATAAGTATAACTTATACAGTTAGAATAAAATGTGTAGCATTTTAGATTTTTCCTTATATGAAGTATAAATGAAATTACTCTAACAATTATATAGAAATATATATATACATATACATAACATATATTAACTGATAATTTTATCTAACAATGAGTGTTTGTTATAAAATATTTACAACATTCTGTATTTTTCTTGCGAAAAAGAACATTCTATTTATTAGAATTGAATGAAAAATGGAAATATAAATTTATTTTTAATAACTTTACTAGGGACAATTTTCAGTCTTATTTTACAATGTTTTATCGCATATTTCTAGTAAAATCTTAAAACTTCAAATAAGTGTAGAAAACAGAAAAAATAATAGTACTTTGAAATTATGTTAAATGGAGACTTTTTTAAGTAAGAAATCGATCAGAGATTAATGTCTGAATGTGCACATAAAAAGTGTGCACATATGTAAAGCTCTTTTTCTGCATTGTGATTCTTGTCAAGTACATATATATAAGGCTCGTAATTAATATGTATAATAATGTTACTGAATTTATGTATCTATAACAAGCTTATTAATAAAATCTTTACAAATATCATTTCCTCTCTCCTTCTCTCTATATTTTTGTATAAAGGTCTTATGATATATGATTTTGACGGGTTACAAAATAAGCAACATACAGCTTGCAAGTATGTATATTTTATAACAATATTAAATATGAATAAAATTTCTCTTACATAGTACAAAAATAATAATTATTATTGCTTTTCTTTATATATATATTCGACAAAATATATATTTCAAAGGCCTAAAATGCAATCTTACTTTTAAAAATCACAATTTCAAAAAGATTTACATACACATCGAGTAATTTCACAAGTCTTTGATCATCATATTTACATGGCAAGACGAAGAATATTTCATACTGTTTTCTTTGACATTTTATGTATGAAAATTACGGATATAAAGTGGCATCACTAGTGAGACTACACTAGTGAGCTTGAACCAATTAGAGACTTCTGAAACATCACGCAAAGAAAAATGCTTACAAATAGAATATGAAAAAAAAATACAGTAAATTTACGATAAATTACACAAATTGAATAACTCTTTGGCAAAAACTTGTGTACAGTATCCTATTTTATATATATATATATATATATATACGTCAAACAGTACATATCTTATAAATTATGACTCTTGGCATATGGAAAAAATCACGCCATTATTCATTGAGAGAGCACTTTCGAAGCATAATACAATCTTTATTTTATTTCTGTGAAATTCATGGCTCTGTAGAAATTCAGATTGTAAATATTATTGTCAGAATTGGACCCTTGATGAATTTTTTGCATTTTCAAATGCGACATGCACATATATGTATACATGTATATATAAAATTTTATATATAAAATTTTGATAACACATATAAAATTTATATTAAAATATTATATATATATGTAAAAGTATGTACTTATATCTTAAACAATTATATTAAATTTTCTTAAAAAATGCTATAAAATATTTTTAAAACCGTTGTTCCAACGTCTTCGACAAAAATGTCTTTGTTTTTCAATATATATAATCTCAAAAATAATCAACGTATCGTTGATTGTGTAATAAATTATAAAATTTTCATTATCTCACTATTAAGGCAATATGATAAAGAAACTCCATAGCAAATTTGGACCTTAGCAACAAGTTCAGACATTATTATAATATTATATAAATAGCACTTATGACATATCTTTTCATATTGATAGTGGCATAATAAAAGATGAAGCCCTTTAATATATTCGAATAATAGATAATATCGTTTGGACATTATTATATAAGGAATCAATGCCGTATAAATGTCATTAGTTGGTTGTCTCGAGAGAATATGTACAAATTTACATTTGTGGAAGAATTTGGAAATTAATGAATGGATTTCCTATTGCTTAACTACACATCCATTTAATCGTGCGAATGGGCGAATTTTCTCGCACGAGTCTTAATCATTGTACATTCCGTCAATCAGAAAATCCATTCTTCGATAGTGCCTCTTATCCCAGCAGTCTCGACCGCGTCTGTACAATACAAAAATAGCAGCACCCAGTATTGGCAAAGCAACGATCGTTATAATGACCGGAATAATATAGTCGATTTTTCTTGGCATGCCCAGTGGAGGGTTCTTCTTTCGCGAAGACAGTCTGGATTCACTCGGATCTGGCCCGTCAACTGTCGTCACAGTTGGTTTTGGTTTCGGTACATGTTTCTCAGTATGCGAAGCCTTAGACGTTGTTGTATAATTCGTAGTCTTCGTGTGAACTGTAGTTATATTTGATATGGAACTTGTGCTGGAATAACTGAAATTTGCACCGGCATCTAAGCTATTGTTGATATGCAAATTGGTAACATTTAATTTCGGAATAAATGTGGAAGCTTCAGATTGATTATTGACACGAGCAGTCTCTGCAATTTCCATCACAGGTCTTATATCCTCTAAAGTGGTCTGGTTAAGCAATATATTTGCCATCTGTGGATCCTGGTTCTGATCCACACCTTTCCTTGCCTTTATTTTCTTTGTCTCTGAAGAAAGAAGAGAAGAACTGTTGTTTTTCTCTTCTCTGGATTCAGCAGCGGTACTTTCAATGTTTGCATTTTGAATTGGAGATATCAATATAGGTCCTCCTTCGGCCAGGCCCGATGCGTGAATCTTGAAATATTGAATATTTTACTGTTTTATAAAATTGTTTATATAATTATTTATAAAGTTATTCAATAAAATATCAATGCTTAAATGTAAAAATATCATAAAGTGATAAATAACGATAATATTTAAATAATGAACAAAATAAACACACAAATGATACAAAAAGATATTATAATTTCATAATTTGAAAGAAAATTAAAAAAAAATAAAATAAAAACTGTAAAGCTATGTAAAAAATATTAATAGAAATTGAAGACATAAAAAAAATAAAATTCGTAGGATATAATACAAAGAATAAAAATAAAATAATACAAACAATACAACCGGACAAGAAAAAAAAATTAAAGTCGAAACAAGTCCGAATCATAAAAAAATATAAAAAAACTGCCATATAAAAAAAATATAACAAACTACAATACACAAAATACAAGAAAAAATTGCAATATAAAAATTACAAGAAATTATAAAATATATAAAAGCGTATAAAATAACGCGAGATAACAAAACTAGCAAAATAAAAAAAAATAATAAAAAAATAAAACTAAAAATAATAAAAAAGTAACAAAAAAAAATAAAACTAGCAAAATAAAAAAAATAAAACAAGATCGGCATGATTCTGACATATGCGAAGGAGGAATACACATTTACTTTCTTGTTGTCGATCACATCAGACGAGTGCTCGACGATCGGCGACGATAATTTTGGCGAGGGAAACGAAGTGGGAATCGGCGGCGCAGAGGCTGCACCATCTCGTCCAGCGTTGACAGATGAGGTTAATGCTGCGGCGAACAACGTAATTAGTACCGACAAGTGTCGAAAGTCGATCGTAGCCATGTCGCGTCGCGGACGCGGATCGATGCACTCGGAAATTCGATTCAAGGAGCTCGACGAGACGCTTCCGCGTGGACGAAATTAAAAATAAAAAAAAATAATAAATAAACAAGCTATCCGCAATGTGCGCCCACAGCTGCTGCGACAGCGTTGCAATTTTAACGCATGGCCGCCGTGAGCGGGGTTGCCAGATTGCGATGTTTTGACGTATCTTCTTCACGTGCTGCTCTGTCCGCATCGGACATTTGACATCTGACATTTTTTCTCGTATCATTTGTATGAGAATCTTTTCTTTTGCGGATGTATCTTCTAGATTCTCTCTCTCTCTCCCCCTCCCCTCTCACTCTCTCTTCCTATCTTCGTCTGCCAAGTTAACATAATTTTAAAAATTTAATTTATTTATATAAGAAATAACAGATAAGATAATTTAATTATAAGCAAATTAATTTAATTATAATCATAGGCAGAGAGATATCACGATCCATTTTTATTATAGGTGATTCCTTCCTGAAAGCGATGCATCCTCTATAAACGTGAAAACACGAATGTGAACTACGAAGCGAAAATCTACGAATATTTTCGGTGGGTAACATACAATTTCGGGTTTTGTTCCATGCTACGTGCACGAAATGTTGATAAGACAAGTGTTGTAACGCAAAACGTTTGCATATATTAAATAAATTTCTAATATAAATAAATTTTGTAGCCTCTCTCTATCTATTAAGTATAATTAGTCATTAAAATAAATTACTAGATATTATTTATGCTTATCAATTGTTTAATTAATTTTTAATTATTATTATTTAAGACAATTTTTTTATTTCAATTTCAATATTTATAGCATTTAATATTTAGAAATAAACGAGAATATTTTTTGTGTTATAACTTATTTTCAATGATGAATCGTTGTGATAAAAACTATATGCTATAACTATAACTATATTAAATTACGTATAGTAAATGGCGATAGTCGCGTGATGGATGATGAGCGATTAATATATGTATAATAGATAAATAGAAATACGAGAAAGAAAATTTGTACAAGTTAACTTGTACAAATTAATATAAAATAAAAAAGTAAAAAAAAATTTTAAGTAAAAAAACTTGGCACTACCAATAAAATTGGCACATATTCCAATTAAATATATATTTAAAAAATTGGATATTATATATATGGACTTATTTTAATTATTAATTTTAATTATTGTAGTTTAATATTTATTAATATTATTTATTAATATTTAATATAAATGTAATATAAATCTTTTCATACAAATAATGTTATGTGATTTTATAAGAAACAAAGTTCTTAAAATCTTTTATTCCAGATATTTTCGAACACCACTGAATATTTATCATCAAGATTGTATGGTATAGAGATTACAACAGCTTCAAACACTGTCGAATATGACTTTTTAATATATTCTAAATTGAGAATTTGATGTATTTTTGAAAAAATTGATGGATGATGAATGTATTGCCATTTTTATTATAACTCATATCTCTGGCTTTAAACCAATTTGAATTAAATTGCTCTGTACAAATCAATATAAATCTTTTATACACAAGTGTGTATTTTTTCATTAATGATTTAAAGCGAGTAACCATATTATAGAATCATAATTAAAAGTTATCTTATTATATATTCTCATATACATATAATTATGAAAACTATATTAATTTCTATTTACAGATATATAAATAAGATCACTAAGAATCCATATTTCATTGAACTCTAGTAGAAACGCTTATTTTTTGTTACTTTATCTTATATCTCATTTTTTGTTACTTTATCTTATATATCATTAATTATTAGCCAGTGGAAGTAAAATTTCACTACAAAATCAGTAATCGCTAGTTCGTTTGTTTACCACTACGATGCGCTATTTTTCTCGTATTTAAGTTTTAGTCTTGAGAATTATATAAAGCTTGCAGAAGACGACTTAAAAGACGATTTAATTTCTGATATAAACTCAATAGATGAATTTCAGATATTAAATCAAATTTATAAGTTGGACATGTCCGGCAAATAAACGAAAAATAAAATGAACATTTATGTTACATTTAAAATATAACATTTAAAATACATGTCCAGCGAATAAACGAAAAATAAACTGTACATTTATGTTACATTTAAAATACATTTTAAATATTAAATTAATGCATTTAAATATGATTAGTTAACACGTTTTAATGTATTAAACTAAAATATATCAAGTACATATAAGTTATGCAGCAGGAAACGTATAAAAAAAGCTTCAGCTAATTTACACATTTATACGTGTAAATATAACATATTAAGATTTGCAGTGTATACGCTGAATTATCTACTCGTTTGTATGAAAATTACATAATAACAACTTAATGGCGCATGTGAAATAATATTTCACGTAAAAATGAAAAACAGTTCAAATATAACATATAACAAAAATATAAATAAATAGGGAAAGAAAGAAATAATTGAAAATAAAATTTGTCGAAAAAGAAAAAAAAGAATAAATAAAATATATAAGTCCAACAATGTGTGTGAAAGAGAGAATGAGAGAGAGAGGGGGGTGAGGGGGAGAGAGGAGGAGAGGGGAAAGAGGGGGAGGGGGAGAGGGTGAAGAGGGGAGGGGGAGGGGAGAGAGGGGGGGGAATTAGAGAGAATTTAAATATTTTGTCTAAGAATATATTATGTATAATTACAATAAAATTTAATGAAGTACATATTATCATATAGCTTTAAATTAGAAGTTTCAATAAAGCACAGGAAACATTAATGGTTTAAATTTGTTTAATATGCAATGTAGTTTCAATGTAAAAATAATATTGAAGGATATATCGAATAATATTAAATTTGCGGAAAATATTAAATAAATAAGTTCATATATTCGATTTGTTTAATGTTACAAACGATGCGATTATATACGTGCAAGGAGAGATCTTATATATTTGAATGGAACAACCATATACACACATTTGGAAACAAATGAGGTAATCGTTTTAGGAACCGTCTGTCAAGTTCACTTACCTCAAATGCACCAAATTAAACTTTTGTTTGCTTGGCCTCATGGTGTCAGTGACTTCTAATAAATTTTCATGACACTATGCGTTTACAACCTCATAGACAATAACATGTTCATGAACGAACAATGCCACGCTGTCAAAAAATAAAATCTTCCCATTCTTTTAATGACAAAACTACGATTTTATGCTTACAAAGAAGTAATTTAGATTAGTAAACAAAAGAATACAAAAATATTAAGCTGTATGTACATTATGTACATTTTCAATATTACATATTCAATATTATGTATATTCAATATTACATATTTAATGTTATGTACATTTTGAAAAATAATTAACTTAGAAAATTATTATTTTGATATTTCTAAATATTTATGTATCATTTTCTGAGACAGATTTTTTATATTAATATACTATTTAATTTTTTGCAAATAACTTTTTTCACATATTTTTTTTGCTAATAACTTTTTAATAAACAATAAGCGCTGACTAATATCTTTACAGGAATACTTAGGAAAATAATTTTGATAAAAATAAATAAAGGTACATATAAGGTACAATAATATATTTTTAGTATATATAATATATATATATAATGTCATTAATAATATATATATATATATATATATATATATATACATAATGTCAAATATTAGATACTTTCTCATTTGTGCCATTAAAATTATTCATATAATATAACATTATTTAATTTCAATTATTTATAATTATGAATATAATTAACACTTTGTATTATTTCATGTTAATAAAGAAAAATACTGGTTAATTGCAGGCCACAAAGTATCGTTGTAAATGCATGTGTATTTAATTATATATTATTAACACACATAAGCATAAATAATAAATTGATAACTATAAACATTATAAAATGCTATTTGTAAGAAAGATATATAGATGTGTTTGCGTCATAATTGTTACTTTTAAACGGATATTATTGATATTTCATAAAATTCTGAAAGTAATCCTTCTGACATTTGATTTCGAAATTGCGCCTTCGTATCTTGCTTTGAATATTTAAAACATATTGGTATATATTGCTATATATTGGTAAAAACCATATTGCCATACGTTTGTAGCTTTCTGCTAATTTGTTTATCTAAAACAGATTATGTCGATATTAAGTATTAGTGTGAATAGCCAATAATCAATTATCAATAAATATTATATTAAACATGACCTCGTGTATGTGTATATATAAATATAATTATATTAATATATATATATATATATATACATATATATATATATATATAATACATACACAATAATCTTAAATATATAATAAGAATAAATAATAATTATACATTATAAAAATTACAATTTTTCTTCTCAGAGTCAAAATTTTAGTAATCCCAAAAAAAACTGGTTTATAAGTTTGTAAACATTTTTAATCAATTAATGTCGATTTTTATATAGATTTCGTATCTTCATCAAAAATTCAGCAATCGAACAAAATGACATGAATTTTAAAAAAATGACTAAAGCTCTAAATGTGAAATATAAATATAAATTTTTCGAACTAATTTTTCTCTTAAGAGAGAACCAAATGTGAATAATAGTGCCTTAGTTTCAGAAATAATTAATTTCTTTAAAATAAGTTGTATATGGAATATACTTTTTCCGCGACTAAATAACTGAATAAATCTCAATTCTAGATTTCTATTAAAATAAATCATTCCTAATCTCTATAGAAAAGCATAGGCGAAAAAATATCGTGAGAAAATTACTGAAACAAAAATCATTCTTTTATTGTATTATGTGTTCTATCATATTATGTGCATAGTATTGCACTGTATTTTACTTAACAATTCTTTTGTCTGTAAGGAATGTTTACAAATAATTTTGTAAGTAATGACAAATAAAAATCTATAGAATTTAGAATTAGTGATTTTAAAAATAAATTAGAAACCTATACGAGTTACGGCTATCACAGAGAAAATATTATTATAATAATAATTGATATATCTAGCAGACTATTGCATTAATTCGTGTTAACCTATCCATCATAATTAAATTTTTGATAAACTAATGATTTGTATAATATTAAAGTATGCAAATCACATTACGTAATATCTCTCCCAATCATACTGAAAAATATTTAAATTTATTTAACTAAGAGTTAAACATCTAGATTAACTAAGATTTAAATCTAAAGCTTATAAATTCTCTTTTTAAAATTTATATAAATCGATTTTTATTAAAATCACTAAAGTTTCCAAGTAAAGAAATTCTCTTCTTTTTTTTACTTTCTCACTTGCTCACTCATTCTTTCCAACTCTGTCATTCTATTAAAAATTATATATATTTTAGAAATAGTATTTTTGGAAATTAAAAATAAAAAATGCTTATTTCATAAAAGAAATTAAATGACATTATTAAATTAAATGACATTTAATTTTTACTTGTTACTTTGGGATACCGTAACATTAATATATATATATATATATATAAAAGCAAAAAATTAATGATTAATAAGTGAATATAAGTGGAATATTAGTACAATATTCATAAAATTTACTTTTACTTTCCTATTTCTCTCTTTCACAAAAAACCATAACTTCTTACATTTATTTAATTCAACTTCTGTTGCATTAAAAAATTTATCTGTTAGAAAGTAGTACATTTATAAAATAAATTATTTTAATATTCAACAACAATATTAAATAACAAATTTATGTTACATCATGATTATTAATTTTACACATACATATATAAACACGTAGTATTTTTACCTTTTCCAATTGATTTATAGAATACACATTATTAATAATAACAATAAATGTTGCAGGATCGCTGACTTGTCTATAACAGTAAAATAATAAATTTATTGATACATAAATTGTTGAATGATAGATATATATTTACGAAGGAAGCTGTATTACCTGGGTCTTATGCTATCAAGTTTTTCTAATATGAAGTCGAGTATTATAGGATTCCTGGCATGCTTCGCGATAGTAAAAAGAAAATAATTAATATAATTTTTATCGGAAAAATCTTTGAAAAACATAATCGATGTTGTACTATCATTTTTTATTAGGTTTAAATAGGGATTGATAAACTGTGAATACACAGGGCAAGACAGATATTTTAAAAATTTAGTTTTAAATTTTTTATTTTCCAGATATACTCTCCACCAAGGAGAATCTTCATTGGTAAGAGAATAGTACAACATTTTTAAACCTTGACAATATGTCCATTCTTTCCACCATGGCAAAAGCCTATTTAACAAAAGACAAATTCTCTCATATAAATGTTTTGCACATATTAATCTTATATTTTGATTAAATAATTTAACAAATTATAATTTCATAATATAACATAATAAATTTAAATTTTGATCAAATAATGTAATAAACATTGCACATGTATTTACAAAACAATCAAATTAAAATAACCGAGAATATATAAGAAAAATTACGTGTTATTTCTGGGATCTTCGAGATGTCGATTTAAATTAAGTCGGGCATTTGTTATGCATGTTTCACTATCAAGAGTACATGCCCATCTCGCAGCCTCCATTCTTAAAGACTTTGTAAGATCGTATTCACTAGAAACTTCATTGTATTTAAGTTTATTAAGCAAGTTGTTTAATAAGTATAGCATGTTATCCTAAATATATAAATAAATAAATAAATAAATATATATATATGTATATATGTGTATGTGTATATACATATATATATATATATATATATATATATATATATATATATACATACAGGTTGTCTTATTTGAAATTGCCCAGGCAAATATTTTGGAAAATAATGAAAAATCGAAAAAATGTTTCAGACAAAAATTGTATGGTTTGTAGGGGGACATAAGATGGTGCCATTAGTTTGATCTTGAAGAGTTACATGAAGGTTACGTGAAGGTCATTTTGAATTTCTTAAATAAAATACCCTACATATTTTCGCACATTCTTGTAGCATATCTCGAGAACTTTCCAAAACACTATAAATAAAAGTTTTTTCATCAAGTATTTTTCGAGTTATGAGGCTTAAAATCATTAATTTTACATAAACCATAAAATATCTTGTAAAGTATTCATTTTTTGATTATCTTACCTTACAACTTTTATGTACAAAATAATGAGAGAAATCAATTGGTGTAAAGAAAACATACAGTTGTTTTTATGAAAAAATATGGAATTATTAATTGCAAATTACCTTGACCTTTATCTTAACCTTCATGTGACTCTTCAAGGTCAAACTAATGTCACCATCTTATGTTCCCTTAGAAACCATACAACTTTTGTCTGAAACATTTTTTCGATTTTTCATTGTTTTCCGACATATTTGCTTGAGGATATTAAAATGAGACACCATGTATATATATATATATATATATATATATATATATATGTTCTATATATTTATATTGTTACTTGATAAATTTTATATTTTTCGATTCTTGCATTATATTATGCTATATAGAAAGACATCTTCCGCAATTGTATTTTATATATTAAGAAGATTTATATATTAAGAACATTCTGTAGAAGAACGTTCTTAAGAAGATTTATATATTAAGAATATTCTGTCTGTCTAAACAGCTCTGAATTCTTTTTATAAAGATATCTATCTTATATAGCTATACTTATATATACGTATTTATACACAAATTTAAATTTTTCTTGCGTGCATATTCACACATGCTTAACACATGTTCATATCATAAAATAAACATACAGAAGTGCATACATGCATATATTGTAGACATGTAAACATAAATGTAGACATTATATCTATAATATAATTTAATAACTTATTATATTAATGTTAACTGTTCGAGTATTAAACAGATAATTAGTATATATGTTTCCTACTAGCTTGCTAACTCAAAATTAATGATATTTAAACCGTTATTATAAATATCATGCTGTGATTAAAAATAATAATAATCTTCAAATTTTTCTCCCTTTTCCTCTCCAATTTTTTATAAGATTAGTACATACACTTGAATATTAATTTACAAATATACTTATCTTTCATCCAAAATATGTATATTTAAAATACCTAATCAAATTTTTTCTAGCTACGTATATTTTATTAGATGTATGTTTTTGGAAAACACTTAATAATTATTATTATAAATGCACACAATATTAATATGTGCAATAAGTAATATGTGTCTAATACGTTGAAGACATCACTATTGATATTCTTTATAATATGTGTTATTACCTTGATATCAACATATATGTTTTCCTGAAATAGAAAGATATTGGACAGATATTCTAAAGCTTTGAACATAGGATACCATGCCACGTAGTCTGTTTCTCGTGACAGATATTTCGTGATATTCCAGAATACAATGGAATTAAGTTGGTTTGTTATCATTAAGTGGAAAGCGTCGTCGATAATTTGGGCACGATTCAGAACATATATATACATATAACTTTCAGAATTTAGATAACTTATAATTCTTCTCCAGTTTTCGATATCGTAATTGACTCGATAATATCCTGTAAAATAAATAAATAAATAAATAAATAAATATATATATATATATATATATATATATATATAATTCTTTCAATGGGATAATAATATCCTGTAAAATAAATAAATAAATAAATATATATATATATATATATATATATATATATATATATAATTCTTTCAATGGTTTTATCAGTACAAGTATCTGTTTATACTTTTGTTGTTATACTTTTATACATTAATAGATATTAACAGAGAAAATGTATCATAAAGTGAACATAAATGGAAATGCAATTTGTTTATTATATTAGATATAAAATCATTTTGCATGATAATTGAATATTTCTAATAATTGTGCGTATGTATATATATATATATATATATATATATATATATATATAAAATTTATGCATGTATATATAATAAATGTAATACATATAAGACATAATGAATAATATTTTTAATAATGAAAATCTTTCTCTCCAATATGTATGTATGATAAACACTATAAAATGTAATAAATTTATTGCAAACTTACCAATTTGGTGTCGATTATATATTATAAAGTCATTCCACACCGTAAACGTCACAGGTATGTAATCACACGGCTTCTCTGTTTTATATTTCATCGTTACATTGAACTCTTTATAATTGTAATCTCGTTCCATTTTCGCTACAGGACAATAATTTATTTTTGATGGAGACATCAGTAGCTGCACTGCCATAAATAAATAGTCTGTCTGCATTTGAGTGGTCGAAATGTTCATTATAACTTCACTTAAGTAGTGAAAATATGGCTTGCTAAAGTTATAAAATTTATTCAAAATTTATTGATATGTTAATAAAAGGTATTATAAGCAAATATATATATATATATATATATATATATATATATATATACATATACAGGGTAGGCCCCTTTTTTTCACTGAAATATCTCAAAATCCAAGTTTAAGACAAAAATGTTTCAGACAAAAGTTATATGGTTTTAAGGAGGCCATAAGAAGGTACCATTGATTTAATCTTGAAGAGTTATCTGAAGGTAACGTGAAGATCACTTAAAACTTTTTAAATGGAACTGCCTACTTTTTATTATATATTCTTGTAACTTATCTTGAGGGTTTTCCGAAACACTATAATAAAATATTTTTCCTCTTCAAGTACTTTCGGAGTTATAAGCCTTGAAATAATTTCTTAATTTTACATAAACCGTAAAATATTCTATAAAATATTCATTTTTCAATTATCTTATCTTAATACTTTTATGTACAAAATAATGAGAGAAACCAATTTGTGTAAAAAAAACACATAGTTATTTTTAAGAAAAAATATGTAATTGTTAATTGCAAATTACATATTTTTTCTTCGAAACAACTATGTGTTTTCTTTACACCAATTGATTCCTCTCATTATTTGCATATAAAAGTATTAAGGTAAGATAATTGAAAAATAAATATTTTACAAGATATTTTATGGTTTATGTAAGATTAAGAAATTATTGCAAGCCTCATAACTCGGAACGCAATTAACGAAAATTAACTTAATTATAGTGTTTTGGGAAGCTCTCGAGATAAGCTACAAGAATATGTAATGAGAAAATGTTTCCTTTTAAGAAATTAAAGGTGACCTTCATGTAACCTTCAAATAACTCTTCAAGGTCAAACCAATGGTACCATCTTATGTCCCCCTTGAAACCATACAACTTTTGTCTGAAACATTTTGTTTGCTGGGCTTAATTTTTGAGATATTTTACTGTCCAAGTTAAAATGGGACATTATGCATATATATATATATATGTTTAATTTAATTAAATATATAATTAATTACATAATTAATCATATGATTTATAGTTTTTAGATAAATATGTGATGCAACGGTTTAAATTATAAAAGGAACGGTCAAACTTGATTACTTTCAAAAGATAAGTGTATATATAAATTGAAAATATGTCTTGTATATCTTATATATATCTAATGACATTAAAGATAAAAAATATGGAAATGATAATAGTAAAAAATGTAGAAATGATAATAATAATGAAAATAAAGTATGAAAAAAATGGTTTAAGTTTAAACAAAAATAAAATTAATTTAATTTAAATAAAAGTAGTAATTTTACTAGTATAGAGTATTACTTACTTGTCCTTTACATATGTACGGATAATCTGCCAAAATATCTCTTCAGTAAAACTCATTCGTAATAAACGAAATATACTGGATACTATAATTATACAATTTACATCAGAATATGAATAAGATAATAGTTATAGTAAATAATAATTAATAATTATAGTAAAAATACATAAAACGTTACATCACTGATTTCATCATCATTTGAAGATGTTATAGAGAAAGTTGTCTTGCGTAATTCCGCGCAAAAAAAGTAAATGAGAGGCGATATTGGTTTAAAAGATATAACAAGTTAAAGTTTGATCATTTTAATACTTTTCTTAAGCAAACTGATATTAAACACATTAATTTGGAATTGACAATTACATATTTTTTCCTAAAAACAACTACGTTCTTTCTTTACACCAATTGATTCGTCCCATTATTTTGTACATAAAAGTATTAATATAAGATAATCGAAAAATGAATATTTTACTAGATATTTTATAGCTTATGTAAAATTAAGATATTATTTTAAGCCTCATAAATCGAAAAGTATTCAATGAAAAAAAACTTTTTTACAGCGTTTTGAAAGCTCTCGAAGTAATACAAGAATGTAGTTATGTAATAAAAAAATAGAAATTTTCTTTTAAAAAAGCATTAATGATCTTATCCTGACTTTGATAAGATCAAGTCTATATTTTCATCATGTGTTTCCCTTCAAGCTATGCAACATTCGATCAAAAAATTTTTCAATAAAATTATCGGTTTGCGAGATAATCGACTGTATCACTTAAAAAGAAACATCCTGTATATATAATATATTTTATATATAATTTTATATCCTACAGCTCTATTATGTATGTATATACATGTGCATGTGTAATGAAGAGTAGTTAAAATTAAAGTTTTTATCAGTTATTCTGTTTGTTCTTTAAGCATATACATTCAACAATCTACGCATAATCAATTTTTAATTATATTATCATACCTTTAATGTAACTGTAATGTTGAAAATAAATGTCGAATGATGTATTATAAAGTGATGTATCATATATAGTATCTAAATGAAGAGAGTCGTGTTGAATTTGTACCACAAAAAGGTCCATTATCCGGGTACTTGGGAGAGTCTATAGAAAATAGTTTAAATGTATTTACTTAATTAATATTATATTTAACATACTATAGCAATATGCATTAGAGCTGTTACTTTCGTGTATGTAAAAAAAATTTGTTATACTCTTATACACTTAAAATATATAATAAATAATTTAAAAATATAATATATTCATAACAAAAATGATTACTCAACATATAACTTTAAAACTAAATATTTCTAGAATTATTAAAATATGTTATATAGCAAAATTATCTTATTACACAATTTCTATATTTATACATATATTACGTGGAATCTGAATGATTTTCGTGCGAATTTTCGAATTTTTCTGTTTTTTCATATAATAATTTAAAGTCAGATAAATGTAACATAGTGACTTTGACACACACACAAAATAAAAGAAACATAAAAATGTAAAACTATTTTAAATTGTATTATCTATGTATGTTGCAGATTTACTTGAAAATTAGCATTTTTTAAAAACTCATTTATTTTTGTAAATATAAAATCCTCAATAATCCTAATATTTTGATTTATAAAAAAAATTACCCTCTATAATGGTAAATATTTAACTTTACACAGCCAGCCCCAAATGACTTGACCTTGACATATACTGCACTGAGTAACATCCAAAAGGTTTTATGCGTCGCTCGTTGTTTGTTAAAACGTTTTTCAATATGTTTAATCCTTTATAACTTTCAATACAAAATGTCTATTATTGTACATGATGTTGAAAAATTCTGTAAAACTTATAAAGCTTCTTTTGTTTATAATTGTTTAATAAACAACGAGCGACGCTTAAAACATTTTACTCAAAGCATAAGTGATCTTGACAATATTGTCAAGGTCAAGTAATTTGGGGGTGGCTATGTAAAGGTAAATATTTAGCATATATACATATAAATTTATTTCAATATATATCAGTTTAACACAAAGCTTGCTCATTTTTAAAGAATATATACAGGGTGAGTCATTTTAATCAATACACTCGAATATCTCGAAAACAGCACTCTTCAGAAAGAAATGTTTCAAACAAAAATTGTAGGGTGTGAAGGGGGACATAAGATGGTAGCATTGGTTTGACCTTGGAAAGTCATTTGAAGGTCACATAAAAGTCACCTTCAATTTCTTAAATTGAACCCACTATTTTTCATTACATATTCTTGCAGCTTATCTCGAGAGCTTTCCAAAACACTACAGACAAATGTTTTTTCATTAAGTACTTTTTGAGTTATAAGGCTTCAAAATTTGCAGTACTTCGATATAAAATGCAAAATATCTCGTAAAATATTTAGTTTACGGTATTCTTACCCTAATACTTTTATGCACAGGATAATGAGACAAAACTATTGGTGCAAAGAAAATGTATGATTGTTTATAATAAAAAATGTGTAATTTGCAATACACTTTCTGTTATAAACAATCATGCGTTTTCTTTATATCAATAGTTTTGTCTCATTATCCTGTGCATAAAAGTATTAGGGTAAGACTACCGAAAACTAAATATTTTACGAGATATTTTGCATTTTATATCGAAGTACTGCAAATTTTGAAGCCTTATAACTCAAAAAGTACTTAATGAAAAAACATTTGTCTGTAGTGTTTTGGAAAGCTCTCGAGATAAGCTGCAAGAATATGTAATGAAAAATAGTGGGTTCAATTTAAGAAATTGAAGGTGACTTTTATGTGACCTTCAAATGACTTTCCAAGGTCAAACCAATGCTACCATCTTATGTCCCCCTTCACACCCTACAATTTTTGTTTGAAACATTTCTTTCTGAAGAGTGCTGTTTTCGAGATATTCGAGTGTATTGATTAAAATGACTCACCCTGTATATACAGGGTGTAAAAAAATTAGACCCACAAACTTTGAGGGGAAATAGAGGACATAAAAACAAACATATTTTGTTAATAATGTTTTTCTCTACGACGCTCTGTTTTAATATTACAGGGTACAAAATAAGAATTTTTTTTTATGGGGGCATATGAAAACTCTCATTTATGAGACACCGATTGAAACAGAAGAAGAATTAGTAGCCCGAACTACTGCTGCAGCATATCACGTTCAAAATATTCCTGCAGTCTCCGAACGTGTGAGAGAATCAATGTTTCGACGTTGTCATCTTTGTATTGAAGCAAATGGAGGAATTTTTGAACATGTATTATAAATTGAGTTGAAAAAGATTAAAATATGTGTAATTGAAATAAATTTAATATTTTCACTTATATGTTTGTTTTTTGTTAAAATCATAAAATTCCTATTTTGTACCCTATAATATTAAAACGGAGCGTCGTAGAGAAAAACATTATTAACAAAATATGTTTGTTTTTATGTCCTCTATTTCCCCTCAAAGTTTGTCGGTCTAATTTTTTTACACCCTGTATATATATATATATATATATATATATATATACAGGGTCTTCAAAAAGTCCCGGAACGCTAAAATATCTCGAAAACGATCAACTATAATGAAAAATATATAACGAACAAAGTTGTAGGACTAAATAAAATGTACCTAATGATGATAAGACTTTGACCATGGATGAAATACTCAAAGTCATATAAAGATCAAGTTGATTTTTCTAAATGGAAGTCCCCATTTTTTATTCTATATTCTTATAGCCCTTCTTTAGACCTTTTCAAATCACTATAATTTAGTTTCCATTAAGTGCTTTCCGAGTTGAGGCTTGAAATTATTTCTTAATTTTACATAAACCGTAAAAAATCTTGTAAAATAATAACTATGTGTTTTCTTCACACAAATTGATTTCTCTCATTATTTTGTACATAAAAGTATTAAGATAATCAAAAAATGAATATTTTACAGGATATTTTATGGTTTGTGTATAATTAAGAAATGATTTTAAGCCCCATAACTCGGAAAGTACATAATAAAAACTAAATTAATTATATTTTTTCGGAAAGCTCTTGAAATATGCTATAAGAATATGCAATAAAAAATGGAGAATTTCAGTTAAAAAAATCAATTTAACCTTCATATGAATTTTAAGTATTTCATCCAAGGTTAAATTCTTATCATCACTAAGTACATTTTATTTATTCTTACAATTTTGTTCCTTGCATATTTTTCATTATAGTTGATGGTTTTCGAGATATTTTAGCGTTCTGGGACTTTTAGAATACTCTATATATGTACTATATCCATCATATTGTTTGCTAGTGAGAAAAGTTTGCACTAAAGAATGCTTAAAATAACCTGCATGGTGACATATAATCCAAGAAATGAGACAAGAGCCTCATCGAACATATATGATGGCCAAAGTGGATTTTCATAATAAAAACATTCCTCTATTATTTTATAGGCCATGAATCGGGAAACTTTGATTTTAGTCGCAACAGAATCTACATTGTCATTGTAGATAATATCTGCTTCTCTGAAAAGTAAAAAAAATGTTTTATATAATGATTATTTCTGTTGTATAATAACACATAAAAAATATTGTATTTCCAAATTTATAATTAAATGATTCTATTAAATTAACATATTAATTATATGTTATTATCAATGTTTTATTTCTAAATGCACATTACGAAGTAATGCAACATGTTGAAAGCGAGCATCGCACTATATATATATATATATATATATATATATATATATATATATAACTTCTTTAAATTTTGATTGATAAAGGTGAAAACCTTAATATAACACTTATACCTATACTTATCTTAATATAATTATTTAATTTACGATTTTATATTTCAATTTGTAATTTTCAATTTTAAGATTATACAATAAAATATATATATATTTTAATATTATTTTTCATATAAGTTGATGTACATTGAAGACACGTTGTGCAGAAAATTATTGTGGTTTTTAACTTTCAAGTTCAAATACGCATATTTTAGCAAGTGAACTTTATCAAATGAAAAGAGAACCATTGAAATTTAAATATTTTTGCCAACGAGAAACAATATTTATTTATTCCTGTAGCATAAAATTTAGATTTCTAGAAGCGACAAACTCTTCCAAGGCGTTTCTACAGTAGCTTTATTGTTAAAGGTTTCCTCTGCAAGAAATTGTCGAAATGTTTAAAGAAGTGGTAGTAAATTGGTGAGAAGACCGGCGAATATGATAGGTGAGACAGAGTTTCATGGAGCTTCATAGCTCAATTGATTAATGCAGTGTCGGTTTGCGGCGTGTAATCGAGTATTGTAGTATTGGCCTTTTCTGTTGACCAACGCCGAACGCAAACATGTCGGTTCCTAATGCATTTTGCCAATTTCTTGACAGTACCTCTCTGCCGTAATTTCCGTCCGAATTTAAAAAGCTGTAGTGAATTATCTCGGCTAACAACTACCAAATAGTCACTATAATCTTCTTTTAATACAATTTTGGTTTCGGAGAGTGTTTTGACGCTCCATCATGGTCTAACCATTGTGAAAAACGTCGACGATTATCGTAGGATCCATTTTTTATCACACGTTACAATGCGATTGAAAAACGGATTATTTTGTTTGCGCAAATTCAATGCAGAACACACTTTAAAGACGATTCTTTTGATGCGGCATCCTTTTGTCGAGCTTTTTTGTTTTTCCAATTCGTTCCAGGTAATCAGAAACAGCTGACTTGCTTACGCCAAGTTTTTCCGCTAGTTCTTAAATCGATGTGCGTGACTCTGTTTCAACTAACACCTTCAAGTGGTCGTCGTCAATAATCGCAGTCGTCCAGAACTTCTCAACTTCAAGGTTCTCATCTCCACTGAAATTTACGGAAATCATCATTGCATTGTACGTTAGCGATTTCTGGACCAAATGCATCGTTAATATTGAGAGACTTCAGCTGCTTTTGAACGCCTCATTTTGAATTCATATAAAAAAGTCGCTGGAATTTGCTATTTTATCATTCTTAATTTCATAGTTTAAATAAAACGGAAACCAATATCAAAATACAGTCATTTTTATTAAAATGTATAGCAAAGTTTGCGCTTTTAAATTAATACAATATAAATACAAAAGAAAGACAACATGAAAAAAGCGCCAAATCTTAAACAACAAAAATCGCAATAACTTTCTGGACAATAATAAACTGAACTGACAATAAACGATTAGATATGTTTCTCCTCTCATTGCTTTATACAATATAACTTATTTTCTAAAATATATTCAAATAATATTTTAAAAATAGAGAAAACATATGTAAATAATTTTAGTTATCAAGAATTGTTGTTCTCTTTTTCATCTTTAAAATATATTAATTTTTTTTAATTATATAATTACTTGTAAAAAATAAGGCCCAGATTTGTGATGTTTTTGTTTTGAAAATCCGGAAGTGCAATATGATTTATTTCCCAAGTTTGATTTAAACGTTTCCATTTATCGAACACGTACAATGTTATATTTTCAGCAAATTGGTGTGCAAATTCGCAGTGCATTCTACACCACATATTAACTCTGACACTTTCATTCGTACCAGGCATAAGAGAAAAATTTCGGTTAGTCAGAAATAGTAGATACATAGGCTTTACAAGCGTATTAAAATGTGTCTTCGTCATGTTTTTATCATTCGTTTCTATTTTTTCTATCATTTTTGGTTCATTTGATAAAACTGTATAGTTTTGATAATGTTCGACAATAATATCATAATAGGGCATGATGGTTCCTGAAGATTCGGGCAAAGTCGGAATCATATGTTGGATTCCAATACGATCAACATACGTTGCCAACCTATTACATTTAGAAATATGAATTAACAATAATAAAAGACACCTCAAAATCTGATGCAAAAGTGGTTTCAATGAAATTCTATAAAAGTTGCATACATTTTAGCTGTGCGGGATTCGTAAAATGTCTATTTTAGAATATACAGGTACAAAATAAATATTTAATAATTAATATTTTAGTATCAAAATTTTAATGCGTTTAATAAAATTAAAATAAATATCAATATAAAATAGTATTGGAATAATAACTTTTTTAAATTGATTTTAATTGATATATTATCAACGATTTTGTACATAATTTTATACAAGTGAAAGAAACTGCCTATTTTAGCGATGGTTTATTAAATGAAACACATATGTATATACAGGGTGTCAATTAAGTCCCGGGACGGCTGAATATTTTCTCATGTAAGGTATTTTTGAAAAAGGTCAAGGTCATTTCTGAAGTAATTTTCAATGAGGAATTCAACGGTGACCTTCAATTTGACCTTGAGCTTGACCTTCAAGGTTATTTGAAGGTCAAAGTGTTTTTTTTAAATAGGAACCCCTATTTTTGATTGTATATTCTTATAGCTGACCTCGAGAGCTTTCCAAAACACTATAATAAAATATTTTTCCTTCAAGCATTTATCGAGTTATGATGCTTCAAATCATTTCTTAATTTTACATAAACCGTAAAATATCTTGTAAAATATTCACTTTTCGATTATTTTACCTTAATATTTTTATGTACAAAATAATGAGAGGAATCAATTGGCGTAAAGAAAACATATAGTTGTTTTTAAGAAAAAATATGGAATTGTTAATTGCAAATTACATATTTTTTCTTAAAAACAACTATATGTTTTCTTTACGCCAATTGATTCCTCTCATTATTTTGTACATAAAAGTATTAAGGTAAAATAATCGAAAAGTGAATATTTTACAAGATATTTTACGGTTTATGTAAAATTAAGAAATGATTTGAAGCATCATAACTCGATAAATGCTTGAGGGAAAAATATTTTATTATAGTGTTTTGGAAAGCTCTCGAGGTCAGCTATAAGAATATACAATCAAAAATAGGGATTCCTATTTAAAAAAAACACTTTGACCTTCAAATAACCTTGAAGGTCAAGCTCAAGGTCAAATTGAAGGTCACCGTTGAATTCCTCGTTGAAAATTACTTCAGAAATGACCTTGACCTTTTTCAAAAATACTTTACATGAGAAAATATTCAGCCGTCCCGGGACTTAATTGACACCCTGTATATCTTAGTTATTAGCGAAAATAGTATTATTTCTAAATAATATGGGTGTGTGTAAATGCACGTTTAAATACATGAAACAGCATAAGTATAGCTTATATATTTAATTGTATGTATTATATCCAGAGTGTTCATGAAAGTTGTAAGTATTCATGAATTAATCAAATTTTGATAATGATTTTTATGGACAATAAGGATAAAAAGAATTCATATAAACATGTGTCTGGGAATGTTTTCCTTCTAAATTATAAGCTTTTTTAAATATTAGAAATGAATTTCCTAAAGTTTAGTATTGTCAAAATAAACAGTGTAAAACTTAAGTGTTTGTTCAAAATTTCAAATTACATATAAACAAGTTTTAAAAAATATAAATCCTTCCAAATCATACTTATATTTTGAAAACAATTCGGAACTCTACCGGAATATTTGATTTCGTACGAGTGTTGACAATAAAATGCTGTATAAGACGTGTATTATTGCTGACTACTTTAATTAAATTAATTTTTATTTGCATCTTACATTTTAATAATAATGATAATATTAAATTGCAAAATTTTTTACCAAAAGAATATTAAGAAACATATAATTAAGAATGGACATTTCAGATACGTACATGTCTATGTATAAATTAGTTTTTCTTAGAAAATACTTTTTAAATAGAAACAAAATGCTTTACCAGAGCTTGTTCATAAACATCATGAAATTACTATGTATTTAACATTTTAACAGTTACTTACCACTGTCGCCCATCTCTTTTATAAAAGTTTTTTAAGCCTGTATCTTCAGTTATATTATAAACTAATTTTATGATGTAATACCCTGGGAATAGATCTTCAGCGAATGTATATTCGACAATGTTGTTCTCAACATCATACATAGTTCTTACCGGTGTATAAATGTTCGTAGTTTTAATATCATTCATAGAATAATAATTTGGATAATAAACCACAGTTAGATTAATATTTTTTAGGTGTAAATATAATATAATGCTTGGTGTTGAATGTTTAATCTGTGTACGTATACTGCAGTCGATGAAAAGAATATTTTTTTCGATATATGTAACGATGATATCATAATGTTGCGGTAATATATAAATCGAGATCTTGCTTAACTCTTCTTGAGATATTGTAATTATCTGATCGTCGGTTAAAAAAGCCGCCGCGACGATGATTGTTAAACTGCTACTTAACAATAGTTTAAGAAACATGATACTACTTTTTATCTTAGATATCTGTAAAAATATTTTTGTTAGAAAGTACAAACGGACATATTAGACACAGCACTGTCTTTATCACGATATTTAGCGGAAAAAAGAAGGAATTAAGACAAATATATAAAAATAAACTTAATTTTGAATAACTTACTCTGTATAATGAGATGTACTACAAATTCTAAGCAAGTGTATGTTTCGTTACAATAAATAGCTGCAATAAATTGATGTTTTATCCACTATCGTTGTAACATGAAATAAATATGCGCACTTATAATTTCTTATTATTTCGAGAAACTTCTAAAGACTAATAACACTTGGCGATATTACAATAAATGTGTATGTCTTATGTAAACACACAACTTCTGAGGTCGTTAACAGACAGTTCGATCGAGAAACGGTATGTAATAGCAAAACACGGTGCCGTTTTTCCCACTCCAAATTCGTGCTAGCGATCGAGCGCCGTAAGATGGCAAAACTGTCTATTTCGCGGTGGTTGAAAGCAAAAGAGACCGTTATGTAGAATGCAAAAATATTAATGAAAAAACGTAACTTATTAACACTAGAATATAATATTACAGTATTGTATGTAAGAAAATATAATGAATAACTATTATTTTTTAGGTTTTTGTTCACTCTTTCAAATTTATATGGTGGACATTTAAATAAAACAATGGGAAATTTCTGAAATTGATCAAATCAATAATCGTTTTTTTTCATAACAAAGCAGATTTTTAAATTAAAATTAAGAAAGATTTTTATATAATGTGTAATAAAAATATTATGTACGCATATATATATACGCATTCCAATTCTCGAACTTTGCGATATATTAACGATACCGATCTATCGCATTATATGTAAACAATACCGAGCTACCGATTATCCGCCACATTGTACATCGGATGCAGTTTTCTACATCCGGTGCAGGAACTGCTCATACCGATTAAACGTTTCGCCAGCGATCATACCGTACCTATCGATTAATCGATTCACGCCGATTATCCGCGCACAGTTTATACACTCACACCAAAATCACGCTGCACTCGATTTATTCTCACGCGCATATACAAAACTCATACCGAAATTCACTGCATTCATTTATTCTCGCACACGCATACAAAATTTACACCGTTACACATACACGCACACCCCCCCCCCCCACACACGCATCGAAACTCTGTACCTATTTTCTTTTGAATAAATATTCTTTCGTTTTTTTTAAAACTAAACTGCCAGTGTAATTAGCTTGCCTACACAGAAAACCGAATCCCGCATCCGACTGCGACTATCCGATCATCTCGCGGAAGTCATTCGTGACAAATTTAAGATATTAATAACATATGTTAATATAACTGTTTGTTAATTTGTTAATATTTATATACAAATATATTTAAATATTAATTATATGTATAGTATTTTATAATATTAATTAAACATATAATATTTTATTATGTACAACATTCGTAATTATTTTACATTATATTAAAATTATAATCTATACTGTAATATTATCCACTATTAAATCACATATATATTACACATTAATATACATATATTAATTTATGTGTATTAGCAAGTAATAATTAATGCAGTACTAATATACATATATTGATATACATTATTAACATAATAAAAAACTTAAGAGATGATAAAATAAATAAATATTAGGATGTAATTTTATAGTTATTGTGTTACTATATTAATAATTCAGAATTCAGCTTTTATTTTTGTAATATTAACAAAATATATTAATCTATGTATTAAAAAATAACTTGCTCTCATTTGCATAATTAATAGTACAATTTAAATATCTCAGATTTGCAGAACAATAAGAAAATCTGTAATCATGCGTAAAGTATTCTTATAATACAAACGCATCGGGTATCATTGCAGGATAATTAAAGTCCTACCCAGTATAATTAAAATCCTAAGAAATTAAAACGCATTTTATCTTGTATATTACTCAGCGACATAATGTTGATCAAAATCAGTAGTAGGAAAGTAAATATGAATATTTATTAAAATTATTAATAAAATTATACCAGCAAAAATTCTAATTAGAAATGATAAATATCATTAACTTCAAGTAAATTTAAATGTTAAACGGAAATATTACATACTTTTTCAGCACGATTGTAACCGTGATGAAATAAGACTTCCGTCTATTATATTATCTCCGAAACAAACTTGACTTAGTTAAGAAATATGTAACGTTATTTGTGCTGAATGCAGGTAACTCTTATGTCCGCTGCGTAGGTGGACATCGATAAAGGAAGAGGTGAAATGATGCAAATGTATCCGAAGTTATAGGTGCCAGATCATGGGACAAAGACTGGATCAAGTTTAGTGGAACATGGATAGAATTATACTGGATTCTTACTTTCATGTCTTCGCAGCTTATAGATCGCACATACATTTGCGCGAGCAAACATGTGACGCGTTTACGCTTACAAGGTACAGGCTCTTTATACGAGGAAACGCTTTTTAGTTGATTTATATAAAATATCAAAAGTATTTTAAGCACAATTACTCCTGCTTAATTAATGACACTTATTATATCTAATTACAGTTCTAATATGCTCCGCATTTGTGCTCTTGACTTCAATATTCGAACAGAGATAATTCGAAAACAGGAAGAAATTACTGTAATATTTAATTTTACTTAGAAAATATCTTTCATTCATCAATATAAGATCTCTTGGAAGGAATTAAATGTGTTTTATATACGATCATCAAATTCTTCAGAGCTTATTTCTCGAATTTAATAATATAGATTGTGTTCTTATAAAAGAGTACTTTCCTCTGTTCTCTATTTTTATATATTTTACGCGCGTTTGGAGCATCTTTATTCCATCGTTATATTTAGCGGCCGGATAAATTATTTTTCCTTTCGTGAAAGGAGGAAGTTGAGGTTTACAAATATTATAGTAAAGCAAAAAAAGACATGTATTAATTGCGCCATTAATTATTCAAGTACGTAACATTCTACATTCTTCTAATTGATCTCTGCCATACAATCTTTTTTTTCATTGACATTTATTAGGTGTCGCCGATATCGCGGGAAGATAAGGGTCGGAAATAATTTTGCCTGGAGACGTACCAGCCCTCGCAAGATCATGGATTCATCTTTGGAAGACTAGTAAGTGAACCGAAGCAAAAAGCCAAAGGTTTCTGCTAACGCGGAGATAGGCACGAGATAAATTTTAACATATCGATGAGTTTTGTTGTATATGTATCAATTATGCCTGATTCCATCGGACACACTATTCTATTATATTTGCGTTTCTTGGATTTCTAAATAATATAATTCGAAATTTAATACAAAATAACTTATTACATGGAATAATCAAGAGACACGGTAGTGTCTTGAAGTCGAGTCATCATCACTCAGGCGCAAGACACACCGTGTATCTTTACGCGAAAGGCTAAGTTGCGAGTAATGCATATTATCGGTTCTCAATAACTGCTGAATCGATCAAATTCTTATTACATTTAATCAATTGCTTGGGTTCGTTTATATAAGGAAAGTGTCTTTATTTTTGCTCTATGTGCTCTATAAGCAGAAATATAACGATGCAAAGTTTCAATGTGTTAATTAAGAAACGTCACCGTCGTGGTCGTGGCTACATTTTTCACATATTTTTCTTGTACGGTTCGCACGTTTGATGAAAGAGGCGCTGTGTTCTCGTGACGATGAGAGATGTATAATTTTTTTATCATGCGAGAAATTACCGACTATAATTGGAATGAATTGATCGGTACATAATATACTTTCCGATTCACGCATGATGCGCATGAAGTGACAGAAAATGTATAGTTCATGTTACGCATATTATTATACATTTTCTGTCACTTTATGCGCATCATGTGTGAATCGTAAAGTACCTATAGATGTCAATTATTTGAATCGACCATGCATATCGAATGTAATACTTATCCAAATAATTGTACCTATGTATCGATTAATTTATTGCAATTGCAATCACCCAGGTAGCAAGCACACGTCATTTTGATGTTTCAAATTGGTCATTTACTGATTTTTCTTGACGTCACGAATTGACGTTTTTATGACGTAAAAGTGACGATCTAATGTCACAGATTCCTGACGTCATGACATGTACCACATTTTGACGTCTTTCTCTTAGCATAATAATATATTTAATAATGTTGTCGAATAAAGCACTCTCTAAAAGTGAATCAGTGTATTATCACTGAAAAACAGTAAATAATCACTGATTACAGTAATTATTATATAAGTACAACGCTGTAAATCAGTAATATTTTATAGAAAGAATCAGTTAATAATTTTGACTATTTCAGTAATATCTCAGTAATATTCCTTTCGTTATTGTCAGTAATATTAAACTTTTCAATTCATCTCTCTATTTCATAAATATAATATAATATAAATAAATAAATATAAAAATATAATATATAATAAATATAAATATAAATAAATAAATATATAAATATAAATATATATAAATATATATGTATATATATATATATATATATATATATATATATATATAATGTTAGATATCACTATAGTTTTGTTTTCGTTTTTTCAGTTACATTTGAATTTTATTTATAATCAGTAAAGTAGATGGCAGTCGAACAAAGAAGCTACGCCATCTAGAAGTTCATTTTTATAGTTCTAAAAATTTTACCGCGGAAGCAGTAATTTCTCTCCTCTATCCCTCTCTCTCTCTCTCTCAAGTCTTCCTCTTGACCTATACGTTTTGTAAAAATAAAGTATAACGTGAACAAAAGATGTTACATTATCTTGTGGATTCAATATTCAGTTTCGTTAAAGCTAACAGGTTATGGGCCCAGGCGAAGTATAAGCTGATTATTTTGTCTGGTTAAAATTAGATTTGGAGCCCATAAAGTGACTTTCATTGTGCGCATAACCAAGGATTTTTCAATATGGCTGCGGAAACGAAATATCAAATTGAGAAGCTGAATAACGATAATTATTTCACCTGGAAATTTCGTATCGAAATGATAATAGAGAAGGAAGGGCAGTCATCGAAGATGCTGAGCCGAGCGAGGAGAATAAATCATATACATGGAAAAGAGCTAATAAACAGGCCATGGCTCCTATTGCATTGTCCGTTGAAAATGATCAATTGGTTTACATCAAGAAGCATCGTACAGCTAAAGGTATGTGAGAAGCATTACGAGAATATCACGAGAAAGGTACTGGCAACAACAGCGTTCAATTGATCAAGGAAATATGCACACGGCGACTAGAAGAGGGCGGCAATATGGAACAGTATATCAATTGGATGACAACAATGTTCCAAAAAATTGACGACCTTGGCGAAG